AAGTGATAACCGATGACGGCAGCCTTCCACGTCATCTTGCGTCTCCTTCGTCCCTGCCTTCACCCAAGCCTACAACACGGAGACAGCCGTCTTCTCCACACACGGATAGGCAGACAGACAGGCAGACAGACATACACACCCATGGAGCCGCCGCGCGGGTGGTCACATGGCCCGAGAGATGACCATCTGGCGTGCCGCCGGCTTTCATCCCGTTTCACCGCGGCCGCCGGTTACCGCGACACGTGCTGCTGGGAGGGGGGGGGGGGTGCTGGCCGGGGGGGATAAGCCCGCCACACGTGCCGCTGGGAAGGGATGTGGAGGGAGGGTGACAGACCCGCGGCATGTCTCGCGGAAAACAGTGACGGGAAGTGTAAAGACGGACGCGGACAAAGTTGTCAGGTGCCGTGATCGCGGCGAGGAACAGTGGAACAATAGAGGAGGGTGATCGCAGAGATCACTTCCCTTTCTGTCCCTCACTAAAGGGCCAGTTACGGTAGGCTTGGTCACAACAGCTCCTGGCTTCATCCACCTCTATTGTGCGCTGCTAAGGGGCCATCGCTGATGGCAGAACCAGGATGCACGCGGTGCCCACTTTGTCCGTGTCAGAACACCCGGTGGGATGTTCACACGGATTACGCTTTCTGAATGATTGGATATTTGGAGCGACCGCAGTAGCTCTGTAATTATCCATGTGGGTCGCTTGTCGCTCTGGTTTTGAGCACGATGGATGGATTTGCGACGACCTCCGGCTTCGGAACCGAGTCCGAGGGCTAGACGGTCGGTTTCTCCGCCCCTGGTCTTTCTTCAACCCATTGCTCGGGTTCCGCTGTTTTACTTGAACACTGTGGCTCCTCAGTGCACACTGCACTTACAGGCAGAGCAGCAGTGTGCAATTTTCAACCATTTCCGTGATCTTATTGTGTGACGCTAGGCCAGCCAAGTGATCATGTAAACACAGTTGTTGACAAAATAACATTTAGTTTCACTGTGCATTGATGTCTCACTTTACATACCGCACCTGGTAACTACATGGCACCCGTCCTCGGCATCATTCCAAGACAATTTGTTATTTCCACTTGGCCGGGCACGGGCACGCCGCGAATCGGACTGCGGACAAACCTTTTGTGTTGATCGGTCCGGCCGGGGTGTGAGGGAAAGTGTCCGGCTGGTCCGAGTCAGGAGCGGAGCAGGAGCCACCTGCGCTGCTACTGTATGCACGGAACACAAATCTTACAGCTGCAGTCTCGCCGTGACACGGTGTATCGCGGCTTCATGCAAAGCACGGCGATTTCCGGTGAATATTATCGTGAGAGTGTGAGAAAAGCCGAAAGCTTCGTGATCACCTACGAGAGGCCATGTTAGCATCAAGAAAACGCTACTCCATTTGAGGCACAAGGCAGCCACTCGCAATTATCGATCGCTCATTTCGTAAATGCGGCGTCGTGACAGATGTTTAAGCTTCATCGCCTTGTGGAGGGACGACTCTTCGCTTCGTTGTCGCCGTTTTATCACGGACAGGTAAACTACCGGTGAAGTCGACAGTCGTTTCGCAAAGGCGACAATGCGTCAGATCAGGTAATGGCCACATGGGCTACAGAGACCAGGATGAGTGTCCGTGTCGCCGCCTTATGTCAGCTCAGTCAACCGGAAAGCGGGGCTTGCAAAATTGTTCGCCAGACAACGGCCCAGATGTGACACAACGGCACGGCTTGGTAAGGTGAGCCTTCCAATCGCTGGAAGGTGCGACAGCTAATGGATGTCCAGAACGAAGTGGTTATGGTAGCGAGTGTTGTCGCTAAGTGGTGTTTATGAAACGATCAAGCGAAAGCACGCAGTCTGATCGCACAAAAAAAGATATAGGTTTATCATAAGGTGGGTTTATAAAGTAACATCGACTGAATTAAAACGCCAAACAGGTATGGACGGGCCAGTTAAGAAGCGCTCGTCTATGCCAGGAGTGCCTGAACGCTCGCACTCTTATTGGTGCCGAGTGATGCTCGAGTTTAGAGCAGTGTAACACCTTTAGAGCATGGTGTGACAGTGTGGTCATAAGTGGTTAAATCACATGTTTGGCCTCTGCAACTTTCGTAATCGATGTGGTTTTAGTTTACCGCACAAGCGCCACGTGAAAAACTGCAGAGGCAGCGGATGAACGATGCGGTGGCAACCACATGCGGTTTGGAAAAGCGTGCTCTGACAATATGACGGACCCGTGAAAACGCGCAGGGTGGAAAATGACACCGTGCTGGGAACTTTATTTCAAGTTTAATAAATACCACTTCAGCGTGCTGGCGAGTGTGACGCGGTATACACACTACACAGTAGTGCTGGCGTTAATGTCACCCCCGGTATCCAGACAGGCGCAATCTGCGCGGTACAATGACTTGCCATAGGCCAGCAGCTTCCAGCAGAGGCGTCATGTTTGTAACATGACTTCTATAATGGCTCCGATGACACATTCTTAGGGAGGTGAAAAATGTGCAAAAATTCAGCGAGTTTCCCTTAGATCCGAGGTAATTTATTTACCGAAAATTACGAGTCATGTAGGTAGTGTGTGCAATCTCTGTGTATCAGAATACTATTATTTTATTTTATTTTCAAGCTGGGATTTATTTTGTCTTGTGAAATTGACCTTGACTGCAACTCCAAGCCCTGCCTTTTGCAAACTCCATCAATCTAAGTTAAGTACTTAAATCACCATCATTATCTTTCAACATGTATGAACAATGAATCTACTGTCGATGCCAGCATGACCTTCCCATTTTGTCTAAGCTACACGGCCATTGCATGCATAACCCACAAATTGTACCTGGGAAGGGTCCATGCTCCCCTGCGCAGCGTTTCGCTCGCGGCGTCAGCGTTCGTCAGCGGCAGTGACGACAACCACTACCCAGGCCGGCACACACGAGACCGGCCGTTTCGGCTGCGTGAACGCAAAATACATCTTCCTGGGAGATTCTCACGCTTCAGTTTCACTGCCTGAGTCGGCGCTGGGCGGGGGTGGCGCGGGCGGCGCGGGCGGGGGCGGCGGCGGCGGATCCCACGGTGGAGGTGCGGGAGGAGTCGGCACGCACGCGGCATCCTCGACCATTAGTGTCCATCATTCCATCATTGGCTCTCTGTGATCGTCTGGTGGACAGCGGACGATATCCCGCCCCTCGTTATTGGCGCTACGTGCCAGACGGGAGAAATCAGCAGGCCAGGAGACGGGTGGCTCACTGGGAGTATCCCGCTATGTTTGCCGTTTATTTACGTCATGTAAGAATGTAACTCCAATAAACGGAGTGGCTGAAAATCTTATATGCTTTGTGGCCAAGTTTATTTCATTTTCTGTCCCCTGATTGAACGATTGAATTTTAGTTTCTCTTTTCGACTTAATCCGTCCAATTTCTGTCTTATTCTCGATTTATCCTAGAGTGAGATCCTTTCTAACCACAAACGCACTGAATCTGAAAGTCCTTCACGAACCGAGCATAATCGTCTTTCCTCCAGCATTAGCGCAACTTCTGACGGTTGAGAGGCCGTCCCGTCATCTTCACGTCATCAGTGACGCATCCCCGTCCATTTGGTGGTCCTCATCATCTCCAATCAAGACGATCCGTCACGATTCGGCGCCGCGCATCCGTTCGGCTCTGCGGCCTGCTGACCGCAGAACAGTACCACAAACAAATGACGTCATCGCGTCATCGAGCCGGTCACGTGGTCAGACGGCGACAGTGTGGGAGTCGGTTCCTTCGGTCACGTGCTGTGACCACTGGGTATGAGGTGTGACGCGGGTGACACAGTGGTAGACACAGGGGTCGTAGGCGCTCTACCGTGCTGCGGGGCTACACACCGGATGGGAATGGTGACGACGAGCCCACAAAGGCCGTGGAAGGGCGTCACTGATGGCCAGGAGTTCTGGGTCACAGCGCGGTCACTGGACTGAGGATGGATGACATGTAAACATTGGCGAGGTCAAGTTTAACTGGTAATTGGTAGCCGCGGTTAGTTTGGTAATCTGTTGTTGACTGACGAGCATTAACTGTCGCTTATGAGGGTATTTATGTCGTGTTTATCGCATTCGCAGAGTTGTTAATAGACCACATAAGTGTTATTAGGCGTATATCTTATAAATCACCGTGACATAGTCAATTAAATATGTCGATAAATACCTAATGCTGCATGAACAAGTATCGTATTTATTTTCCTTTTGCTTTGATCTTAACATAATACATAGGTGTTTAATGTATATGTACGTTCCACCTTACCTATGTCCGTCCATTACCATTACTTATGACTCGGGTCCCAGAGCTTACAAAACCGATGGAACAAATGCGATTAAAATCGTTTTATATGTTTAGTTCCCGGGAGAAGGTCTCAATAAATTGGGCAAACACACCTTATTCACAGCCAGAAAGTTTGTCACGTAAGAGCATAGAAAGGACTGTCTACACGGCGTCCAATCAGTCGTCACTCGTCTAGTATGTTCAGCCTCACCCCGAACGGAGACCTTATGACGACACAGGTCAGACTTCATAACGGAGACAAATGATGATTGTTGCCCAACCGGGACTGGTGTTTGTCCGTAACTCTGGTGGAATATGCATAATTCATGGGGTGATGGCACCACGAGGGTGGTATTTCACAGAGGTGGCGCCGAGACAGTATCTTCGACCACATATCCTGTGCCCAAACATCTGAACTTCAGTTGAGCAAGCCCTGCGCCTAACTCATGAGAGATCATGATGAGACATTATGACGAGGAACTTTTTTTAACCGTTTGTGTGTCCACACCGAAGCACAATACCTACATATGACTTAACATAATAAATTTGTCGACAACGCTATCTATTAGAACATACATGCCCAAAGATGAACCAAATTTTACGAAACCAAATCATTTGCACACTTCTTGCCTACACAGACTTGAGACCTTTCTGTATCATCAAACTGATTTTGCCCCGTATTTTTCTCGCGCCACTCTGTCCCCGACTGACGGCTGTCTCCTTCCTCCGCAGATGCTCCTCCTGGCTGTCGTGGCCGCGTGCGTGGCCACAGCAGCCGAGGAACACCACCGCGAGAGGCGAGGCCTCTTCGGACTCTTCGGCAAAAAGCGCTCCGGCCGAGGGCGCGGCCACGGACATGGCGGTAGAGGCCGAGGCAGGGGTAAAGGTCACGGTGGCAAGGGACGCGGGCGCGGCAGGGGGCGAGGTCACGGACGACCCTCGACCAGCTATGGTCCGCCCTCAACCAGTTACGGCCCTCCGTCTACGAGCTACGGACCACCTCCGTCAACCAGTTACGGTCCACCTCCTTCCACTAGTTATGGTCCCCCACCTTCCACGAGCTACGGCCCTCCACCTTCCACTAGTTATGGTGCTCCTTCTGGTGGTCACGGAGGTGGAGGCGGTGGACACAGCGGTGGACACAGCGGAGGAGGCGGTGGACACAGCGGAGGAGGCGGTGGACACAGCGGAGGAGGCGGTGGACACAGCGGAGGAGGCGGTGTACACAGCGGAGGAAGTGGAGGAGGCGGTGGATATGGCGGAGGCGGAGGCGGTGGACACAGTGGAGGAAGTGGAGGAGGCGGTGGATATGGCGGAGGTGGAGGCGGTGGACATGGTGGAGGAGGCGGCGGTGGACACAGTGGAGGAAGTGGAGGAGGCGGTGGACATGGTGGAGGAGGCGGTGGACACAGTGGAGGAAGTGGAGGAGGCGGTGGATATAGTGGAGGCGGAGGCGGCGGACACGGCGGAGGAAGTGGAAGCAGTGGTGGAGGCTACGGCGGGGGATCGGGAGGAAACATCGACGTATCTGCTTCATGTAAGGCTTGCAGTGAATTTAAGTGGGTGCCGATTCCGGGACCGAGTGGCGGCAATAGACAGCCAAAGCAGAGCTACGGAGCACCAACACAACCTGAACAAAGTTATGGAGCACCAGCGCAACCTGAACAAAGCTACGGAGCGCCAGCGCAACCTGAACAAAGCTACGGAGCGCCAGCACAACCCGAACAAAGCTACGGAGCGCCAGCACAACCCGAACAAAGCTACGGAGCGCCAGCGCAGCCCGAACAAAGTTACGGAGCGCCAGCACAGCCTCAGCAGAGTTACGGAGCTCCTGAGCAGCCTCAGCAGAGTTATGGAGCTCCTGAGCAGCCTCAACAAAGCTACGGAGCGCCAGCACAGCCTCAGCAAAACTACGGAGCTCCAGCACAACCTCAGCAAAGTTATGGAGCGCCAGCACAGCCTCAGCAAAACTACGGAGCTCCAGCACAACCTCAGCAAAGTTACGGAGCGCCAGCACAGCCTCAGCAAAACTACGGAGCTCCAGCACAACCTCAACAGAACTACGGAGCGCCAGCACAGCCTCAGCAAGACTATGGAGCTCCTCAGCAAGCCACTCCTCAAAAAGACTACGGCCCTCCGTCCCAGCCTCAGCAGAGCTACAGCTCCCCTCAAACCTCCCAGCCTCAGCAAAGCTACAGCTCCCCTCAAACCTCCCAGCCTCAGCAGAGCTACAGCTCCCCTCAAACCTCCCAGCCTCAGCAAAGCTACAGCTCCCCTCAACCTTCCCAGCCTCAGCAGAGCTACAACTCCCCTCAAACCTCCCAGCCTCAGCAGAGCTACAGCTCCCCTCAAACCTCCCAGCCTCAGCAAAGCTTCAGCTCCCCTCAAGTGTCTCAGCCTCAGCAAAGCTACAGCTCACCCCAGCCTTCCCAGCCTCAGCAGAGCTACAGCTCCCCGCAACCTTCCCAGCCTCAGCAAAGCTACAGCTCCCCGCAACCTTCCCAGCCTCAACAGAGCTACAGCTCCCCGCAACCGTCCCAGCCTCAGCAGAGCTACAGCTCCCCTCAGCCAGCCCAGCCTCAGCAAAGCTACAGCTCCCCGCAAGTTCAGAACATTGTCAGCCAGCCGATCAGTCTGCAGCCACAGCCACTGCCGCAGCTCTCCAGCTCTGGCTTCGTTCAGCAGGCGAGCCAGGATTACGGAGCTCCTCAGCAGCAGGACATCATCAGCCAGTCACAGGCCAACAGCTTCACTTCGCAGCAAAGCTTTGGCGCCCAACAGACGTTCGGTCAGCAAATTAATAGCGATTACGGCGCTCCGCAGCAGGGAGATGTGATCAGTCAGGCACAAACAAACAATTTTGCTGCCCAACAGTCGAGCTTTGGTCAACAAGTGAATCAGCAGTACGCGGTTCCTCAGCAGCAAAAATTTAGCTCCCAACAGAGCTTTGGCTCTCAATCCAGCTTCAGTCAGCCAATCAACCAAGACTATGGTGCCCCGCAACAGCAGGATATTGTCAATCAGAATCAAGTCAGCAGTCTGGGCTCTCAGCAAGGTTTCAACCAGCAAGCGAATACCAACTACGTTGCACCGCAACAGCAAAGCTTTGGCTCCCAGCAGAGCTTTGGCCAGCAGGTGAACCAGGATTACGGTGCGCCGCAGCAGCAAGACATTGTCAGCCAATTCCAGGCCAACAGCTTCTCTGCTCAGCAAGGCTTTGGTCAGCAGGCGTCTTCTGCGCAGCCGGGCGGCTTTTCAAACCAGTTTGTCGGCTCCACGGCACAGAGTGTTGGTAATGGAGCGTCTTCCTCCGGGCGTCAGCCGGGTCAGGAGTACGGACCTCCCGTCTCCAACGACATCCTCACCGGACCCCTGCCGGCGGGGGTGTCCGTCATCGGCAGCTCCGCCCGGTCGCCGTCCTCCTCCCAGCCGCCACGGCAGGGGTACGGACCTCCGGCCGGAGACAGCCTGCTTGGGGGACAGTCCTCTGGCGGGACTCTGCAGAGCTCCACCGCCTCCGCGACACAGGCCGTCAACGGCTTCGGTCCTCTCTCAGAGTCCAGCGTCCTGACGGGCCCCGCTCCGGTCACCCAGCCGCTGCTCCAGGCTCAGCAGAACGTCCAAGGGGCGACTTTCGGACAGGGACAAAATACACAGGCCCAGGCCGCTGTTTCGACGGAAAGCTATCAGGGATACGGTCCCCCGACGGGAAACAGCGTCGTCACTGGCGATCAGAGCTCGTTTGGAGACATCTCGAGTGGCGCTAGCGGCGGTTTCGTGGCGCAGAACCAAGTGCAGGGAGGTCTGTCAGGGGGAAGCCTCAGTGGCAGCCCAAGCCAGGTGCTGGACCAGGGCTTCATCGCCAACCCTGGCGGCGATGGTAGCGTTGTCCAGGACTACCTGCCTCCGACTGGAAACCAGATTGACTCTCCCGTCGGCCAGACCAGTCAGGGCAACAGTCAGATCTTGGACATTGACATCCGCGGCGGGAGTGCCCTGAACGTCCAGCAGACGGCACAGCAGGGCCAGGTACAGCAGCAGCAGCTAGGGGAGGTGCTGACGGCCAATCAGCTGCAGCAGGACGTGCAGAGGCCCCAACAGGACGAAATCATCACCGGCACCCGTCTGATCCAGGCACAGGGCGAAGTTCAGACGACTGTCGAAAGCGGAGCGCAGGACGTCCAGCAGTTTGTCGACGCTCAGCAGCAGGCGGCCTTCGGTGACGTGTTCACCGACTCTGGGATCCAACAGGATCAGCAGCAGTACCAGCAGGACACGTCACCAGAGGCTGGAGCCCTGGACGTGCAGCAGTTTGTGCAGAGCCAGCAGCAGGGAGCGTTCACCGACATCCGCACCGGGTCGCAGCTGCAGCAGGAACAGTCGGTGGAGAGTGGAGCCGAAGCTGTGCAGCAGTTCGTCCAGGAACAGCAGCAGTCGGCGTTCGGTGACGGCTCTCAGCAGCAAGAGGTGGAGCAGGCCCTGTTTGGACAGCCCGTCTCGGGCTCCCAGCTGCAGACCTCATACGACGACCAGGCTGAGCAACAGCAGAACCAGGTACAGCAACAAAGCAACGGCGTCCTCATCGACGCCACCTCGAATTCCGACGGACAACAGACTACGTTTGTGAATAGCCAGGAGGGCTCCTTCGACACCAACGTAATCGGCGGCAGCCAGAGCGCTGTCGGTGGCAACGTGTTTGGTGGGAGCGTCATTAGTGACGGTCAGACTCAGGTGCAGGGATCGTTCGCCGGTGGTTTTATCCAGGGCGACGGCGGCTCACAGCAGAGTCAGGTGTTCGTGGACGGATCTTCCACCGACCAGCAGGACGGCGCTCTGCAGACCGGCTTTGGAGATGTCGTCACCGGTCAGGACGACAACGGCTTCACGGCGTCTGACGGCTTCCAGTCGCAGTGAGTGATGCAGTTTTTGTTGCATCATTTTAAACGTTTCTTGTCTCGTATTTAAAGAGCTTTTATAAGGTGAGCTGTGACAAAATGAAATTGTTTAGTACTTATTTCATCAATGTTAACATTACCATAATTTATTTACCTCATTAAATATGCAGATTAAGTATTCGGGTCTACTTTATTTGCGTGGTTTTTACGCTTTTGCCCTATTTAGTGCTTATGAAATGCTCTAACCCTCCCTCGACAGTTATTTCGTGCATGTAGTAAAGTCCACACAAATCTGTCATTCATCAAATGTATGACAAAATTTAGGTACCTACACATTTTGCATTCAGCCCGTGAGATGCATTTATCATAGTCATCGTTGTGTAATATAGCGTGTTTAATGTTGATTTTATTTTTCGCCAGAACCACTGATAATGGAGGTTTCACCCAAACCAGCGTGGGCGGTTCCCAAGACGCATCCCAGGTGAGTCTTCCCTTGATTTATCAGCGAGATATTCCCACGTAAGCCTTTACAAGTAGACTTAATTATTTATTATCACAGCATGCCTCACATTCGTGCAAGTACAGCGCAGTTTCTATTGACTGCCAATGTTTTGTCAGAAAACCAAATGCAACTCCATCAAGGCCCAGCCGTCCTGGCTTATACCTACATTGATTACGTAACACAATCAGCGGTAAACTGTAGAATCGAAACACACATTGAAACAAACGACTTTTTAATGAACACTTCTCCTTTCTACAGCTGTTCCCCAGTTTCGTTTTCGTTCGGACTAGAGGTGGCAAAATGTGGACCCGAGGACCCGGTCCAAAGAACCAGTCTGGACCCATATGGGTCCAGACCGGTTCCTGGAAATTTTCTGACGGGTCCAACCGGGTCCCATCTTGCACACTGCACATTATTGCAAAATATGAAGTGAATGAAGTGAATGTTTCTTGCACACAGTAGCTCATGAGTATCCCGAGTGGCAAATAGGCTGTTTTACATGATGCAACTAATTATACCTACAAGTAGTTTGTATTAATTGACTTTTGGGGAACGGGTCCAACTGGTTCCGATTCCAACTAAGACCGGGTCCGACTGGTTCCAGAAATGTCCAGCCGGGTCTGGTTCGAGTCTGGTTCCCAAAATTTTCATCTTTTGCCACCTCTAGTTCGGACGTTAGACTTGACTGGTTTTCCCAGACGTGCATTGGAGCGGGGAAGAGTAATTTGGGAGCTGATGGGAACTTTAATGACAAGAGACAGCTTGGCGTCATAGAGAACGGCGTGTCGCTTCCTTATCACTGTTACCATTAACAAGGATACGTCATTGTCACGTCACCAGGCTAGCGTCGTTGCTTCAGCAATATCGCAATACTTACCTACCTAAAATTATACAGGACGACCGGCATCCGGTTTAATTTTCGTAACGGCTGATATAGGTACCTACACTGTACTCTCCCTAATCTCATTGCATTTTAGCTAGGTAATTGTCAAAATAGGTAGGCATGACTCGTTTATTGGAACCAATGATTGCAAATAAAATACTTTATGAATTTGTATCCTTGTCTCTGCTGCAGAGTCTCAGATCAACCTTGCAGTTGCAGACTCTCACCTCGGCTTATTTGCAGTTGAACGACTACCGTCTCATTAAGTAGCGTATTTCTGCTTTCCGTCGCTGTCATGCTGGGATTCAGAGATCCATAGAGCGTGACATTCTTCCATGCACCAGTGGCTAATTAAACATGTGCGGTAGATTTCAGCAGTCTCGCGGTAATGACCACGGTTTCCCACCGGTAACAGTCTACCCTCAACAGTAACAGTCCGCCGTGGTCGTGGCAGACTGTCCCCGGCTGCGCCGAAACGCCTTAGGCTAGTGGCGAAATCGTCATGCGATAAGCAAAGAGGCGTTCGCCGCAGCTATGCCAATCATCGGAGACGTTTCAAGTCTTTTGGCTTGCCTGAGGAACCTCAGAAAAGGGAGGCTCCGACTGTCAAATATGTCTGAAACATTTGATAGGTATTATATGTATGTAGGTAACGTTGCCCGGAACATTGGCATTTCACTGATTTAAACATATTATCTTCCTTTTGAGCCGCATTAATTCCAGCTTTGAACGTAATCAACCGTCCCTTGGCGTCAATGCCTATTGTGACACAGCTCACCTCAGGTTTCCCAGGGCGCACGTCGCCCCACGATGAGAGCTTGTCGATCACAATTACGTGATTCACAGCCCACTCTGTTACCGGGCAGTACTCATCGTATACTCAGTACAAGCGGTTCGCCCGGGTGCCTCGCCCACGAAAACGGCAGGCACATTCTCTCGCTAGATTAACAGGTGTCGAGGAGAGATTCCCTGTACAATTACCGACTGGAGTGACATGCTATATCGCGCTCAGTTTAATGTGGTGTCGCCTGCGGTCGGGTTTCCACGGCCGCCAGAGCCGAGCGGCGAGCGGAAATACAGAAACGGTGTGAAACGTGCTTTAGTTAGTCATGCAGATAAATGGTTGGCTCGGATTGCGGGAACTGGTGCGGTGCTAAGCCTCGTTTTTTTCGGATCATGGAGGTAACTGCAAACGACTTGTGGAAAATGTGAAAATCCTGTAATTGTCTGAAAGTTTCACGAGCGGCTCTCGTTCTCGTTAACCCGCGCCCCACTGGGGGGGGCTATTTATAGCCCCCCTCCCGTTTTTCTGCAATAACTTCCAAACCGCTTGACGGATCAACGCCAAACTCTCAGTACCTTCGGCTGCATCAATTTGACACCTTGTGTCAAAATGTGAACTTCGTAGCTACCATAGGTCGGCCGGAAATGACGTCAGAGTGACGTCATGTTCGTCCGATTTCGACGCAAAACATTGAACCACGGCAATCGCTCCCAAGAGCTCAGTTTTTAAGCTAGATCCAATTTCTTTGCATGAAAGGATTCAGAATTGACCGCGCTATCAAACTGCTATCTCGGATTTTCAAAATTTTGAAAATTTCGAAAATTTTATATAATAATATTCAAAATTTATATTTTTATATTTTTTTCTAAAAAATTTTGGCTTTTCGAAAAAACCGGAATATATGTGACAGAACGCATTATTATGACTAACTCTAGCAAGTTTTAGCTAAATATCTTCAAAAATGGCCAAGTTATACGCATTATTGCAAAAAATTCACAATTATCAATTTTTCAAATCAATTTTTCAGTACGTATTTGACATCGTACACCAATATAAATGGCACCATCGTGTTCCTGAGCTCAAACTGCTTCCAATAGACACCTTTTTTGTTGAAAAATTTTAACTTCAAAATTTGACCTTTTTTGACCTGAAAGTGACCTGACCTAAGCTAAATTCGACTCAAAATGACCTCGAATGACACAGACGACATCAAATTCGAAATCTATGGCCTAAATGGACCATAAAATATGTGTCACGTGACCGACGCATGATATAATATTTTCGTGACCTGTGATGACCTGACCCTGACCTGAAAATCAAGGTACAAGTTTGGTACCCTCAAGGTATCTAGAGCATCTGTTCACGAGTGTGGAAACCAAAAATGGGCCTGATCTGACTTGTAAGACGGCGGCCAGAGCCCAAAATGTGAACAAGCCAAAGTGCTGATAATTTTTACTTTGACCTGACCTGTGACGTCATCGGTGACCTCGAGGTCAATGAAATTAGGTTTCGCTCGACAGTTTTTCCGGGGCTATCAGACGCCGTTTGAATTTTGACGATCGGCCCAGTAGTTTCGGAGTCAGGAGGGGGGGCTATGAATAGCCCCCCCCCCCAGTAGGGCGTGTTATACACAGACCCCAGTGGGGCGCGGGTTAACTCTCTGCATACGGATGATAAAAAGTGACGTTGGATATAAGTCTCATCCAGATACGATCGTATTGGTGGATGTTTGATTTATGTTGTAAGGAATTTTAGATGTTCTTTAGACTTAGGATGACCTTAGGATGTTCTTTAGACATCCTAAGGTGCCATTTGGGATTAAATTGCAGTTTATTTCGTCGTAAGCAATCACACATTGTAGGCGCATTAGTTAACTTTAGTCTTTTTCAGTGCACTTTGTAGATCTTCCTATGGGGCTACACCTTCCTGGTCTTGTGGCCTCATTTACCATGACATTAAAACGATCAAAATAGTTTCTAGCTTCCCACCTAAGCGCTTCATGCCATCTGTTCCATTCTTTTCCAGCAGACGGTTATCAGCGACGGCGGATTTGTCAGCGACCAGACTTTCACCTCCACTGATGGCTCTTCGGGTCTGGACGTGCGGGCCCAGGGTCAGCTGCTGACCTCGGTCAGTGACCAGGGTCAGCAGGAGGAGCAGTACGACTACTCGGCGCCGGCCAGCCAGTTCCAGGAGGGACAGCAGCAGACCAGGTGGGCGATCCCCTCGACCTGCTCATAACCTGCTCTCTGTGGCCGTCAGTTGGTAGTTGAGGCTGAAGCGCATGCTTAGTTTACTAACCGCCGTATCTGTAGTGCAAATGTGACCTTTGAGGCATGACCGTTCGTAAGCTTAGGGCTATGTGACGTCCGTTATTTTCAATGCGTAACAAATAACTCTCGCCTCTCTTTGTACCGGATCATGTAATCTTTGCTAATTTTGTTAGACCCCTTCTGCTAGCGCATGAAAATGTTAACATTATTTCTCCTTAAGTGCTAGTTCGGAGTGGCTTTTGCATTTCTGTCCGTCTATGTAGTTGTCATATTATAGAGTTGAAATGTGGATACGAATATAATGCTTGATCTCCGTGTGCTGTCTTAGCCTAGTGGTGCTTGCCTACTAACTGTTACGTACCGAGAATGACTGCTAGGCACCTATAACACTGACTGACGCGACGGTATACTCCCGCCAGCGTTGAGATCTACGACTTCGAACTCAACTGGCCGAAGCTCGGCGCCAAGGTGGCCTCAGCTCCCGTCCCTTCCCTCTCCAGCTCCCTCCGCACCCCGCCCCTGCCCCGCCCGCCCTCACCCTCCTCCGCGCTACCGCCGCGACTCCCCGACTCGCCGAGATCGCCGTCACGCTCCCCAGGGCGCAGCACCATCACCGTGTCCCTGGACGTTGGAGACATCCTGAAGCGTACCAAGTCGCCATCGGTAGACCTCAGCCGCAGCTCTGTGCTGCGTTTCACCACCCGGGTGCGCTCCACCATCCTGCCGCACGTCTCGAGCCGGCTGGCGGCGGCTCTGACCTCTCGGCACAGCTCGGCGATGGCCTCTCTGCGAGCCGCCGCCTCCCCGGGGATCGGGACACCCTCGTCGGGCGGCGCTACCGGAGTCAGTAGGTGGCGCACCGTGCTGCGAGCCAGCGTCCGGCTCACGGCGGCTGACGGGTCCGCCATACGACCGACGGAGACGGTGCGACTGCACCTCAGCCCGCCCGTGCCCCTGGAGAAGTTCCGAGTACGGGTCAGACGACCAGGGCGGCTTCAGAGGGCAGAGGAGCCTGCTGGGGACAAGGAGAAGCTTGCTGATGAGCTGGCTGGACCATTTGGAAGGAGGAAAACTGTGGCAAACAGGAGAGAGAAATTAAGAGCCAGAAGGCCAAAGGGTGTATCAGAAAACGTGCGGATGAGACCGGATGCAGGACATAGTTCAAGGCTCGTTACAGAAACTAGTCAAGAAGGTAGCTCGGAGAGCCATGTAAATAGCGTAACTCGCAAGCATAAGTCTAAAGGACCTACAATTAAACCCTTGGATGCCCGAAGGCCTAGCAGCTTGACGCGAAATTCGATAGGCAGACCAGGGAAGTTCGTGTGGCCAGGAACCGGAGCTAGCGATGAACGGAATAACGCCAAGCCGACGTTAGGACAGGCCGTCAAAGGTGAGCAATCCAAGGAAATAGCGATGTCGCAGAGCTCAAACCATGTCGCAGAGTTCCAGTTACCTCTGGGATACCTCCCTCCCGACCCTGAAGAAATCCTAAATGAAGCGACGAATTTTATCGAGCCGACAGAAGGTCAATCGGATCTGAAGGACCCCACTGAACCAGAAACTCTGCCGATCATCTCAACAAAACCACCTGAGATTGATGTCAGACTTGAGTCAACAACAATCGCAAGTGCGGATGCCAGCAGGGACTACCTTCCACCACTAGAAGACGATGAAGGCGCATCAAATTCGGAGATCGAGGCTAATGTGGAAGGACAATCAAAACCATTAACGTCAAGTGCTCCTCCAGCGAATCCAGAATCAAATGTAGCCGATCCCGCGATATCGAGTTCAGATAAAGATGTACGGTTCAGGGAGGAAATGGGAGTGTATGAATATCTTGAGCCACCACCTCTAGTGGCTCCCAAACAGGAAAGCACCAGAGTCTCGAAAGAGCCAACAAGGTACAATGAAAATGTTCGAACGGAAAAGCTTCAAGTCAGCCTGAACGATAATTCACAAATGACAGAAAGCCCTGCTGAAAGTCTGGGCAATAGCCTTCAAACAAGCAAGACCCCAGCGAAACAAAGCTTAAGAAAGAATATGGTTAAGTTGAGCAGCATTTTGAGGCAAAGCTTTGGTACCACCACGGCTGAGATAAGCACTCCGAATATTGCCTTCAACTATCTGCCCCCAGACCCAGCTACGACACCGTTCACATCCCCTGATCTGGAGACAGATGTTACAGCAGACGTTGAACTTGGCGATAGTGACGTGGCCACGACTCCAGTTCCTGTCTTAGATGAGCCAGCAGACATTACCCAGCTAACAACCAGCAGTCCGGAAGAATCGTCAACAAGGTTACACTCAGATAGTTCCATCGGCGAGTTGAAAGTTACTACTAACCTCCCTGTAACCAGCTACCTGCCTGTGCCCTCGTCCGCGGATCCGCTTTCAAACTCCGTTACGGAAGAACCCCTTCCCAACATATTTGCCGCGAGTGCCCCGGCACCTGAGTCCAGCTCCCCAGAATCTGAATCAGACTTGGATTCCCCAACGTATTTCCGTCCGGAGGCCACTGTCGCGCCATCGTATCTATCTTCAACCACCGAGGCCCTGCAGGGACATATATCCACCACTGGCGCAACCAGTGCTGCAGAGGGATCTCCTTTTACCATCTCCTCGTCTTTGATGTCCGATACACAGACAACCACAGCATCTCCATTCGAGTACCTTCCCCCTCTTCCGGCATCAACACAGGAAGCAGATGTAGCGTCACCGACTTCATCTGTGCTTGTTTCTACTCCAAACGTCGTTTCAATCAAGGACAGCGGAAAAACGGGGGCGACCGGAAATTCAGAGCCTTCTACCACTTTCCCTACTACTGATATCTATTCAACAACAGCACTTAGCGCAGAAACGGCCACAACGTCAGCTCCTGTTGCTGGCACCAATCGCCCGGCCGTGCAGATCGTGACGCCATCCCTGGTCCTGCCGTACCTGCCTCCAGAAGATGACCGTGCTTCAGGGGTAACACAGACTACACCCACGGCATATTCGACTCGTGACAACACTAAGGCTCAGGAGAACCTCGTAGAGGACACTGGCTCTAACCTGCTCCCAACGGAAGCAACGTCTTCGTCTAAAACGCCGTCTACTGGATTCAGTTTCAAGAAGCGTCAACCGGGATGGTATGGTGTTTTGACAACACCTGCGCCACAAACAAATGAGATCGAGAATGCGAACGAGGTCACCTCACCGTCTCTTCCGGCATCGAAGCACGTTTACTCTTCTGATAGTTCATCACAAATAGTACCTCCGCACACCACCATCAACAGCACCTACTTCCCCGCTGAGACCACCGTGAGTCCCATTCCAGGCACCACGGCCAACTCAGTGCTCGGAGTCCTCCGATTGGCCAATGGTGGATCCTCCACGGTTCAGCATCCCGTAGTTAACGTGAGGCCTTGGGCACATCAGCAGCAGACTCTGAAGACAGTGACGCCGAGATCGGTGTTCACGCGGCGCAGGCCACCCGGACTTCCCCGGAGGACCAGAGCGAGCACTACCTCCGCGCCGCTAACCGAAGACAGTGCCGCGGATAACAGGGTTGAGACCGAGGAGCAGGGGAAACGAAAGGTCGACGACATTAGGTCAAGAATAAGGGGTCGATATCAGCGGCGACGAAATAGATTGCGAACTTCAGCCGAAGAAAAAGCGGCATCTCCGAAAGAAGTGGATGAGGCAGAGACGAAAAAGGTAGAAGTGGTAGTAGGTAGCGAAAACCAGACCCGAAGCGATGATATTAATGCCACGAGACAAAACCCGTATGTAAGACGCCGAACTCACTTTAGGTCTCAGCAGCGCGTCATTGCTTCCTTGGCGTCAAAGATAGAAAATGCAACAGCTGTTGAGAAAACAAATGTTTCGGATGATGTTCCTCCCTCGCGACAGAATAGACACCACAGAAGGATACCAACGAGAGGACACAAAGCTAAATCTGTTCCAGCAAGAGCAAAAGCAGCAAGCACGTTGAATGGGACTGTTACAGAACAAAAAGACCCAAGTAACAACTCCAGCCGAATCATTTCTCCGTACAAACGGAGAAAGTCTCGTTTCAGGTATAGGTCTAGAACTACAGAAATACCTGTGCATTCAGACCCTAAAGCAAGTACAGAGCTATCAAACAGTCTAAGCAATACAAGAACGCGCAGCAGGGCCGCAGGTAGAAGATTTGTTCGTCCAAAGTCTACAGATGCTCCCGAAATAGAAAAGAACGGCGAAGAAGACTTGACGGAAGACAAAAAAGAAAGCACAGACAACGATGCAAATGTAATTTCTCAACCAAACGAAGAAAACAATCTATTGGAGAAACGACCAGAGTCTAACACAGTGTTTGCCTCTGTGAAACGAAGGTTCAGACCGCGGTTTCCTAGCAGAAGGCTTGTCACGAAGTCCCCCAAAACTTATTCCACAGCACCAGACCGTGACCGTCCCACAAGACGACTGTCGTCTTTAGTGTTTCCTAGGTACCAAAAAGAGAAGAAGCCGTCAGACGCCTTGGAAACCTCCGACTCTTTGGAAGAAACTGTCGAAACGCTTAAAGTCGAGGCATTAAAAGACGTTGAAGAAGCTCCCATCTCATTACAAAATTCCAGTGCATCGACGAAGTCTTCAGCAGACCAAAATAGCATAGAACCTCTCGAGACGTCTACAACGGCGTCTACAACAGCCATCGTCTCTTCATCCACCCCTACCCTTTCTCCTGAGCCCTCTTCGTCCTCTTCACCATCCAGTCGACACCGATCCCGCCTGAGGCTACCCTGGCGGTCGCGGCAGGCGGTCAGCACCGAGAGACCGTCGGAGCGGACACGACACCGGGTGCGGTGGTTCCGTCACCTCCCGCCGGACCAGCCGTGACGCGCCGTGACGCGCCGTGACGCGCCGTGACGCGCCACCCCGACAGGTGGACTGACCGACACTCCTCAGTGTGACGCACTGCGGGTGTGACTGACCGGGGACTGTGCTTCTTGGAGGTGTTGTGACCGGGTGGACGTGACGGGATGCACCCACTAAGCACGTTGTGGACGGGTTGTTCCCACTGCATGATTTACACTGCCTTCCACAGGCTAACGGCGGCTGATGTGTCACATGAATAATGACTCTGGCAGTGATATGTCAGCACCGGGCACATACTGAATCAGATGCTACACGTTTTGGGAACACCACTACAAATTGTTGATGGAACACGTTGTGCACTCACGCTGCATCATTCACTTGAATGTGTCTGTTCACAAGGTTGCATTGCCCTTCAATGTCCTAACAATGTGGTCCTCTATTTCAGCGTCATCCAAGACAGTTTTGGAAACGTCCAGCAAACCTTCGAAGGCGACAGCTCCGGAGTGACTGGTGAGATCATATCACCTGGATTCGAAGAATCCAGCACAGGAGACTTCGATGCCAGCGCCGGTGGTGGTGAGACTATTTCTTCGGAGAATGATATCACCTCATTCGCCGGAGAGGTCACAGACGCGGGCGTTACTACAGACGGTGAGATCAGCTCACCGGGTACTGAGGACGTGTCATCCAGCAATGACATCACTGCCTCTGACTACGAGGCGTTCTCGACAGGCGGAGACGTCGACGGCACCTTCGTGGACGACAACACGGCTCCCGGGGTCCTGGTCGGTGGATCAGCCACCGACTCCAGCTCAACCTCAACATCCGTTTCAGATTTCAGCTCCAGCTCCGAATCCGGCCTGGGCGTCACAGGGGCTAGCACGTCGACAGATGAGGTCGATGACTTTGACAGCAGCGTAGCGCCGTTGACGGAGGCGCTACCAGCGCTTGCAGCCTACGGGTCATCCGCTGACCGTCTTTCAGAGAGTACCTCGCCTGCCGAGGAAGCAGCTGCGGTCAGCACGTCTTCTGTAGACTCGGGGGAGGTCGCTACGCAGGTGATCGACTCCGGTGTGTCAGAGACTACCTCCGAGGTGGCGGACATCCCGGCGGTCGGCTCGGCGGCCTCCGCGGTCGGCTCGTTCGTGGACGGGACGACCGAGGAGGCGCTGGTGGAGGTAGTGGAGGACCCGGTGGTGACTGAACAGGTGCCACTCCTCGGAGGAGAGGAAACCACTTCCGAGGCAGCCCCGGCCGCAGGGGAGGCGCAGGAGCAGCAAGAGGTCCAGCCGCAGCCTTCCGAGTACCTGCCGCCGCCGACAGATGCCCCAGCGCCCGACTTCGACGTTCGCGCCATTCTCCAGCAGGTATTTCAGGTCCCTCCTGATTAACATGCGCCGGCCGACAACGCTTTCGCTTCGACTTACTCACGCGACTGAACAACTGGTTGAGCAGACCATAACGCATTCGACCGGCGACAGCAGCTCCTACCATCGCATTCTGACGACTAGCAGTGGTGATCTAGCGGTCTTCAACACTTTGTAGAATCGTCGGCATGTCCCTTCAACAAACAAGACTTTTGCAGATAACTTTGTATTTGTATTTGTATTTATTTGCGTACGGTCTCCATGTGATGGCTTTTCAGACCGCGCATGTACGGATTTGTAAACACAAATACTACATTTAACATTGCCCATTACACATCATGAATGCATGCATGCATAGTCATTAGTCACACACGGCTACCCGTTACGACTGGCGTTCCAGTGGGCCGTTGCACGGTAGTTGAAGAAACGCTTTGCGAGTTCCGTACGCACGCGGGGCAATTGTAGAAGGCCAGCTGAAGTAGAACGGGTACCTCTATCAGATACATCGTGCCGGTAAACAAGCGACTCTTGTAGGATCTGTGGTGCATGTTGGTGGCTCATCAGTCTGCTGATGAACGACATGTCTCTCTTGCTTATCAAATCGTCAATGGTGGACCAACCAAGCGATGCCAGGAGTGGTGAGACATGCTCTGACTTCCGGCTGCAGAAGATGATACGGGCACAATGATTAATCACACGCTGAATGCGACGCTTCTGGGTGATACCACATCCACCCCAGACGCTCAAACAGTATAAAATGTGCGTAAAAATAAGCGCCTCTATCAGAAATGTTTTAACTTCAGCTGATAGACCACGACAGAATTTTGATAGCCCATGAAGTGTTGCATAGCACCGTTTCACTACAAGAGAAACTTGCGCTTTCCATGATAAGTGTTCGTCAATGTCCAACCCTAGAATTCTTGCTGAAGGGGAAGGACGTAAGATAACACTGTCTAAGTCAACAGAGAACTCTTCAATCTGACGACGCTGGCGTGTCTTAAACAATATGATTTCTGTTTTCTTCGGATTAATTTTAAGACTATTGTTGACGAACCAGGACTGCGCTTCACTGAGGGTGTTCGCCACCCGCGCCTGCAGAGTAGCTAGGTCGGCACTGGAGTGAGCATGCAGAAACTGGACGTCATCTGCGTACATGACGACTTCAGCATCGCTTATGTACTCTGCAAAGTCATTTGCGTACAGCAAGTAGAGTACAGGTCCGAGCAAGGACCCTTGCACCACACCGTGGGTTACATGGGCAAGAGAACCTTCATGAACTCTCTGTTTGCGACCGCTTAACCAATCTTGGAACCAATGCGTGTCAACCCCATACCAGCCAAGCTTATTTATAACGGCGTAGTAGTGCTTGAACAACACGTAGTCCTCTTAGCCTGAATATAAAACACATTAGTAGTATGTATTTGCACATATTCTTAAAACATTTAACTATATTGTTCGTTTTCTTCTTAACCGTAAAAGTTGCACTGATGCTAAAGCATGACTTTCAATGCCTTACATATATCTCATTAGCTTAATTTTATATGTAAGCTATAGCATAAGTCTACTCATTATACTTACCTATGACCCCGGTTAAAGGGACTGTCCCACCTTAACATTAGATTTGAGTTGAGATAGCCATCTTGATGGACGTTCTTTGAAAATCAGTGCCGTGAAAACCGTTTCTCCAGCAATTACTTCATCGCAAAGAAATTTGAGTTTGATTTTGACATCTGTGCAAATAAGTGCCACAATGTATTGGTATAGGCACTTAAATCTGATGACGTCATCAGGCTTTCGAACGTCCGTTAAATGTTTGACTAAAACGTTTTGTAGCACGCGGTGGTATATGCTGCGTTGCGCGCAACAAATGCCGCACTTTTAAATAAAGTCGCTAGGAACAGCGGAGATCCCAAAAAGTAAACAAAAGTAAAAGTCTAATATCTTGAAAACCGGTGAATATTTTTCGGTCAAATTTGGTAGATATTCGTTTTCGCTCTTTCTGAACCGAGCGACATCACTTTCATGCCAATTCATAAACTTTTTTAAAGGTGGGAGGGTCCCTTTAAATGCGTGTATGTATGTATGATGTGCTGCTAACGTCACCTTTACGCTGTGAACTATGGCTACCAACCGCGCTTGAGTGACCATGATTGACGTTAACCATGGTCGCACTGAACCTAACTGACTCAAATAATTACAGAGTAATCTTCAGGAACCCCATGTAAGCATGCATGCTACTGACCAACTTCCATCACTTTGTTACATTCTCCGCATTTCTTTGTGCTTTGCATCCCGCTCACGCTGTTAAGCTGCACCTGCCGTATCACCTCAGCTGCCTCATGCCTGCATCCGTAAACTGCATGTCTGCTTCGCAGGACTGGCGATCTCGCGCGTCACGACCTACCGACCCCGTACTGACCTGTGGGACGCCGGCCGACGTGACGCCAACTCGGACTCGTGGACCTCTAACTCCGGTCTTCCATCACTCCCCACCGCCTTGGGCCTCTCCGCGCCATCCGACTTCTCCGAAGTCAGAAGTTTTCCACCTGCCGAGCTCTCACTTACGTCTGCCCTCCTGTCCTCGTCCGATGACCTCGAAGATGATTTTCCTCTCCTGTTCGCCGACCCTGACGAGGCCAATGAGATCGAAACTGACATGACCAGTCCGTTTGGGAAACCGGCTGATGTTGATCCGGCATCATTCGGTGTGACGCCTCCGGCCAAGTTCCTTGACCTTATGCTCATGACGACTAAGCTGCTGGACGCAGAGGCGGACCGGTTACCCGATGGTCTTCACATCAGCGACCAGGAAACATCAGAGGCGGCCACACAGGCTCCAGCAATCCCGCTGGACGTTACAGCGAGAACAGCTGACCTCACAGCAGACATGATGATCAAGGCGATGCAAGTGGCCGAGGTTCGCAAACTGGGACGGAACAACATGCTAGAAACAATAGATATTCCAGAAGAATCCACACGTCGGAGGGCGAACGGAGAAGTGGCTTTTGGAGAAGCCTCGCAACCGGTCAGTACCTTTGTGGTGGCACAAAATGACAGTGAGGAAAATCAGCCTGGAGGAGGTGCCTTGGATGGGCTGTCTCTAGCTACCAGATTGAGGTTAAGGACTGCACTGGAGGCGCTGGCAAAGCTGGATTCTGAGCTGGAAAATAACGACAAGGGTGAAGAAATAGGCAAAACTGCAGATGACTCCGTCAAAACGTCAGAACCTGACAATGCCGCTGGTGAAGGGGGAGATGACGTTCACGATAAGATCACCGAGGCAGAGGTAGACGTAAGCCGTCAACCAGATAACGCGACTTCCCCGCTGCCACCACAGATCAGAAACATGGTGCAAATAATACAGGAAATCCTGCCAGAATTTCAGAACATGACTCAAAAGACCCGAGAGACGCTTATAAATATGATGATGGAAAAGATTAACAGCAACTCAGCCGATGAAGACAGGCCTTTCCGTTCATCCAATAAAATCGGAAACAGCGACGATATTAGTGATCAAGTAGAGCTATTAAAACTCAAAGTTTCTAACTCGACGTCTGCATCGCCTCGGTTCAAAACAACTTCAGCATTGTCCAGTCAACTTCAGGCCATTTCGAAATTACCAGATGATTCAACCGATGATATTTCCATTTCTGAAAACATTTTACGTCTCAACGAAACCGTTGAAAGGCCTGAAGTAGAAACTCAGATCACTAAACCTCAGGCAGTGCTTTCAGACCAAATGGCGGATAGCAGTCGTCCTAGCATGAGACTGAGCGACATGATAAGCGAAGCTGGTCGAAATCGCACTGGGTTTTTCAATCGAGAAAAACTTTCAGCCAACTCCGGCACAAGCCAGTTAAACCTTGCAAACAGCTCTCCGGAGTCATTCGAAGTTCTAACCAATGCTCTTCGAAATTTCACCGTAACAAATCCAGTTGAAGCACCCCTCACGTTAGCAGATATCAAAGGACTGGCCGAAACACCTATTGATAGTGAGGAATCTATGAAAAGCCAAAATATAGTCCAACTACTGTCATCAATTCCTCTTGCCGTGGTAGTAAAATTGGAACAAATACCTGCCGTGATGTCAGCGATCCTGAACATCATGAATCGTGAGATGGTATCTACCACAACACCGGGGAATAAAGCGGCGAATGCGACAGCTTCACCTTTGCCCGTCTTACCAGTTCAGATGCGATCAAACGTAAGCATGCCAGATGAGTCCATGGCTCTGTCAGAATTGTTGCGCAGAGTTGAAAAGGAGTTAAAAGAAGAGCAGGGAGAGGAAAGCAGAACTGCAAAAACCCGTGACCAGCGAATCGAAGACGGTGTGCAATCGTCGAGTTCCTCGCGGCCACTTTTCGAGCGCCTTAGGAGACCAGAGGCAGCAACCCGATCTCCTGAACCTGGCCAAACACGACAGAGACTTGGCACATCTCTAGCGGATGCTCTGAGACGCACCAGTCTCCAGTCCAACACCCGTGGCTCCTCGACCAGTCGGTCTGGTGCGGGGAGGAGAACGGCTGCCAGACCGACTTTCAGAGGGCGGACAATTTTTGACACCATGTCACAGAAACGGACGTCCTTGGGCACCACGCCAAGAGCAATCAGATCCCCACTAAGAAAACCTATCCGAGCCGGGGCCCAAGTGTTGTCCGCTTTTAATGGACAGAACTTTTCTCGTGCTCGGATTCCTGCAAATGTCGCTGAGAGAACGATGACTACCAGAGCTAATACCAGGGAGGTTGGTCGCCTCAGACAAAAAGTGTCTCCTCGCCAGTCACCTTTACCATTGCAAACCACTTCTCCATCTGCGAACCCAATACGGGCAGCCCCAGGTCTCCAGCGACTTGTAAATCCCACTCGAGAAGCTACGTCTACGCTGACGAGCAGGCCATCTGCGATTTCGTTACAGTCAATGCAGTCTCTTGGAAAGCCAGTGAGAGCCTCAAAGCCCAACGTAAGGACCAACCAATCAACCACGCATGACATCACAGAGATTCTCTCTGTCCTAGGAATGATCCCTACAGAGGGTTTGCCGACCTCGTTCCGAAGAACAGCTCAACTACCAATCAAGTCCACTTCTCAGCGGGCCAGCTTTGAAATCCCACTTGCGAATCAAATAATGTCTGCTGCAGATCACGTTCGTCCAGTGTTGTTGCTTTCACAATTGGCTGCTTCAGTACAGGGAAGAAAGGAACTCAGAAGAGTAATTGATGAAGTTTTAACTTCGGAAGCATCATCAAATGCTAGACCACTTATTCCCGCTCAAAGAACAGTGCCCTCTGAATCATCTGTTTCATCACAGCAACCACTGCCCCCTGAAGGAGATGGCGCTATTAGAATGGAGGCACTAAGATCTTCGTTCGGAAATGGGACCAGGAATGTAAAAGGTCTGAACAGCAATGCCGGCGGTAATGTGATGTCCTTATCCGAACAACTTCGACTGAGAACGCTTCAAGAGATAGCCAGCCAGAACAAGGCGGATAATATGTCACCGTCTTCAACCACACCAAAAGTATCGATCGATTTGGTTCGACCGAAACATTTGGGTATGCGTAAAGAGCTGTCCGCTAAGGAGAAAATGTTGGCAGATTGGAGAGAACAGCTGCGTCAGCGGATTGCAGTGAAGTTGGTTCTTAAGAACGAATCTGAGAATAAAAGGCTTTCCACTCCGCTTCCAAATCCTTCGGCGCCTAGCGCCGGTAATAAGCCGAAACCAACTGTGATGTCTCACATGAACAATGAGCTAGATGTCCTAAAAGAATTTCTCAGGCAAAAGGTTGCAAGACGGCCTCCAAAGAGCAACAATGTTCAAGAGGAAGATGCTGCTTTAAATGTCCGTGAGGCACTGAATGCAGCAGGGCAAGAGAAAACAGATCCCACTATCTCGCTTGGAGGCCGTCTCATTCTGATGTTGAACCAGGAACGGATGAATCAGAATAATGCAATGACGAATGAAGCACTTGGGCAAAATGTGAATTCTGCCAGGCCGTCAAGTTCATCGGCAACAAACTTGCGAGAAGCTGACATTGCAACTGCTGTAAGGCAAGCCTCAATGACCTCTAACGCGCAACGAACCTCGGCCGGTGCTGTATTCCAGAAATTAAGAATGCATAAGATATCACAAAATGACAATGAACAACTAGGACCTCGAATGTCCGAGAAGATCTTTAGCAGGGATATCCCATTCTCTGGGGAGACGATCACTTCCCAGTTACAAAGGCTAACTATCCCTCATCAGCAGCCCCAGTTCAATGCACCGGCCTTCAAAGGTTCGGCGACTCAGCCCCAGGAACCGCAAGAGTTCTTCGATAGGTGGCGACAGCTGTTGACTATTACAGCAACTTCTGGAGGTGGAGAGTCGGCTTCACCTACAGCTGCTCCAAAGGCAGCAAATGCGACGGATACGGTGCGTGCCTTGCAAAGTGCTGCCAAGGCAACATCCGGTATTACCCGATCTTCGATTCCCAGTCTGTCTGTGAGAGAGTTTACCTTTAGGTCCCCTGAGAGCACCACCATGCGGAGTCCGCTCTGGCCTGCAAATGACGGAACTGCACCGAAAAGTTTCCCTCGAGATCGCTTCAGGTCAACATCCAAACGCAAACCACCGACGTCACCTTCATCTCAAAAGCAGGCAAACTCAGGAACACTGGCGATACCTAAGGGCGTCACTGGTGAATTTACCAGTGATGCCACAAATGATGCTTCTAAAGGCGATGCAGCTTCAGATAGAGATGGAGAAGATGGTGACCTGTCTCTAGCGGACACTGAGCGGCGCGAGTGGCTATGGAGCTCGTCCCCTCGCAGAGCACACACGGGCCGGCCCGGCTGGCGATGGCCGTTGGACTCGGCTCGTCTGCTCCCGCCGCGGCAGGACAAAGAGAACCCCTCCTCCGTCCTCAAACCCCTCTCAGAGCTTACCAGGAGACACCGCCCGTCCTCCCGAACACAGACTGGGCTACAGAGAGGAGCGACAGGTGGACCGGAAAGGCCTGGCGGCTCCCGGCACCAGCCGGGTCGGTCGACAGCGATCTCAGGCCGGTCGGACAGGGTCGGCGACTCTCCCGTCCTGCCATCCCGACACCAGCAGTTCCACGTCCTCGAACGACCGTACGACTTCACTGACCGATCGCCAGACAGAGCGTACCCCGTTGTGTATATACAGGGCTTTGGCTGATGACCTGGACGAGGTAATTCGAGACAGACTTTCGACGTTACTTTGACATTGCTCGGCTCGTGACTTAGTAGTAAATTAAATGTTTCAATATTTTCCCTCATACTTTTCCAATGACTTTTGCCCTAGACGAAATAAACTGAGCGCTAAATGTTGTCGAATGCATAATCTGCTCCCTTATTTGTGTATTAAACTATTGGTTGTTAACTACGAGTAAGAATCCTCCCTCGCCTCGCTGTGTTCGCCCCGCTTGTGCTTCCTTTGTTATGCGTCTAACTCTGGTCCTGTGTCTCCAGCGTCGTAGGAGGCTCGCTCTGAGGAGAGGGCGAACGTGGGGCTAGCTGGCCACCTCTGAAGACGGTGGCACTATCGTCCCGGTGACTCCCGGCGGGCTCGAGCGCTCGCACTAGTCCGCTCGAGACTCCGCCTGCGAACCGAGAGCGACCATCGGACGAGAAATGTCGGTCGGGCTCAACATGCGGACTCCTCTGTGTGGGATGTACAAACTGTTCGCTGAACGTGTGCGAATCTGGCAGTGAGAGAGGTCGCGAGAGGTCGTGAAAGTGACTGGAAACGGTAGAGGATCTAGTGACGTCGGGAGTGGAGGATTGAAGCCGTGGTTAGATTGTCCCGGATTTGTCGAGGAATCCTCAGTCAGATGGAATCGTTAATCAAAGCATTCCTTGTCCGTTGCTTTCTTGGGTTACCAGTTGTGTAGACTTAACATATTGTTATTTTATATTGACGTCTGTGTGAGCCATACCCGTGTGAATACAACGAATATAATATTCGCTATATAAGCCTGGATATGTTATGCAGTAATGCTGGGTTTTTGCGGCATAAGGACAAGTTATCGGCACAAGAAGAAAACCTTCAGGCTTTCCGAAAATGACAATTTGACAACATATTTTCAGTACCTACATATATTTCCATCTTCGTTCTAGTTCAAGCTCCGACAACATTTAAATACTGAAACAATACCTACCTACCTAATGCAAATGTGGAAACCACTAGGTCAATAACAAGCCAACAATCGCAACATGCAACAATACGGTATGTGTACTGGACGAACAGTTAATGTAAATAACTAAAACGTTAAAACGTATACAGTCACCTTACCTGACTCTTGAGATCTAGTTGCAAAACAACTGGCGTAAACATAAATAAATAAGCGTTAGGTGCAAACAAAACAAGGCTGAACCATCTATCTGACCTCGGTAAAGCCTTCTTTACATGTATGGCCTCGGTAAAGCCTTCTTTACATGTATGGCCTCGGTAAAGCCGGTCTTAATTACCAAGAAGTGCATCCATTTCAGTGGATACAATAGACTGTTGGCCTGAGCGTTTTACTAGCAATATATTTCCCCAATTTCTCTGCCATGGCATGTCGAAGACTTACCTCTCCTAACTAGAGTTTCAGCCGACATCCCTCTTATAGCCGCCACAAGCGACATTTCTTCGAACAATATTCCCGCTGACCTCTCGCGTCTTACGGTGACGCCCCCGCTGACCTCCCGTCTCACAGCGAGGTAAGACGAAGGACGCCGGAGGCGGGCGTCTCCATCAGCAGCTTCCCCAGGCCCTTCAGGCCGCCGACCAGCACGTTCTTCTCACTGACCATCAGCCACTCGGAGAGTAGCGCTGGCCAGAGGCGGAGCGGCGTCGTCAGCGCGTGACTCAGACGGTGAGGGAATGAGGCGTAGTTGGAAGCGAGCACACCGTCCACCAGTAGAGTACCGTGCTCCGTCAGAGGCACGAACGCGCCTGGGGAATGGCGAGGGGCGTAAGGACACGTGAGAGCAACGCACGTGTGATTCCGGTTACAACGGGAAGGGCATCTCATGACGGCACAAAAATGAATGCATTGGATAATTGCATACAATCTTCAAGAAATTGTCCAGATATCACCCGTAGAAATGACTGCCCACCGGGTCTTACTCACCGGCCATGATCTTGTATGTAATATTGCTGACGGCGCTGTAGGCGGCCGTCCCGTTCCCAGCCTCCGTCAGCAGTTCATCACCCACTCGCAGCTCGCTGGCGAACAGACCCTCCGGTCGCCGCCGCGCGAACGTCACGTGATTGGCCGAGAGTCGCAGCAGGTGTCCGGAGACCAGCTGCACGTGCAGGTACTCCCCGGCGGCGGCAGGACGGCGGTCCAGAAAACCCAGCACCGTGGTGGGCACCAGAGATCCGCTGGCGTCCACTGTGGACGGAGATATTTGAGTTCAAAGCATAGGCGGCGGAACGGGGAGGGCACCGGGGCACCGTGCCCCCTTTGATTTTGGCATTTTAACATTAGCCCTATGGGCGTTGCATGGAAAGAATGGGACCAAAAGTCGGCAGTGCCCCCCCCCCCCCCCCTAATTAAAGATGTTCCGCCGCTACTGGTTCAAAGCACTGATGTAAAATGCAGCTGGAGTTTAAGTGTCTGAATCACATTTTAATAGCTCTATACCGATTTGATTTTTCCCTTTCTTTTTATGAAGCAGCAAAGCATTTTTAAAGAATCGCCAAACACATTATTCAGATTTTTTACTATAAATCTATTCTCCAGCGTTCTATTGCATTACGTTTAAGCGTCGCGACACTTTCCAAATATGTAATAGGTGCAGTTTTAATCAAGACAATACATATGCCTTGATTGCTTTGCCACTTATTTCGACGATGAATATTAGCCCACTCAGCGCGTAAGCTTAGCGTTTATCTCCAATATAGGTACTCGTACCCACCTACAGCTACAGCAATATCGTTTCCGCTCGGCGGGAGGTCCCTGCGGTGTGCCATTTTTGGCACTCGTTCGCCACTAACGAACCGCCCCGGATTAGCCTCTCGGCGGTGTCCGCTATACTGACCGGTCAGGACACGGTCTCCGGCGGTCAGCTGCGCCATGCCGCGGACACGACCGTCGGTCAGCAGTGCGCTGGCCGCCGCCGGGAAGCAGGATCCCCATTGGCAGTCGCAGCAGAAGGTGGCGTGCGTCTTGGGGCTGTGGCACGTGCACTCGCCGCGCTCTTCGCACAGCCGCTGCATCCTCCAGCGCTGCGGGCGGCTGTGCTTCTGCGGGCGAGACAATCGAGCTGAGATCGTACCGCGTGGTCCCGAGCAATAGTCGTAAACTATAAATAGCTAATAACCGTTTTCACGACGGGCTTTCCGGCGAATGCACCTGATTTGACCAAATCTGCACCTTATTTCTTTTACAGCAAATATCTTCATTTTATGAATTTATTTCAGTGTTTTAATCGATGACGCTCTCTGATAATACGACAAAGCAGGCATATGAGCAATTAGTGTAACCCTAGCTGATAGCTACTAAGAGACACACTGAACCTGATTTGACCAAATCTGCACCTGATCTGCACCAGATGTGCACCAAATGTGTACCAGATGGCCGTCGTGAAAACGGCTATTATATATTACATAATATATTATATAACACACCGCTGAATGCAAAAACATCGATGTGGTGTGGTCAGCAGAATCACCGGCAGCCTATTCTTCCGATTTCATGTCGTCACTGAATGGACTTGGTCAATGGTCATCACCAATGACTTTGGTAGAAACAACAGCTAGGGCGCTGCGCTGCTCCTTGGAAATAACTCAGCTTGTTTCTCATTCAGTGGGGTGAATACCATTGAATACCACTGAATAACAAATTTGTCATTGATACCTTCGCTACTGCAGTGCTGGTTATAGCATCAGCAATTGCCCTTAACGGATACTGAGTGACTGACTGAATAGCCCTTGTGACAGATGAGTGTAGTAGTTAGGGAAAATTGACAGCAAATGACACAAAAATAACACCTTTGAGGGCTGTATGCGCTTTCCTAGAAACCATCAGCAGATGCTAAAGCCTATATGTGTCTATCGTTAGATATATATGAAGGATATTTGTTTTGAATAGGTTCGCAGAAAAAGACAGGCAAGTAAAGTATCCATCCCATATCAAGAGGAACGCGGTGGTGACTGTTTATCCACCGGGCCGTGCCAACCCAGCCTACATGCGATCATCACTTCGGCCTGACTGGCCCTGGTTAGGGAGCCGCCCGGCAAAGTTTACCTTCAGAGCTGTCATGCGGTACAGTCTACCTACCTAGTCAGAGGTGTTATGCGGCACAGTCTACCTACCAGTCAGAGGTGTAATGCGGTAAAGTCTACCTACCAGTCAGAGGTGTAATGCGGTACAGTCTACCTACCAGCCAGAGGTGTAATGCGGTACAGTCTACCTACCAGTCATAGGTGTAATGCGGTACAGTCTACCTACCAGTCAGAGGTGTAATGCGGTACAGTCTACCTGCCAGTCAGATGTGTAATGCGGTACAGTCTATCTACCAGTCAGAGGTGTAATGCGGTACAGTCTACCTACTAATCGAGGTGTAATGCGGTACAGTCTACCTACCAGCCAGATGTGTAATGCGGTACAGTCTACCTACCAGAGGTGTAATGCGGTAAAGTCTACCTACCAGGCAGTCAGAGGTGTAATGCGGTACAGTTTACCTGCCAGTCAGAGGTGTAATACGGTACAGTCTACCTACCAGTCAGAGGTGTGATGCGGTACAGGCTTCCTACCAGTCAGAGGTGTAATGCGGTACAGTCTACCTACCAGTCAGAGGTGTACTGCGGCACAGTCTACCTACTATTAAGAAGTGTTATGCGGTACAGTCTACCTACCAGTCAGAGGTGTAATGCGGTACAGTCTACCTGCCAGTCAGATGTGTAATGCGGTACGGTCTACCAGTCAGAGGTGTAATGCGGTACAGTGTACCTGCCAGTCAGAGGTGTAATGCGGTACAGTCTACCTACCAGTCAGAGGTGTAATGCGGTACAATCTACCTACCAGTCACAGGTGTAATGCGGTACAGTCTATACCTACCAGTCAGAGGTGTAATGCGGTACAGTCTACCTACCAGTCAGAGGTGTAATGCGGTACAGTCTACCTACCAGTCAGAGGTGCAATGCGGTACAGTCTACCTACCAGTCAGAGGTGTAATGCGGTACAGCCTACCTACCAGTCGAGGTGCAATGCGGTACAATCTACCTACCAGCCAGAGGTGTAATGCGGTACAGTCTACCTACCAGTCAGAGGTGTAATGCGGTACAGTCTACCTACCAGTCAGAGGTGCAATGCGGTACAGTCTACCTACCTAGTCAGAGGTGTTATGCGGTACAGTCTACCTACCAGTCAGAGGTGTAGTGCGGTACAGTATACCTACCAGTCAGAGGTGTAATGCGGTACAGTCTACCTACCAGTCAGAGATATGATGCGGTACAGTCTACCTACCAGCAGATTCAGATTCAGATTTATTCAAAAGAAGTCCACTCACCATGGCTTTTCACTCTTTCACGTCAGTTACAAGTACAAAAAGGACGAATTTAGGCCACATTCACGTTCCACACGCATACCACTCATACATCAACTCACTCCGATCATCACTGAGGATCGACAGATCCGACGACCGCTCTGACAGCTCTACGGAACCCGGGCTCACAGGGATCTGCCCCTATACCGTTGAGCAGTGTCACGCCACGGTAACACATTCTCCGCCTACCGGATTCAGTGCGTATGTTGGGGCGGCTGAATAGATCGGCTTGTCTCGTTCTGTAGGTGTGCCTTTGGCTCGATCTCGGTCCAATAGTTCCACATAGGTACTCAGGCTGCTGGGTCACGATAACACTCGCCAGCGCACACACGGTGTGGTAGTCGATCAGCTGCTCTACCTTGAGCCAACGGAGCCGCTGTATCTCACCGCTAATATGGTCGAAACGGCGCTTCCCTGTCACTACACGGGCACAGAAGTTGACAATCTTCTGTACACGGCAGTGTTCGCCACGGGCCCCAAAATCCCCAGCCCAGCCCGGCCCGGGCCCATGGGTTCAGAGCCCGGCCCAGCCCGTAGCCCGCTCTTGGCAAATATTCCAAGCCCAGCCCGGCCCGGCCCGGCAAAAATAGCAATCTAGTTATTGTCTTAGTCTATTGCTATAATAAGCATGATTGATTACACTATTTTGAGAACAATTCAAATTGCATGAATATTAACATGGCAATCATGACTCCCTTCTTTTCAATGAATATAATCATTTCAAGCACCTATGGCACAAATTTTAACAGTAACAGCAAGCACCTCAGTCAATTAGGTCATGACAGATTACACACCTATAAAAAGTTTACATGATTATATTAACTACATTCTATGAGTAAAGTTATCTTGCAAGCTGATGTGTGTGAACATTATCATTCATAATTGGTGACTCTAATGCATACTTGAAGGAAGTATTTGCCACATACTCTATACTTCCCAGCACTTACCAGCAGAAAAAAAGCTTGACTTATGGGAATTGATGAATCTGTCTGGGATTGACCTTGCTGTTAAATTCACTCCATAGATGCTGCAATATCAAAAGCCTGAGAAAGCATACAAAATAGGTGACACTAACTTTAGCACTGTCTTCCAAAAAAAAGAGAAAATCCATCCATTTATCAGCAAAACTGATCTTATCTATTTTCAATTCACGCCCACGTGTCAACCAAATCTCTGTGGACAACTATCTGCTACTTTCCTTGCTATTTTATGTTAGGCTCTTTTCAAGATATTGATATCGCTAGCAGCGTAAGCAGAAAACATGGTGAACTTGAAATGTCATTGGGTACTTTTGCGACTTTTACGCATCATCATCATCAATCAAAAATGAGCGAACACTTCTTTATTGTCGCAGCTGCGGCAGGTAGCGATTTTGACCAATTGTATAATAAAACATATATGATCAAGTTTTTGTTTTGTTTTTCGTTCGAGTTTTCAGACTTCGTGATTTAGGTTTTATTTTTTATTTGTTTAATTTTGTTTTTCACCTTGATACTTACTTTAAAAACGTATTTATTTGATATACTGTTGTGTATATTACCTAGATGCCGCCACATAAACATAGGGCCGCCGCATGGCCGCCGCCATGATTGCAAATTTTGTTGAGAAGGGGCTGGTTTGTTGTGACTTATTTTGACAAATTTATGGACATTTAAAGAAGCTTTCATCGCGAAATACTCTGTAGAGTTCCTCGTTACTTACAGTGTGTTTTGTGAGTATCCTTTTAAGGTTCTGTTCGTTAAAAAGCCGTCGGTGAAGGAAAAAAGACTGTGTTGGAATTGTCTCACTATCGCCATATATAAGTGTTAAACTTAATGTAGCCCTGTGGCCCATCATTGTTGAGTGGCTTCTTAGTTTTTGGAGTTGTAGTGCTAAGTAAGTTATTCTGATGACTACATTTTAACTTTTATTACAAACTAATGATGCTAGAGATTCTCTGATCTTTTTGGTTGCGGAATTTTTATGAAAACCCTCCTATGTGTGACATGATGTGATAGGTATTGGATAATTCTCAAGATTCCCAAAATTCAATATCAAGTAGGTTTTCTTTCACATTCCTTAAATTTGGTTTAGTTTTTGTATTTTCCCAGTGGGTTTTGTTTGCATCAGTTTCCAAATTTTCTTAAATTGACATTAGTCGCAAAACCCATAGTGCACAAAGCTCTTGGCCCGGCCCGTCCATAGCCCGTTAACTAATGATATTTGGGGGCCCGGCCCAGCCCATAGCCCAGCCCGGCCCATGGCCCGTTGGGCTGGCCCGGCCCGTGGCGAACACTGGTACACGGTCGCGCTGGGTGACTCCGCATGAGCCGTAGACGGATAGGCAGTAGACGGATAGGCAGATTGCAGAGATGTAATGCGGCACAATCTACCTACCTAGTTAGAGGTGTTATGCGGCACAGTCTACCTACCAGTCAGAGGTGTAATGCGGTACAGTCTACCTACCAGCCAGAGGTGTAATGCGGTACAGTCTGCCTACCAGTCAGAGGTGAAATGCGGTACAGTCTATCTACCAGCCAGAGGTGTAATGCGGTACAGTCTACCTGCCAGCCAGAGGTGTAATGCGGTAGTCGGTACAGTCTACCTGCCAGTCAGGTGTAATGCGGTACAGTCTACCTACCAGCCAGAGGTGTAATGCGGTACATCTACCTACCAGCCAGAGGTATAATGTGGTACAGTCTACCTACTAGTCAGAGGTGTAATGCGGTACAGTCTACCTACCAGTCAGAGGTGTAATGCGGTACAGTCTACCTACCAGCCAGACGTGTGATGCGGTACAGTCTACCTGTTAGTCAGATGTGTGATGCGGTACAGTCTACCTACCAGTCAGATGTGTAATGCGGTACGGTCTACCAGTCAGAGGTGAAATGCGGTACAGTCTATATAACAGCCAGAGGTGTAATGCGGTACAGTCTACCTACCAGCAGAGGTGTAATGAAAGTCAGCAGTTTGCCACCAGAGGAGCATTGCGGCACAGTCTACGTAACAGCCAGGGGTGAAATGCTTCACAGTATGCACGTTGAGCTGACAAGTGACCGACGATGTATATAGGTAAATGCGCTGTAAGTATGTACCTACATATATTTACAAACGCATAATGATAAATGGGCTTAGTTGCATATTCATCCGTTTCCAGCCTTACCCGTCGCTGTCTGGAGATAAGGTCAGCTTCACCCTCGTCTGTGACGTCCGTCTCCAGGAAGTCCGGCCAGCTGTGCAGCGGAGTCTGGTCCCCGTCCTCGTCCAGTCCCTGTCCCTGCTGCTGCTGGTTCTGCTCCTGTCCCGACTCCACCGGCTCCTGTCCCTGCTCCTGTTTCTGCCCCTGCCCCAGGTCCGCTCGCGGCTGTCGGCGCCAGTACCAGTGTCGCTCCCACACCGGTCGCCAGGAGCGCCACGAGCTGGAGTCACCCCCGGGCGCCAGGTACGGCCAGTGTCGGTCGTAGATGGTGGCGCCCGGCGGCTCCGGCGTCTGGCTGATGTACGCGGCGGCTCCGGAGAGCAGGACAGCCAGCAGAGGCAGCAGACGTGCCGGGGAGGGCATACTGCAGAGCGGCGAGACTGCACCCTGAGGGGAACGGGGCGGTGCAGCCACAGTAGTAGGTAGGGCTAGGGCGACCTGCAGTCGGGTGCGATACTGTCCGGCTGCGATTGTGACAGCAGCTCGATTAGATTAGATTTTTTTCAAGCGTATTCGGATGGTCAAGCACGTTTCCGAAGTTGAACATCGAAACTGAAAGAAGGTAGCACGTTTTATTGCGTGCCAGGCACATCATTGATTTCTATGGTTTCAATTTCGCTATTAATATCTGGGTCCGTAGGAAACAATAAAAAAGAATATCAAAGGAATGTTTTAATATCCTTTCCAGAACACACAACCCTTTTAGTTATGAGTGTAAGTTGTAACTCGCCTTCCTTTTTGGATCAAGAACTGGGGAGCGGTAAGTCGCGATACGTGCGCAGTGGAGTAATTGCAGCATTATATTGTCAGCTAAGTAGCGTGAGCGTGCTCACGGCTGACGCACCTGCCCCAGGGGGATATTTGACGGCGTTAGCGCTCAACGCTACACCAGAAGCCACTCTGGAAGGAATTGTCGGCAGTCTTAGCCATCACTTTCATTAGTTACGGAGCTGCAGATCCCTGGGGAGACAGGCCGGACAGTGCTGTCTCCGCCCAAGTAGTGGTTTATCATGTCTTTGTTACGTTACATTTGATTTAGCGTGACTTACGCTTTCTCCCGCTCTGATGCACGGCAACCTTACAGATAGACAGAACAGAGGGATTGGTCCAATTATTACATTACAGCTTTTTGTAACATACCTACATCTGCCATCATTTTCCTATATGTAGGTCCCCGTCCAAGGATTTTTCACTCGAATAGGCACTCAGCAGGCAAGAGACGATTCATCAGACATTCTTGAGCGAGAGGTACGCAGTTAACCCGCGCCACTCTGGGGAGGGGGGTTAAGCACCCCTCCAACTTGTCGGCGGCCACATCTTATCGCACATCTTTTCTGCACATACTTTGAAAAAAAAAACAGACTAAGGTCAAGCAAGGTCAGGTCACCAGGTCACGTCAAGTGACCTCGCCTAAAAAGCTCCAATGCCTGCCATAGCTACACTGAGTGACCGATCAACAGTAGGTATGTAACTTTTAACAGCAATTGATAAGTATAACAGCATGTACCTACAAAATGTATATCTCGGAAATTTAAATCGTTGGTCTATAGTCAGGTCAGTTTTGCAACCTCTCTATTATACCTAAGTCAATGGGAGAAAATTGAAAGGAGCCTCTTTTGGACGAAATTCATTCTTAACACTTTTAGATATCGAAGTACACGTCAATATGACACACTGAAGCGGAGAATGGCACCCGTGACCCCTTGTTATGTCCCTGAGGACGGTCATCTCAGGTCACGAATGGTATCTAACAGTTTTCCGCGAATAACCTTTGATAAAGGCACGCTAGAGCGCTGAAAATGCCTCAGTGTTCATCTCGATAATACAGATCGACCGATATGCAGCATAACCTTTCCAGTTATGTCATGACCTTGACCTGAGGTCAAATTTTCAAGTTGACCTTTCGAGGTCAGCTTATAGTTCATTCGATGCCTCTTGACGAAAGGAACACGATACTGCTTAAAGTAAGCTCGTGCAAGTTTTGAGTCAAAAGTTATTGCAAACAAACCGTTTCCGTAAAAAACGTCTATTTTGGCAGTTTTTATCCCCGCAGGCTAAACCGTTGACTTAAAGTCAAATGTGAGAGATAAGTACAGAAAGACCGTTGAAATAGCCGTCAAATGCGCTTTTCTGCGGCGCTGTAGCTCCGTCCGTTCCTGAGCTATGTGCCGGTTTGTCGAAAATTATCGAAGTTTGACCTGGGAAGTGGCGAAGTTTTACTTTCCGTGACTTCTGGTGACCTGACCTTTGACCTTACCTAAAAAACGACTGAAGCAGTTTCTTCGTGATTTTTTTTTAAAGCTCGTTCGAACGCCGCCTATGGCGTGTCGCTATACGTGGCCCAGGAGCCGAGTTAAAAGGGGGATGTTCAACCCCCAGCAGGACGTGGAAATCCAGGACCCCAGCGGGGTGGGGTAAAGTAGCAATTTAGTACAGACCCTTAGCCCGCGCCGGACTGGGGGAGTTTGAACGCCCCCTCCCCAAATTCTAACCTGGATTCTGAGCCACGTAGCGACGGGTAGTGAGCAGAATTCTGAAAAGCATAAAAAATCATGAAGAAAGCAATTCAGTTAATTTTTAAGGCAGGTCACTAAAGGTCATCAAAGGTCAAATCTCGCCAATCGACACTTTTTGACAAATCGGCGCATAAATCGATAACGAATAGAGCTAAAGTGCCGCGGAAAAGCGAATTCGATAGCTCTTTCAAAGCTATTAATGAGCAATGCTTTACACATGACCTAAGGTCAACTGCCTCTAGAGGAAGAACACTTATGGATGCTTTTACAGTAAATGTTTTTTGCAATAACTTTTGGCACTAAACGTGCAATACGTTCATTTTACCGGCATCCTGTTCCTCTCGTGGAAACGCGTCAAATGATAGGTGTTAGTTAGCCTAAAAATTTAGTTTGAAAATTTGACATAAGGTCAAGGTCATGACCTGACCGGAGGTCATCTTGCCCACCAGTCGATCCGTACCATCAAAATGAACACATTCCATGTTTTTACCACTCCAAAGTGTTTATCAAAGATCATTGCCGAAAAACTGCTATTTACCATCCATGAGATACGATGACCTCAGAACTATGCATGGGGTCATGAGTGTCCTTTAAAAACGTCACTACCTATTCAATTTTCTCCCAATGTCAATGTTTATTCCGCCTGTATACCAGTCGCTCGGATAAGTTCACGTTGGGAGAATGCGACGCCGAAGTGTGGCGTGCCCACATAGTCTGACGCCACCCTGATGACCTGCGAGATCGGCCTTCGTGACCCTGCCGCATGCCCTTCCCCCCTCCCCTGCCACCTGTCCTGAAAATCGCTTTTACGTTAATCGTTAACCTAAACTTAAGGTAATGTATTTAGTGACCTCAAGGCTGAATCCAAACTAGGAAATAGAATCATGGATCCTCTGGGATAAGCCTAAATTCAGAGTTCATTTGTTTATTAGTGTTAACGGGCGCAGGGCAGGGGGAGAAGGGCAGTCCCACAGTTCGACGATGCCATTTACAAAGGCAAGGTTGTTGTCGGATTGAAGTTGGATGTTGGTTCCATTTCCGTGACGGTGTTTGGTATGAATGATCTTTGGAATGATGGCGCGTCGACTGCGGTGATCATTTTGCGCCCATTAAATTCAGAGTTGTGATTTAATCCGGATCCATGGTTAATCAGGGGCCACTGACGGTGCTCCCATAGTCGATACCACTGGGCATTGTGAGTATGACAACAAGTATACGAACAATCACATTCAAATGTACGTTACACTAACCACTAACCAATCAATCGCAAATACAACCGTTCTAGAAACAAATGCATTCTTTATTATAATATCACCCGATTAGTAAAGCAAACAACATCACAGCACTACCTCCCCCGTCTTACCTGTCTGGTAATGGGACGGTGCACAACCGACGTCTGCCGGCGGCGACGTCCGACTGACCGTCCCTCCTACCGCTGACCGCCCGCCCCGCGCCGTCGCCGGGTCCCCGGAGGCGCCGCGCCTTATCCCACTGCCAACGGCGACCGATCCCGAGCGAGACGCGTCCCAGTGCGCGGGGTGAGTCGCACTCGGTGATGGTGACACGCACACGCAGACGGTGAGTCGGTGGGACCGGGCACAAATGGCACGAGACAGAGCTACGGCTAGCGACACGAGGCTAGTCGTCCTTACTGGCAGTCTTTGATGTGCGGCAGTTCAATACGGCGAGTTTACATGGCATCAAGTTTAACGGGCTCGTGACTGCATTTCGAATTAATGTAACGACAGTGCATAGAATCACAAGCCGAATTCGGCATCAACACGTAAAGGCGGTCCAACAAGACCTATCACTAAGTAGGTGGGCAATCACATGGCCACAGAAACGAGCTCACAAGACCCAGGACTGAGCTCAGAAGAACCACTACTGTGCATAGTTGAGCCAGGACTGGGCTCAGACAAGCCATGGCGAAGCTCGGATGAGCCAGAACAGAGCCCAGATTAGCCAGGTCTGAGTCAGGGGAGCCGTACTGAGCTCCAGGAGCCACGGCCAATTAACTGCTCCTGTCGCCTCGGTGTACAAACGGTCTCCGACCGCCTCGACGGAACTCCATCGTCCCTGAAACGGACGGACGGGGGATGAGCAGCTGTCCATAAAGGTGCAGGGCGGACGGGAGGACGGCGGGAGGGGCGAGCTGCTGTCGAACAGGGCACAGTTAGCAGGACGGGCCGACCGAGAGACAGGGGATGGGTAGCGGGCACATCGTGTGGGCCTGCAAGAACGTACAGCCCTCTGCAAACTGCGTAGTAGGTATTCTTTTTTCGACAAGAACGAGAATAATGCGAATACTATGCTATCGGTCATTCGCAAATCGTAACAGGAAGACACGCGAGACTCCGCACCTTAGATTGGCATCATCACCGTATTCATTTTCCTTCTAGTTCAGCAACAAAATCCAAAAGCTTATATTTGCCCCCAAAATAAACTTCTGCATTTTGTTGCCACACAAGGCGTATAATTTGTTTAGTGATACACCTAATCGAAGGAGTGGAGCATGGGGCATCTATTTGCAGTGAGTTCTGACCGACTGATAGCATAGCCTCTGAGTTATTACCGGTTTTGTCGAAAAAAGAATACCTACCACGCAGTCTGCTGAGGGCTGTACAACATGACGATCATATGTACTGGTGGCTGGTGGATAAGGTAGTTCCGGGACGGACTTCAGTTCTTAGTTGACATATGCGTCATTATTTAGAGAGATGCAGTTCAAAATGCGGTGGTACTGGCGTTGCGAATAGCGTAGGAGTTTGTTGTGATATTTGACATTTTTGGCAAATGTCAGACAAATAGACGGCTTTAGCTGTTCGTGTTAGCAAAGAAATGTCCGCTGAAACAGATCGTGGGTCCGAATTGGATGCAATACAAGTGAAGTCATTTGTCACTCTGGAACACGTATTGCCAATAACAGGCAGCACAATGAAACTGATCGTTGACAGTGTGTCCAGACAGGGTCGCGATTGCACAGGTCATTCAAAAGGCATCAACGTATATGGCCTCTCATGGCTATTTTGAAGTACAAAGACATGACAACCTATTTTTGTCGAGGCCTTCTGGATCCGATTCAGTGCTTGGACAAAATTGCCTTTCGATACATTTCAGCTTTTGGACGGTAAAAGTGGTATATTGAGGTCAAAGCCTGGTGGCGAATGAAGAATCAAAGTGCAAGTATAATAACCAAAGTCGCTATTGAGAGAATCGAAAGGCGACTACGTCTTTCGGCACTTTAAAACAAGTTTAACTATTTCCACGTTGTTGGTTACAAACACGCAGAACTACCAAAACGTGCATAATAAGTACCACACAATACCAAAACAAGATTCAAACGAGTGAAAGTGAAAAAGAAAAGTTGAAATATACATAGAGATATACGGAATGCAGGGGTACTTTCGACCCAATCCTCGATAGGTTATGAATAAATACCAGCAAGTCATGAATCAGACTCTGACCGACAGCCACCACGACTGGTAAGTGTTCGCTTCTCGAATGGCAAGTCTTTGACGCATGACGTTCCTCTGCGAAATGATCACCACGCCAAAGGGTCACTGCTCACTAAAAATACGTTACAAAAACACTCCAAACAGCTGCCTGCTCACCATCCTCCCCATTCCTGTGACAGTGACTCATATGATATCACGCAGATACCCCAAATCACGTGATCTATCAAAGTCCCGCCCACCACGTGTCCCGTGTCAATACGTAACGCTGCGCTGAGGCACGTGACATATCGCCGGGTCCCGGCGGACCCATAATTAGCCCCAGGGGAGTGACCGGGCGGTGGAACATAACGATGACCCACCAGCGTGGGTGGAAGGTGTGAGCGAAAATAGCCACCGCGCGAGACGACGACCCCAGCTAAACGGAAATGCCGCCACCGACAAGGAAATGCGGTCACCTGCCAGAAGCGAGTCTAACTGACGACGGAACCAGACAAGGAGGGATGGAGGGGATGGGGCAGGGGTCGATGGCGCGGGGGATGAGTCATGAGGGGGACGCTGGACGAGTTGGATACAAATGATAAAAGCAGAGAATGAAAGACACGGTGATCAGCTAGATTGAGTTACTTTGTTACGTCTATGAATTTCTTTCGGGAAGTCAAATCAAGACTACTGATTTATCGTAAGCTACAGACGTGCGTTGGTTTATACAAGTGTAAGCAGCCTTCAAAACTTGCAGTTTAATACAAATGATATCACCTCACCCAGTCGGATGTTTTTTCCTCTCTCTAGTCTAGATAACACTCAATCTGGCCTAATCCTGAATAACTTGAATTATGTTTTAATTAAGACGCTACTTTTAACCCGCGACCTGGTGGGGGGGGGGCTATTTTTTGCCCCCCCCCCCCCCTCTAGACTTTTCGATATATCTCCAGAACCGCTGCGCCGATCGTCACCAAACTTTCAGTACCCTCCCGGACATCAATTTTACACATTGTGACCAAAAATTTTTCCAAAGGCTATGATAGGTTGGCCGGAAATGACGTCAGAGTGACGTCATGTTCTGCCGTTTTCGACCCAAAAAAAGGGTTTCGCGGGAAGAGCTGTCAGGCCTATAGCTTTGCAAATAAAGAAAAATGATAAGGACATAAAAGCTGTAGAATCGACAGGGCTACAAAACTGCTATCTCGGATTTTTTAAATTTTTGGATTTTGACCCCCAAAAATCAAAAAATATTTTTTTTTTGGATATAATCATCGAAAAATCCAAAAAGTTTTTTGAATTTCGCAAAAACCGGAATATATGTGATAGTCCTTACCGCCTTCCATCCACATACCACATTTTAGATTGATGCTTCTTTTTTTGGCGAAGTTACAGCGAAAAAACTGTTCAAAATTGATGACGTCAAATTTTCAAACTCAATTTTTAGCAATTCTAGACCCCGTAGCGCTAAACAAAGACCACCATTAGACTCCCCGTGACGAGCTGCATCGAATCAATACCCATTTTATGCAAAAATATCAACTTTAAAATTTGACCTTTTTTGGCCTGACCTTGACCTGACCTTGACCTGAACTTCACCAGAAAGTGACCTAAGCCATACCTGATAGTCTTATAACCAACACCATTGAGTTGGAAATGAAAAATTGGCCATAAAACATGCATCACACAACCTTAGTAAAGTTGGGCTCATGTGACCTGACCTGTGACCCTTGGTGACCTGACCTGTGACCTGACCTGGTATTGTCAGTGACCTCTAATAGCAACATATCTACTAGGCAACTGACGCCCTATCGCTGAATCTCGACAAAATGCGTTTTCTTCGGTGTTATAGCGCATTCCCTAGATGACCCGTGAACGGTGAAACATGTCATCTTTGACCTGACCTGTGACGTCATCAGTGACCCCGAGGTCAATGAAACTTGGTTTCCCTCGACAAATTTGACAGGCCTTTCGAACGCCGTTTGAATTTTGCGGATCCGTCCAGTAGTTTCGGAGATACGAGGGGGGGGGGCAAAAAATAGCCCCCCCCCCCACCAGGTCGCGTTATAAACAGACCCCACCAGGGCGCGGGTTAAAGTGTACCGTAAACCAGAGCAACTTTGGTCCATCGGTGCAACTTTGGTCCACCGTGGAAAAGATACTTTGCTGATTTTTTAAAAAATCCATCGTAATATTTGGGACATTTTTTCATGCAGGCAATTTAGCCCAATATGTGCCCTAACTATGTGTGAACAGACCTGCTTTTGTTATGTGACCTTGACAGCAGCAGAATTTTTATAATAAAAGCCTTGATTTTGGCGCAAAAAACAGAAGTTGCTAGGATGATGTAAGGAGCGGAACTGGTAAGAACTGGAGCGACACTGGCTATCTAGACAGTAAGTAGGTACATGAGTTCTCCAAAGGCTTAGAGGAAGAAAACCCCCATTTTCTTTTTATGGTCATTTTTTAGGGGTGGTGGTCAAAGTTGCAAGCACTTTTTCCGTCAAAATGCTACAACTTTGGTCCACCAGGAAATCATTCTTAGGAAGCTTCTCATCACTATAGCATACTTTTTTCGTCATTTATGACAGTCAATGCTAGAAGTTATTGATGTTGATAGTCGATTGGTTATGCTGCTGCGTCTATATTTCATTTTTAGCCCTCCAAATCCAGATTATTTCCCAGCCTGTTGTATTCCATACCTATCCAATATGATTTTGGCATGGATCATATTAGATCAATATGATCCAATATGATCCGTGCCATGGAGCAGTTTGGTAATAGGTTTAAGTGGCCTAGGGGCATGATGATATTCTTACCTACTCATTCAGCGATGTCATCCGCAAGCTCCAGCCTCCCATCCCGGTTGGCACCCGTGGACAATTCACCTTCATTTGTTAGAGAACTGTCAAGTGACTTCTGAAGGTGCTGAGTTTTGTGGTTCTTACTCAGCCGCTCATTTAAAAGCCAGAGTGCTCATGTGATTTTACTCCATCCAAAGCCCGGAACAGCCGTTCACTGTGAATCTGTTGCCCCATTGTAAACCAGTGTTTCTGTGATTGTTTTCAGCCAGTTGAAGTCCTGGTGTGTCAGGATATTTTTTAAAAGAACTTATGTGGACCAAAGATGCTCTGTAAAATACCATTTTATTCGTTAGCATTGAATAAAATAGGATTATAATCAGTGGTACAAAGTTGTAAAACCCCTCTACAACTTTGACCACTTGTTCAATAAAAAAAAATAAAATAACTCAAGATGCTAGCATTCTTTTACTCTAGAGCAAACTGTTGACAAAGGTTGTAGCTTCAACCTTGCAAAAAAACTAGCCAGATTGGACAACAATTAAAAAAGATATTCAACAAAAACCTAAAAAGTGGTACAAAGTTGCTCTGGTTTACGGTATCTTTTGTAGAACAGATATAAACAGGTTAGGGATTTAGAATTACCTTTTGTAATTTGACGGAATTTCATTCATTGAGAAATTTTTCTTTGAAAGTGCGACATGCTTACCTTAGCAATAGCATCGATCACAAATTGCCTCACCAGACAAGACGTTTGAAGAGCAGCAAAGCTTTTGAGTAGCCTATTCACGTTCAGTAACGGTTCGCCTGACAGGATAGATTGCTGGACAAATTCTACGCCCACGTGTATCCACCCGGGACAACAGTAATAAAGGTCAGCCTCGCCTCCCGGATCCTCACAGATAAAGTCTAACCCCTGTCATCTGCAAAAGTGCCCTCGCGGCCACTTATCCCTGGAGGTTGGCTCGTTGGCAACCAAGTCTGCCGCGTATTATCGAGATCGGCACATTACCGATTGGGGACCGGCTATAATACCCCTCGAGGGATGTCTCACAGAGAGATAAGAAAAGGGGCGTGAGCCGGATATGCCTGCAGAATGTGATTGAGGTCGGACTAGCCGAGGAGCAGACCGCGGGGTACACTATCGGGCAGACGGAAATTACAGATTGAGAGAAGGATGGCCAATCATGGCTTTGATCGTTAAACCAATCTTCCGGTTAGAGACGTGTCTGGAAAATGTGCTTGACATCAAAAGTAGCGGCATGTGTCAAAATATTAAATAACTCGTCATCTAGGGCGATTTCGATGCGTGAAGTCTAGAAACAAATGAGTGCGCACAATTATTTCCTTACAGTATTCCAGGCATGACAACGAACTCAAATCAGGAAAGCCCTGAGGAACAAACAACGTAGAAGAACAATAGTCCAAGTAGGTCTACCCCGCAACCAAACCCTGAAAACGGTGCCCTGGTGGCTGGTGTATGCCGCACACGCCTGTAAGTTCCCTGATCTGAGCTCACCTGTGAATGGCACGTCATCCGAGTCGTCCCCTGGCCGGCCTCGTGGGCGTCCCTTGACGGGGGCAGTGTCCATCCACTGCCGCTGCCCCTCCGACTCGCCACCGTCCTCGTACCCCCGCTGTCCGCGGCCGCGGGGCCCGCCGCGCCGCGGCCGGTCCTCGAACTGGTCCCTGTCGCGCGCCTGGTACCCCTGACCGGCCGGCCGGCCGCCGCTGTACCCTTCCTCCCTGTCCCGGTCCTGCCGCTGGAACCTGGGCGGCCGGTCATCGCCGTAACCTCGTCCTCTTCCGCCCCGACCGCGGCCGCCTCGGCCGCCGCGGCGGTCGCCTCGAAATGACTCGCTATCGTTCCGATAGGTGTCGCGGCGATCATCTCGGTAGGTGTCGCTGTTGTCGCTCCGATAGGTGTCGCGGCGGTCACCCCGAAACGACTCGCTGTTGTCGTTGCGACGGGTGTCGCGGCGGTCACTTCGGTGGGTTTCACGGTGGCCACTCTCATAGTCGTCACGGCGATCGTCTCGGTAGGACTTGTCGCGGCCCCCGTCATCCCGATAGGTGCCTTGGTTACCACCTCGGTAGGACTTGTCGCGGCCCCCGTCATCCCGATAGGTGCCTTGGTTTCCACCTCGGTAGGACGTGTCGCGGCCCCCGTCATCCCGATAGGTGCCTTGGTTTCCACCTCGGTAGGACGTGTCGCGGCCCCCGTCATCCCGATAGGTGCCTTGGTTACCACCTCGGTGGGACGTGTCGCGGCCCCTATCACCACGATAGCTGGTGTCACGGCGGCCACCCCGATCTTCATAGTGATTATCCCTGCGATCCCTGCGATCACCGCCGGCCTGTCTGTCCCTGTACGCGTCGTCGCCGTTCTCTGCGCCGATGTGCCGTGAGGGCCGGTTACCATACCCGAACTGATCGTCCTGCTCTCGCAGACTGGCCGTGTGTCGCTTGTGACTGAAGAGGTTCGACGTATCTGACTCCTCGAAGTCCTTATGCCTCGGCTCTTGACAGGGTTCCTCGCTTTGAACAGGAGTCGACGTCGTCTCCTCTTCCTCCTGAAAAAATACAACTTCTGAGCAATTACCATGAAAAACGCCCTACAGGTCGGAAATGCCTTGCTACTATGTATAATTTTATTTCTAGCATGTACGATATTTAAAGTCAATGTGTATTGCACGGTAGATAAATAGCATGAAGGGATGATTGCAACTCTAGGAAATAAGCTATCGATTTCGAGAAAATTTCACTCAGACGTGAAATGTGCATTGTGCACGTATATACAATAAACCAACCAAAAGGCAAATAAATCGTACGCTGTGAAATACTTGAGGTAACGTAATACGCAAATTTCGGACACATGTTTATTGTGTAAGTCCAACCCAGTTAAGCAAAGAGGCGTTACAATACCAACAGAATGTACTCACGAATCCGAGGGGTCGCATGTTGGCCGTGAACACCTCCTCGTAGTGTTCACCGTAGTCGACAAAGTTGACCACGGCCGTCCGCTCGCCCACGGAGACGATACGCGCCAGGTACATCTGCAGAGAAACAACAGACATACCTACATTGGTGAACGGAGAACATAATATGCCGACCAACAAAAGGCACTGGAGGTCACTTATCGAGCGCGTCGTGTGGCAATGCCTGTTGTTTACCGAGAGGCATCAAATGAACAAAACTATGGTATCCCCGAGAGAAAATAAGACACATTTCTGTGAAGAACAGTTTAAGAGTTCGAAGAGATGGGCAAAATTGCGGTATACTAAACGTTTAACGTTAAAAAAGTGCAATTAGTGTGAGGAAACTGTTAAGCTGGTCTCTGAACAGGCCATCCGCCAGGACTCACTCACCTGTTTATCCTGCCAGTAGGTGGCCAGACACATCTCTCCCTCTGTGTACCGGTGCTCGGGGGCGGCCGCCGGAGCCGCCGCGGCCGGTACCGCGGCCGGAGCAGCCGCTGCCGGCTCACTGTCCCCCTCCGACGGCTCGCCACCGGCCGCCTCGCCGCCGGGCAGGGCGGGGAACTGCTGACGGTCCTCCGAGTACACCTCAAACCCGCGGCCGACCGACGAGGGCCGCTCGCCGGCCGACCAGGTGCGGAAGTCGCCGCCGCCGCCGGCCCCGCAGCGCCGGTCCCGCGCCCGGCGACCCTCCACGAACTCGTCAGAGGAGACATGCGGCCGCTGGGGGCCGCGGCCGCCCCGCCCGCCGCGGCCCCGGTCACCAGAGCCGCCGTCCGAGGCGCCCCGGTCACCGCCGCGGCCAGAGCCTCTGTCCGAGCCGCCGTAGCCTCTGTCAGAGCCGCCACGACCCCTGTCATAGCCTCTATCCGGGCCACCACTGTAGTCTCTGTCTGGGCCACCCCGACCAACACCATAGCCTCTGTCTGGTCCACTGCGATCACTGTAGCCTCTATCCGAGCCGCTCCGGCCCCTATCATAGCCTCTATCCGGACCACCGCGGCCACTGTCGTGGCCCCTGCCGCTGTCGCTGTAGCCTCTGCCTGGTCCACCGTGGCCTCTGCCGCGGTCGCTGTAGCCTCTGCCTGGTCCACCGTAGCCTCTGTCACGGTCGCTGTACGAGTGACCGCCGGTGGCGCCGCCGGGCTCGTCGTCGGGGGGTGTCGGGGCCCGGTTGGAGGAGGCTGTGAACGAACAGGGACACAGTGCTGTCAGTCGATTTCGACGTAAGAGCGAATAATAATTAATAAATGACTTTAGGACGATGCTCTCCGTGTGTTTAAGACAGCAGTGGTAGCCATGATAGGAATGAATACGCATATAAATGACCGAAATCCCAGTGATAAAAGTAGGTCTGATACACGAATACACAAAGCGTAGACTTGGAATCTGATCTGGTAATCAACCACAGCGGCAAGAAAGGCACAGCATCAAACAAAGAGACGCCGAAACATACCTGACGAGTCGCCGCCCAGTTTCTGGCTGACAAAGTCGAGCAGTGTGATGGGTTCGCTGGGGCGAGTGGAGGGCTCTTCGTCCTCGTACCTGTCCCGGCCCCGGCCGCGGCGGCCACCCCGTCCCCGTCCCCTGCCCCTGCCGCGGCCCGTGTCGGCGTCCGAGTCGTCCCGGCCGTCGCGCCGCGCACGGTACCTCTGCGGGAGGGGGGGGGGGGGGGGAAGTGAGATCAATGTATGTCAGCCCCCCCCCCCCCGCCTAGTGTGTAGCGGGATACGCAGTGCAGTGCGCACGATATGATAGCCACTAGCCAGAGAGACTGGATAGAGGATGCACGACGATCGACACCGAATACAAAAGAGATACTAAACAATACAAAACCGTTCTCTTGCCGTTAGTAAGATACAAGAGTAACTGACCGATTGATCTGTAACTGAAATGTGGTGACGCAGAAAGAAGAAAAATGTAATAAAGTTTGCACCGAAAAGCATAAACATATTTCGATCCAACGTGATGTGAATTGTGATCAGCACGAGGCGGGTCGATCAGCCAGCCTGAGGTTGGCCATAATGAGAGTCCGTACCTGGAGGTTCTGCAGGGCGCGTCCCACGTCGTTGCCGGTGTAGCGGAGCGCCGCCTCGGACTCCTCCTGGGTGAATCCGGCGCCCATTAGCGTCTGTAGATTAGCGTCCGTCATCTGAAGTGGACAGAGGTCAGCAGTCAGCAGGGTCAGCACGGGTCAGCACGGGTTAGCGTAGGTCAGCGATCAGAACGAGTTAAATCAGCTCACGGGACACCAAGGCTCGGGTGAACTTGGATATGATGCCTTTTTAGCCCATTTGTCATTGTGCGGCGCATGAGTAACAGCTACTTAACTCCGACCAAACATGTCATTTGATGTCATTTCGTAGCCAGTACCACTCGCCTGCTTGGTTCCAATGTTTGTACCCAATACCACTTTCTGTTTGCCCCCCACCCCCACCCCCGAATTACCGTTTGCACCACCCACCTGTTTGGTTCCTCCACCGAACTGTTTGTACCACCCACCTGTTTGGTCCCTCCGTACCCGGTACCACCCACCTGTTTGGTTCCGCCGCCGAACTGTTTGCGCCCGGCGCCAGTTCAGTTCCTCTGTACCCGGTACCACCCACCTGTTTGGTCCCTCTGTACCCGGTACCACCCACCTGTTTGGTTCCGCCGCCGAACTGTTTGCGCCCGGCGCCGGCCACCTGCGCGATCTGAGCTTGCCGCTGGGCCTCGAACTCCGAGTCCACCGGTGTCTCGCTGACACCGGCCAGTGACTGTACGGGACACGGGTGGGGTCAGAGTAGAATGGCAGCAGGTGATAGTCAGGTAGATATACGAGATACTGCACTCAGGATACGCCTCGCTCTGACGATGGTAATCAGTCGGTTCCCGATGAAATACACTTACAGCACAAGAGCGGCTGAACACAAACCGTAACGTTTCTGTAGCTACACAGCTGTATCGGCACAGCAAGACTGCACCCTGTACAGCTCCCCTATCAGTTGTGCACTGTACAGTTGATAAAGAGCATAACACTTATCAGAACTGCAAATGACAATAAACGTGAACTCGTGAACTCACGGTCAAAGCTGCACACATCAAAGCCACCCACCACGCGATAACTAAATCATGAATGAATCACACGTCCCGGAAACCACCGACCAACCGCCCGGTACGCAACAGCGCAGCTCAAAGTCCGTCTCACAGACACACACGGACCTGTCCGATGGCGTAACCATCCTCCGACACCAACGGTCCTTCGACGCCCACAGACCGCCTGTCTCCTACACCAGAAGTAACTCACCTTGAAGTCTTTCTCTGTTTCGTGGGCCTTTGAGATGCTCTTGCCGAACGGTACCCAGGGCGGCGGTCCACCGGCCACCCCGCTCGCGGGCCGCAGGTGCTGGGAGGCAAACGCCTGCAGACAGCGACCCAGTCGAGTCAGCAGGGGAGCGGGACGGGGCTGGGGAGGGGAGGAGAGTATCGGTGATATGGTAGGGGGATGGGGGTGCCATGACACTTGATACAGGGAGATCACATTGCAGACCAGTGTCGTAGTGACCTGACCTGGGTGAGCCGCACGGTCAACACGTCTAGGGGTATTTAGAGGTGTGCGTCAAAGGTGCAAATCGATATCAATAATAATGGAATGGAAGGGCATGCATATCGTAAATTGTATCTATCGGAGTGATGCGTTACTTTTCGAATGATCGCGAGCATTTATGTACAAGTGAAGGATAAATGATGGTTTTCACTCATTATAAACAGATACGAGTATATGCCGGTATGTATAACCGCATCCAGCGATACCACCCATACCACCCAGGACAGGATCGTTCATACCATAATATTGTCCGAGTCACTCCAGTTCCCACACTAGCCCCAGCTCCAGTCCCACACCATCCCTTCCACTTCCCTGCACACAGCACCACCCACCTTGTTCATGGTCCACTTGTCGACCATCTGCTGGACAGTACCGCCGATCACCTGCAGCGCCTCGTCGGGAACCAGCAGGAAGCCGCTACACACGGGTACCGGCTGCCGCAGTCGTACCTTGGTGCCGGGCGGCGTGCGCAGGCTGAAGCGGCTCCACGGCGGGTCCGTCTCCAGCGCCTGCAGGACCATAGGAAGACGTCAGACGTCGGACAGTCGGTAAAAAACAGACACGAAATATGTGGTGAAGAGAAGTCAAACAGATAGTTTGAAAATGTCCGCTCATAGTACACCGTAGAGTAAAATGCGGCAAAGATCCCAAACGTGATAACGGAGCTGAGCACGTTACTGACTGTGCACTGTGCAACATAAGTCCGAGAGAGCTTTCTCTGCTCTCATGAGTTCTCTGCAGCGTTCTTTATCTCTCCTTCCGGCATTGAACAAGGCTCATCCACCGCTACACCGGATACAAACGAATAACGAACGGGCAGCACAACACGAATTACCCACAGCTGCGCCGTCGGAGGGCAAAACGCCAGCCAGTCACCACTCTATTGTGGTTACTTGCTAGGGCCGGCCTTGACCGTGGTTATCCGTCGTCCTACCCATATGGTCGCCACCAGCAGACGTCACATGGGACCGTCAGTCACGCCACGTACTAACCGTGACGGTGGAGGCGCCGTCACTCAGCGTCACGCGCAGCAGCCGCGGCGCCGCCTGGCTCTCCTCGTTGGTCTTTGGAGCGGAAACGTTCCGCACCTTCTGTACTTGGAGCACACCATCGATCGTGACCTGGCGAGAGGTCAGAGGGTGTGAGGTCAAAGAGTTAGGGGTGAATGATGACCAGGTGGTGACCTGAAATGGTGAATGGTGAAATCGAAGTAGAGGTCGCTTATTCTATGGTGACTTCTGTAGCAAACTCCAGATGAAGTGTTCCATTTTTTTTTTTTGCATGTAAATATTAGGTATCAGGATAAGGGATATGTGCAATAGTGCATCCAATTAGTGTTTCAAGTCTGAAATTGTAAACCAGCTGATGAAGCACATATCATAACTAATCTTTGAGATTACTTTCAGCTTGTAGCAACTGCAACATGATGAGAAAGGGAAGCATACATATGTGTCATACCAAATAGACTAAAAGGAACTACATAGTGATCAGAATCTATGTAGGCATTTTAAGCAGGTGTTACACAACTGATTAGGCACATCAAAAAGCAGCAATCAACAGTGCTGTCTAGTTCGCTCTTTGATGCTTACCATGTCCTTTTTGCTCCAATTCTCTGGGATGTGGCATTTTCCATATTCCCTTATATCTGTCTGAAAAATGAGTTAAAAAATCAGTCATAAAAGCTTTGAGCTTAACAAGCTGCATATCATAAAACATGCCTAAATATTCTACCTTCCACCAACAGTGATTTGTGCAGAAATCAGAATAGAAAGTTGCATACTAAGAGATGTACCAGTGTATATAGCTGTAAAGCTGTTCTGGCCTCTTGGACCATCCTATCCAATAGCCTTACATGATAATATGAGTGCCAATCTAACTGCCTAATCCAACTAATTACCCTCAAACCTATACCTAATTTGTAAATAACATCTGTATGTTATTCCAGACTCACATCTTGAGCTATCTTTATTATCTCAGACTCTGAGAGTGTCTGTCCTCCAGAAAGCTTCTTCAAACCAGCTTCAGTCATATACCTGAAACAGAAAATAATTAAGTACATCACCATGTATGTATATTTTGCAACATGCTTTGAAGGAGTGGAGTGGACAATAAAAAATAATTAGGTACCTATCTGAATGCTCAGACCCACCTATCAGCTACAAGTTAAAAGGAATTTTGTACAAAATGCAAGACCTATTAACAAATTACCTAGATATATACATTTTGATGACTCTTAGACCTCAGTCTCAACCAGAACAATGAGAAAATCTAAAAAGTCTAAAGTAGGACATGCAATGATTACTTCCCTCTTATTTCATGAAACAGAATTCATGAACTGTTTAACAGGAATTCATACAATAGGTACCTAGGCAGGCAGCCTTTTATCAGACAACCAGAAAGTGCCACCTGGTGGAGGGCACCTGTGGACGTGGTGCAGGTGCGGGCTGAGAGGCCAAGGTGCTTGGCACTTGCAGAATATGCTACTCCATATTTATGATAGAACAATCTGGCATTACAGCACATAAAATAATATATGCAGGTTTAAATAAAGTCATTCCAATTTCCAATTAGGTACATACCAACCAAGCTTTCTGAGGTTTTCAATATCTGTGGCCATTGTTGTTCAATACTTCTTTCAGACACCTTCCCCTTCCCCCTTCTTGAAAAACTAATTTATGATGCTATAGCATGTGGCAGCAGAACAGGTCACTTCACTTAGCCAGCCCTTGTACTCGGTAGGTACACCTGTGGCACACTGCACCAACCTGAAATAGGGAAGGGGTTCTACTTGTTTCTCATGGATTTTTTCATTGGGTGTACATGTTTTACAAAGTTGAGGTAGAACAAGCTGAACAGGAATTGTAGTTGAAGTTGATAATTGATTGGTACCGGTACCATGACCATGCAAAAAAAATACGTGACATCACCATTGGACTCTTCGAAAATATTAGCTCAAGTTTGCATATCAAGCGAAGAATCGAATCATAAGCGATTCTTCGGTCATAAGCGAACTTCAGGTTAGAATCACACCTAACTACAAAAATATTTGACAAAAAAAAAATAAATTGCACACACAAGGTCCTATATCAATATACCGAGGGGTGTTCACGGGCACCGCACACTGCTGCGTGCGCTGTGTGCGGTGCGTCCAGCAGGCGTGGGGGTAGGGGATGGGTAGGCGGCTCTGACGTCACGGCTGCGTGCGGTGGACGGTCCGCTGTGGCCAGTCCCGACCGGCCACAGCGGTCGCTGTGTGCGGTGACGGAAGGCTGACGTAGGGACGCAGTGGGCGGAGCTTGGAGGCTGTGTGCGGTCCGACCGCACACAGGACCCGTGAACAGCCCCGACTGGAAAAAATGCACGCTTTCGTCGAGAACTCGAGCGTAGTTGGGCGTTTGCGCCGAAAATTTTCGGCGTACTTCGGCGTAAATCGACGGCTTGCGCCGAAATTTTCGGCGTACTTCGGCGTAAATCGCGAAAAAAACGTCAGGGGGTGGCACCAATCCCCCTCGGCCGGCGAGGATTAAATGTCTTCGGGAGTTAAACATCTTAAATATCACTTATCTTGTCTCGTGTTCGTCTCAGGGTATTTAAGTCATGTTCAGTGAACCTCATTGTGACTCTCCCACGGCGGGAACAGTTCACCGGTCGAGAGTGAGGTTATGGATTGTCGGATTCCCTAGTTCAGATAACGTATGCTATCGTGTGCGTATTGACCGTTGTGATTCCTGTATTTCCGGCGTGTGGTTTGCGAGCGGACGCTGGCAATCGGTCCCGCGTGGCCTGGTATCTGCCCGATCCCATCGGCCGTGCTTGCACCACGCCTGTTGAAGGCCCCGTCAGGCGTCAGTCACCGGCTGCGGGCTGGGCACTACTGCTGATCAGAGCCGGGCAACAAAATAAAGGTTACGTTATGGAACATGCCAGTGAGTTTGTGAGTCAGGAGATTTTGTGATAGCGAACGCTGGTGCTCGGTCCCGCATGGCCTGCTGATGTCTATTGTCTGCCCGATCCTGTCGACCGTGCCAACAACCGTCTGTAGACAGTAGTCACTGGAAGACAGCCACACACACACGCCAGCCCCCCCCCCCCTTCGACGAAAAGTGCGTGGCTACAGCCTGCAGCCATCAGTAAGCCTTGAAAATTTTCGGCGCATGATGCATGGCTTGGTAAAATAATTTCGGCGCATAAACCCTTGCGCCGAAATTTCGGCGCATCACCTCCGCCGAGAACTTCAGCGTAGTGGAGGCATTTTTTCCAGTCGGGTGAACAGCCCTCCGAATATACCCACGCACGCCCACCACACACGAACCACACACGAACCTCCCCCTCGCGCTTCGATGTCAAGGCTCGTCAATATTCGTAGGTCGCATCGGTCGCATGCAGTCAGTCCCTCATCAAAATGATGTCATGCACAATTGTTATGGAAAAATTGAAAGAAAAATGTACAATTAGGATAAATAAAAAAATATTTTTAAGCCTTATAGCATAAAATTTGGCATAAATTAGTATATTGATTTGAAACATTCTCAAAAATATATATATTGACGTCAGTTTTAAAGTGCCCGTTGAATATTTTTAAGTGCCTTGCTAACAATATTTTTCCTATCCTTGATCAAACTATATTCGCTACATTCGTTACGCAGCCCCCTACGCAAGCCCTAACATCAATTTAACGGTAAGTCTCACGGTCATTTATGTGTCTTAACGTAAATTCATGGGTTTTTCCCCATATTCATGGCATAGTACATGGATATGGGTTTTCCCATGTTGTCTTGCAGTAAAAGTGGCCACCGGTCGGTCTTAGTTAGGACGGCCGGTTTCTTTTGCGCGGCGTAGTTAGGTCGCCGCCCTCCTCGCGAGGCCGGTAACGTAAGTTAGGGCCACTAAAAAAAAGCAAGGCCCTACGCGCCCTAGTCCAACAAGAACGAGTTACGCAGTTAATTGTATTGTATTGTATTTACATTTAAGAGCGATCCACATACAAAGTGCGTGGCGACTACTGCTCAGAATCCGTATTTTAACCCTCGCATGTGTGCGGCGTTTGCCAGCTTCTAATGTGTGGGGGGGTCGGTTGGACCCCCCCCTTGCCATTTGGCCCCTGATCGAGCTAGAGCTTCGCGGAAAAAACGAGCCAGTTGCCCGTGACGAGAGGAAGCCGATGATACCCAATTTTAAGGTCCTAGGTCATTGGTTGACCTTCCAGGTCAGGTCAATGACCCAAAGTCGGGAAAATCGGGACCTGTTAGAAAGTCGTAAAGTGTGGCTTCTAAGGGGTTTTTCGGGGTGCTGATCACGAATATCGTGTTAGTTTTGATCACAGATGATGTCTTGAAGCATTTAGACCAGGCCGGGTCAGGTCAGGTCAGGTCAACCAGTAGGCGTCGTGACGGGTATTCGTAGTACGTGTCAACCGCCTCTGACAGCTTCGTAACATGTTACAAAGTCACCAAAACTACTTCGTAAATATCCAAATGGTTGCTAAATTCGAATTCAGCTCCAAAAACTAGCCTAGAAACATGTAAAACTCAAAAAAGTGAACCGAGGTCACCCGAGGTCACCAAAGGTCAATGACCTGACCTGACCTTCAGGTGACCTTGACACCCACGGGAGTAACATCAAATCACATGTTTGAACGTTTGAAACCACGAAAAGCTTGCAAACGCGCGGCTAGTGCGAGCGGACATACGCGAAATCGCGATTCCGGCCAAACATGGTCTCGGAAAAGAGGTCACAGGTCAAAGGTCATTTGGGTCAGGGTCATGAAATTTTCAGGGTAGGTGTAAAATTGATCAATGCGAGGGTACTGAAAGTTTCGTCGCGATCGGCCGCTTTTTACGCGAGTTATTCGCGAAAAACCATGGGGGTCCATCCGACCCCCCCCCCCCCCCCCTACACATGCGAGGGTTAAATTAACGCAGCCCCCACGCAAGAGCCACGCTGCTACGCGCCCTAACGGCCTAACCCAATACAAGGATAGGGCTCGATAGTCGATACCGACCCTGAGACGTTCGTCACGCTGGCCGATGGAATTACTCGTGGGCATCCATGCAAAGTCAGCAAATGTCCGGCAACCTCGAGAGTGCGACGATCCTCGTTCGCTCTACGAGTCGTGAACGACTGGAACCGACTCCCGTCTGAGGTGGTCTGCGCCCCATCGCTCAACCATGCTTCAAGGCGAGGCTGGATGCACATTGGTGCCACTTACAATACACCATTCCCGATTCTGATTGATCCTCGACAAGCAAAATACCAGGAGCTCGATGAGACTGGGTATGACAGGCTCTAAGCCTAAAAATCCTGATACCGTAAGGTAAGGAAAGGTAAAGTAGGGTGAAATGATTTAGAAAAGAAAATGATTGATACACCTCTTTGCACTTGAATTCAACCATTCGCCATAATGTTTGAGGACCCATTTCGACAATCAGCATCGAGCACCACTTTTTCGGCATTGTGTGTTTCATTTCAGCCATTCAGCAAAATAGATTTAACACTGAAATGAGTGATCTGCAAAACAGTTTGACACTTCGCCATGACTTTGGTATTGAGCGAGCCATCACTCAGCACCTACTCACGGTGCCGGCGGGGAACATCTGCTCCAGCTACCGTGCTGAAATGGTAGCCCTCAGAGAAGCGCTGAAGTTCCTGCTGGACCGACAAACAGTGCTGAAATGAGACCGCTTTCTGGTCCCGGCGTTTAATTCTCCGGGTGGGTTAGCCCCATCTAGCGCTTAGCCTTTCGGGACCATTTCAGAGCCGCGGTTGTTTTCGCCGCTCGTCACATTCAAGATGCAAAGTTGCTAGTCACACAAAGTTTATTTGGGGCCTCTGAATATACGACTTCGAAATTAATTGATTCTACAAAACCTTTTTCTTTCATATATATGCATACATTTAACAGTAACTCCAGACTAGGCTGGCTTGGGGGGCCCTAAATAAGCTTGGTGTAACTATTAACTTTGCATCTCGACTGGGGTGAGCGGCGAAAACAACTGCGACCCTGAGTGGGTCCCGAAAGGCTAAACGCTGGACGAGAGTAACCCGCCCGGAGAATAAAACGTCGGGACGAGAAAGAGGCCTCATTTCCAGCACTGCCGACAAACCCTCCCTCCTGAGCCGATCGTGATATGCACGGACTCCCAGTCAGCACTGGCGGCACTCCGGGGTGGCCCCTCTTCACCAAGATTACTTTACTACTCCTCTTCACAAACAACGCTCATAGGAGGAGAAATCTGGGCGGCGCTTCAACAGCTGTCGGCCCGCGGCAGGAGTACCTACCTGCAGTGGGTACCTTCTCACTGCGGCCTGCCCGGGAACGAGAGAGCGGACGAGCTGGCGAAGCAAGCTTCAGCACTGGACCAAGAGGAAGTCCCCATCGACGCCATGACGGTGTACCGCGCGGTGGCAAGGACGGGTCACGGCGCGGGCCCAGTGGGTCAGCGACTGACCGCGCGGATGGTACCGCAGCCTCATGGGAGCGAAGCTGCCGGGACCAGTCAGACACCTGGATCGAGCAGCGGCGGTGGATGTGCACCAGTTGCGAGGGGGCACTGGTCGGGCTCCGCCCAGTACCTCCACCGAATCGGCCGGAACCCGTCGCGCGACACTGCCCGCAGTGCGAAGACGTGGACTGCCAGGGTGCCCGCTGCCCCCTGTGCAGAGAGACAGCGGATACTCCGTACCACGTCCTGGTCGAGTGCCCGGCCCTGATGGGAGCCAGGCTGCGACTCACCGGGACAATCAGACCCAACAGGGAAGAGGTGCGGAGCGACGGAGTTGTCGCGGCCCTGGCGGCCGCGTTCAGGACCCTGTAGAGCCGTCAGGCTACAGTCGACTGAGGTCGACCTGGAGGGAACAAACAAGCGCCACTTCCTGGACCTCCTGAACAGGACGTGGTCCGCTGCCGACGTGCCTGCCTCCTGGAAGGTAGCGGAGATAGTGGCGATCCCGAAGAAGGGAAAGCCGCCGTCGGAACTGTCCTCCTATCGCCCCATCAGCCTACTGAGCAGCACCAGTAAGCTGGCGGAGCGGCTGGTGCAGGGGAGGCTGCAGCACTGGCTCGAAACCAGCGGGAAACTAAACCGAAACCAGGCGGGCTTCAGACGCGGCCACTCCACGATGGACCAGATCGGACGGATTACCCAGCAGACCTTCGACGCCTTCGAGCAGAAGCCACCACACAGGGCCGTGCTTGTCCTCCTGGACTTCGCTCGCGCCTATGACCGGGTCTGGAGGGCAGCCCTCTTCTGCAAGATGGCGCGACTGGGCATCCCCGGCTGTGTGATCCGCTGGATCAAGGCCCTGCTCTCCGACCGCCGTGCTAGAGTCCGATGGGGAACTGCCCAGTCGGACTCGCGTGTCTTCAAGGAGGGCCTCCCGCAAGGTAGTGTCTTGGCACCCCTCCTATGGCTCATCTACGTCAATGACATCGACGAGGGCCTACCGGAGGGCGTGTCGCGATCCCTGTTCGCGGACGACGTGGCGCTACTGGCCGACGCCCGCACGCCGGAAGAGTGCGACGCCCACCTCCAGCCGTGTCTGGACAGCATCGGCGCTTGGCTGACGCGGTGGAAGGTGACGCCCAGCGTCTCCAAGTGCACGAGCACCCTCTTCTCGCTCGACCCCAAACAACAGAGAGGAAGAGTCCGGCCAAATCTGAAGCTCCACGGACAGGAGATCACCGCCACCGAACACCCGACCTTCCTCGGCATCAAGTTCGATCCGCAGCTGACCTTTGCTGAACACGTCTCCGATCTGAAGGCGAAGATGGCCCGACGACGACGATGTCTGCAGGCGATGGCAGGAAAGACATGGGGCAGCCACCGTCGCACTCTCCGGACCGCCTACATCGGCTACGTGCGAGCGCTGTTTGACTACGGCGCCGCCGTAGTTGGCACACATGCAGCGCCGTCCGTCAGGGAGCGACTGGAGGCCGAACAGAACAAGTGTGCTCGCCTCATCACCGGCTGCATCCGTCTGACTCGCACGGACGCCCTGCTCGCCGAAGCCGACCTCCCGCCACTGTCGTTGCGCGCGAAGCAGCTGGCCGGACAGGAGTGCCAGCGCCTCGCCAGACTCCCCGCACTCGATCCTGCCAGGACCCTCCTGGAGAAGGAGGTGCGGTCCCGGCTGGAGTACCGAGCCCACCTGGCCTGGCGGAGAGACTGCACGCAGGCAGAGGCGGCGCGGAGGCCGCCACCGAAGCCGCCCGACGAGGACGCGGTGCTCACCAAGAAGCCGTGTCTCAGGCGGGTGGGCCGGTGGATCGCCGACGAAGCCGGGCTAAAGCAGCTGCCGACTGAACCACTGGCGTTGTACCAGTGCCGGCCGCCCTGGACAGTGGAGAGGACCCCCGCCCACTTTGTGGTGGACCTGCCCGCGCCCACGCGTCGCACAGACCCCCCCGACAAGCGCAGAGAGGCGGCGCTCCGGGCCATAGAGCTCCTGCCGCCCGCAGACGTCACCATCTGGTCGGACGGGTCGGCGAGAGAGGGGACGACATGTGGCGGCGCGGGCGCGCTGATCCAGCTCCACTGCCTTGGCCGTGAGGAACGTATCAGGGCCCCGGCCGGCGCAGTGTGCAGCAGCCTGCGTGCCGAGCTTACCGCCATCGGGGAAGCACTGGCTGTGATAACCTCTCTACCTGAAGAAGACCGGGAGTCCGTCCGCGCAGTCCGCCTTCTAACCGACTCCAAGTCCGGCCTGCAGCAGCTCCAGAGGGGACCGGCCGGCCAGGTGACCGCCCTGGCCGCCGACATCTGGGAGTGCCTACACACCCTCAGCGAGCGTGGCACCACCGTCACCTTCCAGTGGGTGCCGGGGCATGCTGGCCTGGACGGAAACGAACACGCCGACCAGCTGGCCGGCGAAGCGGCCGCTGCGGAGCAGCCGGACGTCCAGATCGACTTCGCCAGCGCCAGAAGCGCGATCGGGCGCCGGGTGGGGACGATGGTCGACGCGAGAACAAGAGCGTCCCATCCCCACCCGGCGCCCACACCGGGCCACAACGACCTGTCCCGCTGGGAGGCATGTACCCTCTCCCAGCTGCGGACGGGCGCATCGCCGCTCACGCGGGACGTCGCCCACCGCCTAGGCCTGGCGGTGGACGCGGCTTGCCCTGCGTGCGGCGAGCCGGACAGCGCGGCCCACCTGCTGACCGACTGTCCGGCCTACGAGGCTGCGCGGCGCCGCCGCTGGGGACTCAACCCGAGCCTGGGGGACGTCCTCGGCGGACCGGCGCCGTTGGTGATTGAATTCATCCGGGCTGTCGGGCGGACCGACCCTCCGGTCGACCCGCCTGCGCCGTCGTCCCCCTAGGGGGGCGACGGGTGAGGTGCAAAAGAAGAAGAAGAAGAAGGGAACAAACAACAACAACAACAACAGCTACCAGTATAACGCCTTTTGGGGCGACTAACGGAGCGAGCGAGAGGGTGGGCCTTGCACGTGCGAAATTGCGAGGGGGTACCTCCAACTGACTTGTGCACGGCACCCTACTAACCGGTCTCTAGCGATGTGCCAAATTTGAGTACAATCGGCCCAGCCGTTCTCGAGATCTGGAAGCGGCACCCTGCACGTGCGCACGTGCAAAATGGGTCCCAACTGACTTTTGCACGGCACCCTACTAACCGGTCCCTAACCATGTGCCAAATTTGAGCGCCGTCGGTCCAGCCGTTCTCGAGATCTGGAATCGACCCCTGCACGTGCGCACGTGCAGCAGCACCCCAACTCTGGCACATGGATATGCATTGCCTAGTGGGTGCCTACCTACATGCCAACTTTCAGCGCAATCGGCCTAGTGGCTACCGAGATATTGCAACAATTACAAAACGGACGCCTCGTTTTGCACGTGGCACGTGCATAAGGGGTCACCCACATGCATCAGGAATAGTCCAATACTTGGTAGAAGGAATGAAGCTACCCTACAAAAATTACCGCGTGTAAATCGGTCAAGTGGTTGCTGAGATATAAGCGTCGCAGAATCGTGACCACGGCCGGCCGGCCGGCCGGCCGGCCGCTCATACTCAGAAATTTCCGTTAATCCAAGGAAAGACTACGCTCGCTTCGCTCGCTCCGTAATCACTCATCAGTCATCAGCCAGCTCAGCATATGAAGAATAGTTATGACCAATGGCGATTTGTTTTGCACAATGTTGAACCATTCGCTCAATGTCACGTTGTAGAGCAGGACCACCGAATAGTTTTGCACAATGGTGATTCTTTGTGACTTCCCATACCTGCTACATTGCATGATTAAATCGAGACATCCAGGCATTTAAACGGCACGTGCACTGTACCACACTTTTCAAAGTTTAATGCAATGCTTTAATATTACAAGCCGTGTGGTTCAAGGGGTGTGGTTAAACACGTTGAACCACACGGCTGCTGACGTCACTATCCTATAGTTGTGAGCTTTTTGGCAGGTATGGGAAACACCTTCCAGCCCTAAGGCCGGGAATTCAATAAATGTCACCTCGCTTTTTTAGCAAAATCACCTCGGGCCTAACGGCCCTCGGAGTTTTCGCTAAAAAACCTCGGTGACATTTATTGAATCATCCCGGCCCCGGGCAGGAAAATATATTCCTGCCCGGGGCTGGGATGATTCAATAAATGTCACCGAGGTTTTTTAGCGAAAACTCCGAGGGCCGTTAGGCCCGAGGTGATTTTGCTAAAAAAGCGAGGTGACATTTATTGAATTCCCGGCCTTAGGGCTGGAAGATGTTTCCCATACCTGCCAAAAAGCTCACAGCTATATGATAGTGACGTCAGCAGCCGTGTGGTTCAACGTGTTTAACCACACCCCTTGAACCACACGGCTTGTATTACACGTATATTGTATTACACGGCGGCACGGTATTAAAGCATTGCATTAAATTTTGAAAAGTGTGGTACAGTGCACGTGCCGTTTAAATGCCTGGATGTCTCGATTTAATCATGCAATGTAGCAGGTATGGGAATATATTAACCCGCGCCCCGTAGGGGGGGCCGAAACGGCCCCCCTGTCCTTTTCTGTCGATATCTCCTAAACGGCTGGAGATATCGCCACCAAACTTTCAGGACCCCTCCGGGCATCAATTTTACACATTGTGACCAAAAATTTTTCCAGAGGCTATGATAGGTTGGCCACAAATGACGTCAGAGTGACGTCATGTTCTGTCATTTTCGACCGAAAAAAAGACCTTCGCGAGAAGACCTGTCAGGACTACAGCTTTGAAGATACAGAAAAATGATCAAGTATAAAAGGTGTAGAATTGACAGGGCTACAAAACCGCTATCTCGAATTTTTTAAATTTTTGAGTTTTGGCCCCCAAAAATCAAAAAAGCATTTTTTTGGATATATTCGCCAAAAAATCCAAAAAGTCTTTTGAGTTTCGAAAAAACCGGAATATATGTGATAGTGCCTACCGTCTTCTATCTACATACCAAATTTCAGATCGATACCTCGTTTTTTGGCCAAGTTATAGCGAAAAAACTGTTCAAAAATGATGACGTCAAATTTTCAAACTCAATTTTTGGCAATTCTAGAACTCGTAGAGCAAAACGAAGACCACCATTAGACTCCCCGTGACGAGCTGCATCGAATCGATGCCCATTTTATGCAAAAATATCAACATTGAAATTTGACCTAATTTGACCTGACCTTGACCTGACCTTCACCAAAACGTGACCTAGGCTGGCCCCAAAGGCTGCCTAACCCACATAATCACATTTGTCATGTAAAATGGACCATAAAACATGCATCACACGACACATTCATATTGTGACCCCCGGTGACCTGACCTCGCTGTGACCTGACCTGGTATCAGTGACCTCAGATAGCAAAGTATGTGTTTGACGAACAATGTACCATCGATGGTTTTCAATAAATTACCAATTTACTCGCTTTCACAGCACATTTCTTGAATTGCCTGTGAACGGTGAAAATCTGACCTTTGACCTGACCTGTGACGTCATCGGTTTGACCTAGGTCAATGAAATTTGGTCACAAGGTAGTTCCGGGGTGGGGCTATCGAACGCCGTTTGAATTTTGAAAATCGGCCGGTAACTTTCCGAGATCTTAGGGGGGCCGAAACGCCCCCCCCCCCCCCTACGGGTGGTAGGGTCCGCCGGTAGCCCTACGGGGCGCGGGTTAAACCGCCCATTTGTAGTGTCACCTATATGGAGAATGTGTACAAATGTTTTGTCCAATGGTCAAAAGCTTGTGCAAAAAGGTGTAGTAACAAAAGGAATTTTTAAACTTTTATCTAGAAAGAATTATGGGAGGAACTAAGAATATTCTACATAAAATAGTGTTTGCTGTGGAATCTTATTAGGTATTACCCATTGACCAATCATATTGCATACCTAGACCAGCTCCATGCTGATTGGCTGATGTTGAGGTGGCTGCATTCCTCAGCAAGGCACGCATTCCTCCACAAGGCACTCTTTGGAACAAAAAAGGAATATCTTTGCCTAGGGTGATCACTGGTGCGTAAAATTTTCTTTTGTGCTAGTCTGAGCTCAAGTTACAAATCTGCTATTTGCAGTTCAAGACTCAATGCTAAAAGTGGTATATTTCCTTTAATTGTGAGAATCTTTTAAAATCAATTTTTGTGTTAATTGCTTGCAACCACATGCATTTTTACTTCATAGTCTACCAGCAACCTACAGTCAAGAAAGAGTTGGGATGATTTTCATATATTTTTATAGTGTAGTGTGTGATATTTTTCTTCGTATTTCAGGAAAATTTTGTCAATCAAGACATGTCCTATCTCAAGATTTCTGTTATGAAATACTTGCTAGCATTGTTATGCATAATTGGAATTTTAGCCATGGTCTTAACTAAATCAAAATCTCCACCATATGAACCAGGCCATATTGAGAAAACTGTAAAATGCAAGTCTGATTTGATGGTGAGTTGGCACGAGTTGATGAACCTATGTGCTTATGATAGTTCTGAAAAGACCGATAACTTTGCCCTGTTAGTGTGTGTTTTTTACCACTGTTGTTTTGTCTTATTGCCAACTGGGTTGAGAGAACCATGTGGCATGCATCACCTGGAAACTTGGCATAGCTTTAAACACATCACTTTTGCATTACATATAAAAGTGTCGACTCCATATCACCTAAGTTCAGGTCACCCCTTTTTGTCCTGTTACTCCGCCGTGTCCCAGGAGCGGCGCCAGCTGCCGACCGCCGATCCGCGGCCGGTGCTGTACGTGGTGACGCCCACCTACCGGCGCGTGGAGCAGGTGCCCGAGCTGACGCGGCTGGGCCAGACGCTGCTCACCGTCCCTCACCTGGTCTGGATGGTGGTGGAGGACGCCGACGCGTGCTCGCCGCACGTGGCCGCGCTGCTAGACAGACTGGGTGAGAGGCCAGCGAGATAGACAGACTGATGGCAGGGGTAGGATGTGTGATCATTTGTAGAGTTGGTGTTTAGTGGGGACCGAGGATTGTGGTCAGATGATGATTGGTGCACAGTATACTATACGCCTTTTTTCTTGTGTTCCTTGTGCTCTTTATTATAAATATTTTTCTTAGTTCATTTTAAACCTTTTAGCCCTGTTTACATAGCTGCGTTTGTGTGTCTACTCATGTCTTATTGTGTGACGTGCGAAGGCGAAAAGCCACATTTTGTGTGGACCTTTTGCGAATAAATATCTGTATTTTGTCGGTTGTTCATCGTATATTGGATATAATGTGCCCTGGGCTGTTGTCTGTCCTGCCGCAATGACAACCCACATTTTTATGCCGTTCTTTTTCGCTGGCGTTCCCCATCAGTCTGTCGTGCAAGTTCACTGACGCTCCCTATCCGCCGGCCCATCTCACTGACGCGTCCCCTATCACCCTGCCATCTCAGGCATACCGTACGTGCACCTGGCCAGCGCCATGCCGGCCCAGTACCGCAGCGAGAGGTACGTGCCGCGCGGCGTGTCCAACCGGCGCGCGGCTATGTCCTGGCTGCGTGACCAGAGCCCGCAGCCCACCGGTGTGATGTACTTCCTGGACGACGACAACACGATCGACATCAGGTACACGCCGGTGGTATCGGAGAGCCCGGAGCCATCTTTGCACGGCCATTTGTTGAGAATGTGATTAAGCGGTCATTTAAGGACAGTAACGATCAAGCATCACGAATTCCATACTGCTTCAGTTGCCAGGGTATCGTGGTATTGGGTTTCTAATCTATGGAAATATCAACAAATACGGACACTCTAAATATTTAGAGCGTCCGAGTTTACTGATGTTTCCATGGAAACCCAATACCACGGTACCGGTAGGTAGCGTCAGTTAGCGTCATGCCGTGGAACAGGGACCAGTGACCAGGTCCAGTTGACCGCGTAGGTCTGAGTTTATGATTTATTATTAACAAATGTTTCGTTAACCATGCTTATATCGGCTGAGGCCGATTCACAGCCGACCTTGCGGCACTGCTACGCGCTTGTCAGCGTTTGCTCTGTTCAGTCGCGGGCCTGCGCCCTCAATCCGCCTGTTTCTGTGTTGTCTGTGTCGGCGTCCGTTTTACTGTTTCCTATGTGCGCGTCCCAGACTGCTGGAGCAGATGCGCCACACCAAGAAGGTGTCTATGTTTCCCGTGGGTCTGGTGGCCGACTACCTGGTCAGCTCTCCAATCGTGCAGGAGGTGAGTCTGTGGCGGACGTGGTCCGCGAACGAAACAAAGGTCAGTGGCGTCTAACAAGGTGGTACAACGTGGGGTGTGTGAGGTTTTGTGCATATATATTGCACGTGTCCTCTTAATTAATTAAGACGTAGTTACGTGGCAGCTAGGACCTCAGCTACGTGGTTAGTAAATTTTTATCAAATAACTTCAGAGCACGAAATGTGTCGTAATTATTTACGATATGTGCCTTATATCACTTCCCTGCTCCCGGTTTTGACAGCTATCTATCTGATACTGCAGGTGCAGGGCCGGTGACGGGTTGGTTTGATTTGACGGCTATGTCTGCGACCGCCAGTTCCCGGGTTTGGCGGCGATCCCTCCCCTGTTCCAAGGTCGGGTGACGGGCTGGTTCGTCGGCTGGGTGGTGGACCGCCAGTTCCCGGGTTTGACGTTCCCTGCTCCCCAGTTTGACGGCTCTCTCTGGTGTCCCAGGGTCGGGTGACGGGTTGGTTCGACGGCTGGATCGTGGACCGCCAGTTCCCCGTGGACATGGCCGGGTTCGCGGTGAACCTCTCGCTAGTGATGGCATCCGACGCATTGATGCCCTACCACGCCGGCTACGAGGAGGATAAGCTGCTGCGAGCGTTCGGTATCACCATGGACGAGATCGAGCCGCTGGCCAACCAGTGCACAGAGGTAGGTGGGATCGAGCGACTGAGTGAGTCAGTCTAGTAAGCGTTCGGAATAAGAGCGGGAGTCACTGGGCGGTCATTGCACAGAGGTGGGTTCCAGATCTAGTGTGTCATATAATGCTCACTTCAAGAATGAACATATTATTTTTCTCTGATCTTCCCCTTTTTCTCTTTGGAACAGGTCCTGGTATGGCACACGAAGACGAAGAAGAATCAGCCGCCGTCGCTGAGACGGGAAGTGGCTAGTCATCCCAATAGCAACATAGCGGCGCTCGCGGAAAATATGGAACGGATTGCCATGGCAACCACGTGATGCTTCAGCACTCTGAGCGCTGAAAAAAAAAAACTGAACAGTCAGTCGACAGCTAATGTGGCCGATGCATTGAGTGCATCGGACGTGGGGAACGGGGCCGAGTGTCCTTTGTGTTACTGTAGCCATAACCTATGATTGTGTTACTGTAGCCATAGCCTGTGCTGTGCAGTGGTGTAATCCAGGTGCTTCCGAACAGAGTTATACTCAGAGCTCGAGATAGGCACGTTCATAGTGTGATACAATGGTGAGATTGAAGACGACCAGAACAAACTTGGTGTATTGCACGTTGCGGCAACCGCGATGTGTGCTTGTTTGCCTGTGGATGACTGTTCGTGTGATATTGGTGGTAGTCATTTTCGTTTGTTGTGTATGTTCTGAGCTTGTTTGTTGATCCCGTGTGTCCGTATGTTTGAATGGAGCACTTCACTTTCACAATCATATAATTGTATTTACTTATGCAAAACGTATACTCTAGTTGGAGATAAAGGAATGAATGCATTTCACTTTCGACTGCCTCATGGCTCATACATGATGAATAAACACTTCGACATGCACAAGCGTGGACTGGCCTGTCTGCCACTTTCCTGCAGATGAAACAGCGCGCCCGTCATGCACTGGTTATACTGCTGCTTTTGTCGCAGCTCTTAGAGGGGAAGCGGGCCGGCCGATCCTGTGAAGGTCGACTCTGGAGCCCAACCAGTGGTCTGTGAGTAACTGGTATGCTTCTACGGCGCTCTGCCGCCCCAGGCGAGTGGTGGACGGGGCGGAAAATTTCTATCGGAGATCGATTCTGAGACGGTCGGAGGATCGGAATCCAATCGTGACCTCTGGGGTCGTTCTCGCGACGGCTGTACTGATGGCTCAGGTGTCAATGAGGGCCCGTCGTTGAGGGAGCTCAGCTGTGCTGTTTCTGGGACAGCGAGCCTGTCGGCTGACTGACACACTAGCTTGACGGTAGAGTCAGAGCACGAGCAGTTGCCCTCATCGATTTAGGGGCGGGGTCTCCAATGAGCTAAGAGGGAACTCGGCGGTTTGGGCGAGCGCATTATGGCAACCGTTACCATCTACTTCGATGACGACGAAAATATGGTGCTGGCGTATTCTGTGAGGGGTTATTTTGGAGGTGGGACTGGGGTCATGTGCTTGGTGCGGCCCATCAACCCGACTGTCTTCCGTCCTCAGCTGCGCGACCAAGGGTCCAAGGGTACCTAAGGACGGGCTCGTACACTACCATATCCTAAATATAAAGTGGGAGCAGTAGACCTCCTGTAAACGGACGCAGATAGCCACTTAGGGGCAAGGGTGAATAAACAAAAGAAACATCAAGCTGCTATGACGGCCGAAGCCCGATCGCTGAGAAATATTGTATTTATTTCAAATGACGTCACTTTTATAAGAACTGCTTTTCACGCATCTCCGATATTTCCGACATCCTTGTCGATTGCCTAAATACGTTTGTGGTGCGTCGAGATTGCCGTCGCGCGGAAATTGAAAAGGTAAGAGGGAGTTAAGTCGTTTGTTTGCGATTTTTCGTTCATATTTTCAATTCAAGGGTGAACTCGAAGTTTCTTTACTTGTTTTTGTATACTTCAATTTGGTTTTCAAGTTTGCAAATGCAGTTCCGCTCAGAAGACACCCGTGAAGGCCCCCGGCGTTAACGTGCATTTTTACGAAGGGTCATTTTCATTATTGGATGCCTAGATCTTGGCATAGATGATAAAATCTGTAATTATTACAATTTGCATGAATTTGGCACTTCCACTTTATGTTACTACTTACTACATCCAGCTTTTCAGTGAACTAGGATAAAGGTTAAGATCAAAGATGTCTCGGAAAAAGTTAATTTTTCACTTTGACTTAATTTTTGATGTTCACCAAACCTTGATACTTGATACCTAGTCATGAAAAGTATCACTTATTGCCTTGACTGTGGCATAACCTTGTAGAGCTGTACTTATAACATTTGACTGTAAAATTGGGCTTTTTCAGGGACCAGGGTAGTGGGCGCTATTGAGAATTTCACTCAAACCCATCATTCAGCATGGACTCCGTGCAGACACTGCGCTGTCCTGTGCTGCACAAGCATGGTCCGGACCAGCAGCAGCAGAGGAGTGACATCACCATTCAAATTGACCAGTCTGCCATGGTCAACACTCCCAGCAAGGTAATAGAACTCTGCTAAATGGTACCTATGTATTGCACTGCAGGACATGTAGCCTTCATTTTTCATTGTCAAACATTTCTTTGTCTCTGTGAATCTTCATTACCCCATGTATTTTAGTTAGCATGCCTAATGCACTAGCTCAGACCCTCACCTACCAATCACCAACCCTTGGTACCCTAGTGCACCCTAGCAGAGTGCACCTTCCACTTGAGACTGTGATAGTATGTAGTGGGTGTGGTAGATGGGCAAGAAACCAAAGGAGTGGAGTGTGTCATGACATCCCTGTTAAGGAGTGTCATACAATGTCAAAAGGCCACCTGTTTTCTCAATCCAGGGCCCAGGTGCCATAAACTGTTTCCTTCCCTCCCCCCCCCCCAATAGCTGGACCTGAAGCAGGACATGTTATAGACCCAAGGAATAATGATAAACTCTGTTGTCAGTCTGTGCTGTTGAGCTGATCAGCATTTCCTTTCGGGTGATGAGACATGCCTCCTTAGTCCAAAGTGTGATGTACGACAGAAATTACAACATGAAGCAGAATGAGGACAGCTTGACCTTGGTCTAGATATGTTATGTACGTTTTGGCAATTATTAGTTGGAAGTATGGTGCTATGGGTAGGAAGGTCAGTTACAGGGTGGGGCAGCATAATCGGGAATAAATATTAAACGAGATTATTTGGTCATGAATCTAAAAATATAGCTCCAAGCACTATTTTAGCAACATCCTATCAATCGGTCACCTTTTACCTATCCCTCATCCTATTTGACCGCCCTCGGCGTCGATGACCTTCTCAAGGCGGGTCCAAAAGCACGCGCATGCACGTGCAACCTCCTGCTTGTCCATGATCGCCCATCAGCTTCGAACCTTGCACTGAAGACTGTTTTTACTAATGATAAGTTGTTCATTAAACTTCTACCAAAAAACGCTCCATGTAAAGAATTTGGTCGGATTTAAATCGGCGGAGTTGAAGGACCAGAAGTTTTTGGTTCATCTCAGGTGGAGGTGCCCTACACAATAACATGTCGTCCTCACTGCAGTACCAGCACGGACAGAGTCCTCGTAAGACGTGATTTGGACCGTCAGTGATCCTCTCTTCCGACGGCTCCACGTGAGTCTGCCAGAGTGCGGTTGTATTTACCAGAGGTGCTCATTTTATCCGGGCTCGATGAAGTAGGGTGCACCACGTGCACCTCCCTTGAAGACCACCCATAGGTCCATCACCCCAACAGGATGTTTACTTTGCATGACCGCTGGAATATTCTCGATACAATCCCCTATATGGCATGCCATTCTTTTTTATCGTATTCCAGTCGGTGATAAGATTTTTTGTCGCTGAAGTTTTGAACATTGTTTCTTTTTAATATGCTCAAGTGCTTCTTCCTTATATTCAAGTGAGTCATCTTGTATGTCCTCTGCTAAGAGTTATTTTACGACGATTACGTTAACCTGTTGTCCTAAGTATCCCCACACAATCCTTATCGTCCGTGATAACACGTTGACCTGCCCAGCAACCTTTACGTGGAATTGCAGGGTTTTAAACAAAATGTTCTTGTTTTACTTGTTTAACATTAGTGTCTATGGGCGCGCGCAAAGCACTTGGAGCACCGTCGAACTATTTTGCTGCTCTTTTCCAGGAAGTTGCATGCTCATGGATGTAGTCATGTCAGATGATGCACAACTTTTGGGCGTTTCATTGCCATAATATAATTTATAAAAATAATGCCATGCCTACTCATGATCAGAGCCCAAAAAGCATTCCCGATTATGCTGCCCCACCCTGTAGGGCCATTGGAGTGGGCCTCTGGGATCTTTGGCGGTGTTTGGTGAGGGCAAGCTAATGGGAATACCTACGGGAGTCCGCGATAAGGGGTCGACATGGTTCTGATTTGATATGGGACTGAGGAAATGTTTGCCGACAATGTTTTGCGTGGTCTACGTACGAAGATGAACCCAAAACAAGATTTCGGTGGATGTCGTTCATTAGCGATCATTCAACACTGCCTTTCTTAACACTATTGTCCTCCCTAATCTGCCATCAACTGGCAGGGGCCGCTTCAGGCTTCCATCAACAATAGACCATCCCCGTCAGGAGTCGTATGTATCAATCGATTTGAGCGCCCTACCGAGCTCGAACCATGACCACAAGCCCGAGGCTTCAACAACGGAGCTATGGGGTGACCCTTGCAGTCTCATGGCTGACCAGCCGAACTGTTTGTCAGATACAGATACAGATATTTATTCGGCACCCCCACTGCGTAGATCATGGCCACGTCATACATGTCATACACATAAATGAATAAAGACACACCAGTAAAACACTTGTGAAACATACATGTGATAAAAGCAGTAACCTTTGTCCAAGCAGTGTCTATGTCTTTGTCTTGTAGGAAACGCAATGCTGATATGTGATCAACCTTGTAATGCCTATATCAACCTTGTAATGCCTGTATCAGCAATGGCTGAATCTGTTTTGGTTCCCCGTCCGCAGACGCTGAAGATAATGCTGACCTCTGACGAGGACCCGTTCTTCCACTACGTGCTGACGCTGCGGGAGGACAGCTTCAGTCAGCTGCGCTCGGCCCAGGGACTGCTGGTGGACTTTGCTCAGTTTCCGCGCAAATTCACCGAGCTGGTGGAACAGTGCGTCGGAGAGGCGACCGGCTCAGAGAGCCCCAGGTCAGTCTGGGATCGGTCGGTGCGGCCACTTTGACGTTTGAGAATCATACATATGGTTTGCTTGCTATAAACAAATACCCTTAAACTTGGTATTCTGATTAAGTAATTGCCTCGCAAAAAGAAGCTCATTGTTGAGGTGATGATCGTAGCATTCTTACCGTGCTGCGTGGTTTCTGTTCTAACACTGCTGCGGTGTACTCCAGTGTCGCTGCTGTCCCACTGACAGACCCCGTCCCCCGCTCCGCAGGTTCTCACTGCACGTGGACACGGCCGGGTGTGGGGAGCGCCAGGCCCTGCTGGAAGTCGTCGAAGTGAACCCGTTCCGACACCTGTCTCACATCGCGCTCAGGCTAGCCGCCGCCTCCGACTCGGACCTCAAACTCTACCTCGCCAAAACAATCAAAACCATCAAGGTGCGGCGGGTGTGACGGGTGGTGACGACTGACGTGAAGTTGAATCATGTATCATAGAAATTTAGTCGTTAATTATTTGCGCTCACATGACTTATCCCATGCCCACTTGCTAAGAGGCTGTGGCAGACTTCTTAGCTTTCTTGTGTATGTTAGCTAGCACGTCTCACAGGCTGCTATCGTGATCACCATTCGTCGTCTCTAACCTAGCCCAACCTGATCTGACCCAACCTTAACTGAACTAAGCTGACCTCCCACCGTCCCTGACCTGATTTGATCTGACCTACCCCGTGTGCTCCAACAGGAGGAGCTGCAGTCTGAGCGGGAGCGGCGCTCGAGCGCCGAGCAGAGCCACACCAGCCAGTTGCGGCATACCCAGGAGCTGCTGGCGCAGCGCAGCTCGCAGCTGGAGCAGCTGCGCGCCGAGCTGCAGCAGCTGAGCACCACCAGCAGCTCGCAGCTGCAGCAGCAGCTGGCAGCTGAGCGGGACAAGGCCAGACAGGTGCGAGGGACTGCCGAGCAGGCGTGTTTAACAGTGTTACCTTTGTTTTACTTGAAATTTAATAATTGCTTCAGTTATGTAGCTGTCGCCGACAGAACATGTAACTAGCGTCGCGATATCGGCGACATTCCCGATTGTTGGACACTGCTGTAAGCATTCCCCTCCTTGCGAACCGATAGACTCGGGGCTGCACAGGCTGTTCACTGACGACGTCTGGCTGTGACTGATACAGGCGCAGTGGGAGGAGCAGCAGAAGCAGCAGGCGGAGCGCCAGCGGCTGGTGGAGCAACACCGGCAACAGACACAGCAGCTGGAGCAGCGCGCCGAGACGCTGGACAGGCAGTGCCGACAGCTGACCGAGACCAAGTACAAACAGGAGGTCCGCTGCAGGTCGGTGCGCGGACAACACTCCTGGTCCAGCACTACCCCGGTCCGACCGGAGCTGAAGGGACTCCTGCCAGACCAGTACCGGGCTATCAGTGGCCGTTGCTCCGCGAGTTCAAACTAAGTGCACGACGCGTTCGATAGACTCCGTTGGTAGCTTTGACTTAGACTTCAGAGCTGGGAAGCAAACAAGCCATAATTGCAAGTGTGACCTCACTAGGTAGACAATCAGTTGGGGCTAGTGAGGCTGACTTTAACCCTCGCCGGTTGATGCAACCCCCCCCCCCCCCCCCTCTAAGGTTTTTCGCGAATAACTCGCGTAAAAAACGGTCGATCGTGACGAAAACTTTCGGTACCCTCGCATTAATCAATTTTACACGTACCTGAAAAATTTTATGACCCTGACTACTGAACTGACCTGTACTACACTACTGGTATCTGTGCCCTGACCCAAATGACCTGTGGCCTTTCGGCGTATGTCGGCTCGCATTAGCCGCGCGTTTGCCAGCTTTTCGTGGTTTCAAACGTTCAAACATGTGATTTGATGTTGCTCCCATGCATTAGGGTGGATGTCAAGGTCACCTGAAGGTCAGGTCAGGTCATTGACCTTTGGTGACCTCGGTTCACTTTTTCGAGTTTTACATGTTTCTAGGCTAGTTTTTGGAGCTGAATTCGAATTTAGCAACCATTTGAACATTTGCGAAGTAGTTTTGGTGCCTTCGTAACATGTTACGAAGCTGTCAGAGACGGTTGACACATACTACGAATACCTGTCACGACCCCTACCGGTTGACCTGACCTGACCTGATCTGACCTGGTCAAAATGCTTAAAGACATCATCTGTGATCAAAACTAACACGATATTCGTGATCAGCACCCCGGAAAACCCCATAGCAGCCACACTTTACGAAATTACGACTTTCTAACAGGTTTCGATTTTCCCGATTTTTGGGTCATTGACCTGACTTGGAAGGTCAACCTATGACGTAGGACCTTAAAATTGGGTATCATCGGCTTTCTCTCGTGACGGGCAGCACGCTCGTTTTTTTTTTCCGCGAAGCTGTAGCTCGATCAGGGGCCAAACGCGAGGGGGGTCGTACCAACTTGCGCCGTCGAAGGACGCCAAATGGCCTGTGCCGGCGAGGGTTAAGAAACCTCTCGTCTCTCCCCCGACGGTACCCTGCTAGGGAGATGGAGATTGGGGAGCCTACTGTACTGAGGATGTACTTGTAACTTTCTTCTTGTTTTCCCCACCAGAGAGGTGGAGAGCCAGCTGAAGTCGCTGGAGACCGAACACCGTCAGCTCAAACAGGAGGTGGCCGCCCTCCGGCGGCAGAATGCCTCACTGGACGAGGAGTACCACGGAAAAAGCAAATCAGGTCGGTCAATGGGTTTGAGCGGTGAGTTGTGCGGTGGCTGGTCTGAGGGACACGTAACGGGATTGGTATGAATTTAACGCATTTGGAGTGTGTTTGTGAACTCGTGCATGCACCATGAGGCTTCGTCTTTCTATGTACCACCGCTCATGCCAGGGAAACGTTGGTTGTATCCTGACTTGTTAGGTTTGTGCTAGCTCGATGTAACATCTTTTGAACGAATATCCGCGCTGGAGACTGACTTTGCCTGTCACGACTCACGCTAGTGACCTGTGTTCTCTGTGTAACTCCATTGCAACACTTGTGGACCTGAGGCGGAGTTTGTATGTGGGACTGGAGCTGAGTTTATTGTGACTTCTGCTCTGTCTATTGCTCCAGTTCAGCAGCTGCGGACTCGGGTGGCCGTGCTGGAGACGGAGGTGCGCGACCAGCAGCAGCTGCTGCAGCGTCAGGAGCAGCTACAGCAGGCCGCACAGCAGTCCAAGGTACGTATATCCACATCCTGAAACAACACCGTGGCCTGGCCTATATTTCTGCTGGACGTGATGGCCACAGCACCATTTACTTTCGCCGTCATTGTGTTGGCTATTCGTCGAAGAACGTTCAGAGCACTTGCTTACATTGTTCAGTCGACTTATATCCAGCGACGTCGATCTCACCATCCCCTTCTGTTTTCCGTTCTCCGTCTCCGCCAACCACAGGAGCGGCTGGAGAGCCAGGTGACGGAGCTGCAGAGCACGCTGACACGCCGGGAGAAGACGGTGAAGACGGTGTCACAGGACCTGCTGAAGGCCAACGACATCATCAGGAAGCTGCAGGCCGAGACCAAAGCGCACCACGCCAAGGTACGGCGTGGGCGAGCGTCAGACCACCCGTTTCCAAACTTACTGGTGGGCGCCTTGGTTTTAAAGAGCATCGGTTATTACAGGTTGAGGAGTAGAAAGCACGTTGTTAGGTTCACTTTTTATGTAAGCATTTTTAACAATCACCACAATCAGGCATGCTTCATCCATTCATTGGCATTTAAGGTGTGTCTGTCCAGATGTTTCCATTATTGGCTCCAGTTTTAATCGTTTTTCGTATAGCTACAACACTTGGAAGCCTGGTAAATTATTGTTTCGGGTACCTATTGCATTTGTGCTACATTCTTACGTGTGTGCTCTATACCCATGTTTTGCCGTTCCGTTCCAGCTGAAGCTGCGCAGCCAGATCACTGTGAGGCAGGAGCGGGTGGTCGTAGTGTATTTGGTGGGCTCCGTAACCCAGCTGTGCCACTCCGTGTTCCAGCTGAAGATGCGCAGCCAGATCACTTTGAGGCAGGAGCGGTTGGTCGTAGTCTATTTGGTGGGCTCTGTAACCCAGCTGTGCCACTCCGTGTTCCAGCTGAAGCTGCGCAGCCAGATCACTTTGAGGCAGGAGCGGTTGGTCGTAGTCTATTTGGTGGGCTCTGTAACCCAGCTGTGCCACTCCGTGTTCCAGCTGAAGCTGCGCAGCCAGATCACTTTGAGGCAGGAGCGGGTGGTCGTAGTCTATTTGGTGGGCTCCGTAACCCAGCTGTGCGTGTCTCCGTGTTCCAGCTGAAGCTGCGCAGCCAAATCGCCGTGGAGCAGGAGCGTCTGCTGACGGAGGCGGCTGAGCAGCGCCAGCAGCTGGAGCAGCAGCTGCGGGAGACCTCCGAACGGCAGACGGCCGCCGCCGCCCACTCGGACCGGCTCCAGACGGAGGTGGCTGAGCTGCAGGCCAAACTGGAGACCGCCCAGAAACTGGCCAAGACCAACGAGAACGGTGAGACGCCGCCGCAGCCTGCCGCAGAGCTAGTCGATCGGTGTTGCATTCCGCATTGGCGAGCGGATACTTCATCGTGTTTGATGGAGCCGTCTGCATGGGTGCATGAATCATTGTTTATTTCTAGATCGTTGACTCCCAGTTGTCATCGATCCCTACGTGTGTATCCCTGCCCCAAAAATGCTGGGTGTGAACTGACGTCTCATCCTGTGACTGTCGGCAGTAATAAACTGGCTGAATAAGCAGCTGAATGACCTGCAGTCCCAGCCGCGCGGCCGGCCGCCGGTGGCCGGCTACTTCCACGGACAGGCCGGGTCACTCACATCGGCGTCAGGTCAGTACACAGAGGTCCTCACTTTGGAGTCAGAGCAGTGTGTATTTCTGGCGGGCCTTCACTGTAAGGGTGACGCTTGTACTCTACGTTGGAGACATGCGTTTGAAGAAGACTTGTTTGTCAAGTACGGTATCAGTTCTGGGCAGCAAGTACCTTATCAGTTGTGGCAGCACATGCTGCCAAATGACAGTTTTCCCTCCTCGCTGGGATCACCGCATCATTGTCACCACATGCAAGTGCCGCTGCCAATCCCCCCTCCATTTCCCTCTGCCCCCCCCCCCCACTGACGAGCTGTCTTCCTCCGACAGATCTGCGCACCACGCTGGGCTCGGCTCCGAGCGCCTCCACTCCTGTGTCGTCCCTGAGCACACCGCGGCTGAGGGAGCCGCCGGCCGACTCCGCGGCGGCACCGCCCCGGGAACAGGTGAGGACGCTCCGTTGATTGTCCGTCAGGCCGGCTGACAGGCTGAGCCCGGTTGGGGCAGGTGAAATGGACCGGAAGGGGCCCATGTTGAGTGCGATTTCTCTGCTGGACGACTTTTTGGATTTGACACCATTTAACCCTCGCCGGCCGAGGGGGCCCCCCCCCCTCGGCCGGCGAGGGTTAAATGGTGTCAAATCCAAAAAGTCGTTGGGCGGGTGCCTCCCCCCATAGTGTTTTTTTTTCGCGATAGCTCCGAACACGCTGGCGATAGAGAGCTGAAACTTTGCATACCTGACCTTTGATTCAAGCCGGTTCTTTGGACACCAACCGCATTTTTGGGTCAGGTCAGGTCACTGACCTATGACGTCATAAGTGAACCTCTGCACGGTCTTCAGATGTCGCAACTTCGCAACGCCCTCACTGCCAGAGGAGCTTTCACAGGGAAATGAAACTTGCAGGATCTAGTATCCATTACGAGTCTCACAACTTGTATATCTCGGATTTTTCCCAAAGGTAATATGAGGTCAGGTCATTTTCGTGACCTCACCATTATAAGTCAAAATGGGGAAAAATGAAAACTGCTAATCTGGCGCCGGGAACGATCTCCAACTATCTCAAACACACAGAATCGTGATTTGATACACTCCTTGCAAGGTTAGATGCGTCACTTTTGCAATTTTGACCTTGCGTGACGTCATTTATGGCGTCATCAAGGTCATATTAGTTATTCGTCAATAACTCCCAATCAAATTGAGCTAGCGAGTCGGGAAAGCCACCAATAGACTCAGGAAGACCTGCCGAATCGAATGATATGCGACATGACCTCTTTCGACCAACTTCGTGACCTGAGGTCAACACCCTAAGTTGACCTGACCCAAACAAAAAGTATATCATTCGACGCGCCTGAGCGAGGCGAACACGATGCTGCCAAAATCGCGGCTCTGCGGCCGTTTTTTTTGCGAAGTTACCAAAAACTGAACCGTACCTTGGGCCTTGGGGCACTTGACCTGACCTCAGAGGTCACCGGTTGACCTAGGACCTTAAAATCGGGTACCAATCTCTGCGTCTCTTAACGGCGCACACGCTCTTTTTTTCGCGATGCTCTAGCTCCACCAGGGGCGAAACGGCGAGGGGGGTCGTACCCGCCCCCCCCCCCCTCGGCCGGCGCGTATGTAGAAAACCAATAGGTCCGGCGAGGGTGAAATGCGCGGGTGTTTGTATTTGAATGGAATTAGCAACCGTTTTAGTGATTGTACGAGTATGGTGTCCGTCATAGTCTTGGGCTGCTTACGTTACGTTAAAGTTACTTGATATCGGCCATCCAGCCTCTGATACCAGTAAATCGCCAGCTGTTCTCACACTTTATGACGTTTTTTGTCCCTTTGTCAGACATCCAGTCGTTCGGACACGCTGGGCAGTAAGGGTATCGGCACCGCCCCGGCCCCCAGAGGGATGCCGCCCAGACCGCCCCTGCAGGACGCCACAAAGTGAGTGGCACTGGAACAGGCTACCACGCGGCGGCGAACGGGTTGCCCTCACAGGTCGACTGACCGGTGTGGTTCTCATGTGATATAATGCAGTAGTTTGTAACAGTCGATAAGCATGTGATGAATAATGAAGTGTCGTTGCTCATTTGTTGAATGCCGAACGTCGAGCTTAAGTTAACTTGTGAAACTGTTCGACTGTGTGGTTTGGAATTAAAGCAGTAGCTCCCAATGTCCTTGACAAAGCCAGTCTCACTTAATCAGTTATATTTCCTGCACCGTTGTCCGTTTTAGTCGATGCTTGACATACATATTGCATAGCTTCTGCCGCATTTCACATTTGTGTTTTATCACTGGCCAGTCAATGACATACTGCGTCTCTGTGTTCCAGCACGGACCAGCCTCTGGCGGCGCGGTACCTGCAGGCGGCCAAGGGGGAGCGGCCCCGGCAGCCAGCCGAGCCGGTGCGGATAGCGGGCCTGGTGCGGCGACCGCTCCCGGCACAGTGAGAGGGCAGGGGTCCGACGGCAGTGCCGCTGTGTGTAGTGGACTGGGTGAGACGGCTCATTGAGAGCTGGGACTTCTGTGGACTAAAGGTGCAGTGGTCTGATCGGGGGCTCTCCTGAGATTGTTGTATTAGGATGCAGCTTGGACTTGGAGTGCGACGCATAGCAGAAACGGGAGTGGTTGTTGTATAAACTAAAGAAATAGGACTGTTGGGGACCGAGAACATGCCTGCTAGCGATTCGACTAACGAAATAGTTTCATAGTGCCGATAACATGCGACCATTCGCGTTAGGCCACAAAGTCGCTCGAAAATTTCATATCATCAACATCATCGCATCATCACACTCATAACTATTCATCATGAATGCGAACGACATATTATAGAAACACGTTATCAATGCTATCGAAGTTATATTTAGTTTAGAACTGCGCGATATTTCATGTGCATGCCGCTGCTTCCACTAATCGATGTATATTGTGTAAGCAAAACGTCTTCCGCAGGATATTCGTTGTACAGTGATGCGCGTTAGTTGACTGATTCAGCAGAGCCCCGCTAGTGTACGGCGTTGAGTGTGAGATCGTACTGTAGAATAGTCTGGTCCAGTGGCGACCCCATGGTGACCGAAACCGCTCAGATGACTGACACGATAAGAGTCTCGGCGCCCGGGTACGGTCCAGCTAGGTCCATCTGTGGGTGATCATCTGACGACTGACGAGGGTAGCGACCAACGCCGCCACTGTGTCTGCGACCGGGCATTGTCTGTGATACGAGCTCGACGAGTTTAGGATAGATCAACGGCTGGGTGTGCGTGACGTGTGTCAGGGATACCGTATGTAGGCCTACTGCTAGTATCCACGGGGTCCGAGGAGCGTTCGGGACTCGGGAGGGCTGGCTGTCGACTGTATGAGAGAGTGCTGCTGATTCCTGTCGATGTCTTGCTGGCGTTCGCTTATAGCCTTAGTTCCCACGATGCATTGAAAATTGCATAACCACAACATTCTTCAGAACATTACTCGCTACTACACCTTTTTGCACTCAAAATAGGCATCTTTTCATTCAATTTCGGCGAATTGCATTCAATTTTAGCGATCTCTCTATTCGAAGCAAATGAGAGATCGCTAAAATTGAATGCAATTCGCCGAAATTGAATGAAAAGATGCCTATTTTGAGTGCAAAAAGGTGTAGTCTAATTATGAAACATTGCTCCTCCATAACCCTGCATTCGTATCCAACTGACTGAAATAATCTGCTTCTGACTGGTACATTTGAACGATTCGTTTTAAACGAGTTCCCACCGTATTGCTGCGGCGCTACTGCGGTTGTGTACATAATTACAGTATCCAGCTCATACTTGTTCTCACGACCGGAGGCGCTCCATTATGCTAATTTTATACGTCTGAAAGTATGAGCCTGCGGAGTCACGTCGGGCCGTGCGACCGGGCCTGCCCTCACATGCACATGTACAGAACGACGCCGACCAAATACATGACGCTCATTTATACGGACGGACTGTTATTTTGGCAGATAGTTTGTCATCCGGCGCTTCCGTCGTGGGGTAGTCGGACGGATTATTCAAGTAAAGAAACAGGTGGAATTCAGGAGTAGGTACGTTCCGTCTTCTTGTCTTGAGCTGTGTGCCACAGAAAGCAGAAACGAATTAGCGTGGCATTAAACAACGCCCAAATGAAAGGGCTGGTCATTGATGGTGGCTTTCAACGACTGAACGGTCACACTTCACAACTATCCTGATTGTTTGGAGGAAGGTCCTGTCTGTCGCCTTGCTCTGTCGAGTGTCGAGATAGATGGAGTTCTAGCGGTCGGAAGGAGGTCCCGCCTCTGTCTAGATAGTTGGAGTTCTAGGGGTTGGAAGGTGATCCCGCCTGCCTCTGTCGAGATAGTTGGAGTTCTAGGGGTCGGAGGGAGGTCCCGTCTCTGTTGAGGTAGATGGAGTACTAGCTAGGGTCGGTTAGGTCCGAGAAGCACAGGGGCGCAAAGACGTTACCACGAAGATGAACCCATTCCCATCACATCCGATCCAATTACCACCACTTCCGTTCGAGGTTTCATGAGACCAGGCAACGGTCGTGATTTGGTTATTTCGTTAACTTATACATGCCTATGATGGAATGTTTCAAGATCAGGTGCTACGCCAAAAATACTGAGGATGAGAGGCGGAGATGACGTAACAGCTAACTGAACAGGCAATGAAAGTAAAAAGTGTTGCGGTCGATGCCTCGAGAAATTCTTTAGATTCACTAGAATGGGTGGGATAAATGATTGCATCGAAATCCACCGGCCGATAACCTGGCAACAGCACGACCCTCAGAAAGTCAGAAAATTCATGACAAAGGAATGTTCATTGTGCAGCCACTCTTTATTTTCGGCTGATTCATTAACTTAAGTTGTAGGCGCACAAATTATCCGAGAGTCAGGCAGTGCCAGGTCTAGATTTGTATCGAATGTGATCTGCTGGTGACATCAAACCTCTTCTTGAGGCCCTCTGAGTGACTGGATAATGTCCATGAAAGGATGACAGAAACTCCAACCACCAACCACTTCACAGCGTCTCTTGTCATCACGCTGGTCGGCCTCTTCCGAAACACAGAACTGCACAAACAATCGCATCGCATTTATTATTGCTTAGAAAAACTGCGGCAATGTACAGAACGAGATGAAATAAATATGTGCGCAGGATCTGAGAGGGGCCGAGCGCCGGCCTGCCTAGTGGGCGACGGTGGCGCCTCTGGCGACCGAGCGCCGCACGACAGCTGGTGAAACCTTTGGTTGTTAGCTGTCTGTTCCCCGCCTGGGCACTGGCGGGCCTCTGCACACACGCACGCACACACACGTCTACGCACCGAGATCGCGACGACACTTCTAGCATATTATGTATAACAAGGTTTGTACATCCAAACAGTTGACGGCTCTGTCGGCCGCCGTTCCGCGCGCGCGCTGAGACTCGACCGCGTCCGGCGCGCGCCGCCGCACGCTCACAGGCACATACACAAACACACACCACTCGGCAGGTCAACGAGCGCGCGCACCGCCACATAGTCTGCGCCGCGTCGGTGCACCACGATAATATTTCAATATCACATGAAACGCGCCGGCGCCGAGGCCGGTCGGCCGTCTGTCCGTCCGTCCCGGGCCACTGTCCACGCGCGCCGCCGTCACCCATCACTGAGCGCCGTCCCCACGACTGGGCGGCCCGTGCCCCGCCCGGCCCGGCCGGGGCAGGCCGCCTACATACTAGGCGGCGTGTCGTACGGCATGATGTTGTCGATGGCGGCGATGCGCTGCGGCGCGGGCGCGGGGGGCGGCGGCGGCGGCGGCGCGCCGGGCCGCATCACGTCGTGGACGCCGGATACGTGCGGCCGCGGCCCTGGCTCCGGGGTGTAGGTGAACGTCAGACCCGTGGCGTAGATGACGCCGTCGTTCCGCACCAGACACACCGGTACCTGGGGAGCGGGACAGACAGCTGCGGTCAGGTACAGTTCAGGCACCGGTCAGGCACCAGCCTGACGCTGGCGATTTCACAGGCAAACATAGCAGCTGGTAATGGTACGGTTTCAATGTCTGTCTAACTGAATCAACAAGAGTAGAAATCAGATTTTACCCAAAACAATATTCGTCATTGTCAATGAAATATTAAAGTACAATGAGCCCATGTACCATGTAACTACAACGCCATGAGCCTATCTATCAACTCATTTCATCTTCCACGAGTCTTACTGAACGAGAAATGAAAGCGATAGAGAACTAACAAACCCTAGCGCCGTCGACCCCACCCGTCCGGTCTCCCTCTCGGCACTCACGTTGGTCGGTTGCCGCACCCACTGCCAGTTGCCTCTGAACGCTGAGATGTCGGGTACCACACACAGCATAGACTCTCCACAGCGGAACATGGTCTCGGCCTCGACCTCTCCGAACCACACCTTCAGCTTGGGGCCGAAGTTCTCTCCGGCCAGCTCGAGCATCGCCACGTCGCCGCCGCCATTCAGCTGAGGGGCAGAGGCCGGAGGTCAGAGAGATGATCAGAGGGAGGGTGTGGAGGGGCACGTTGTTGTTGGGAACTGCGTGATACCAGTTCCCGACGCAGTATGGATATTCGTCTGGATTGAACTAGATGCAAGTAACTTCACTTACAAGACCGAACCACGAATTACCATAAACAAAAGCGGTAGAACTTTGACCCGCAGTGAAAGAGCCTGAAAACTGCTATAATCGAACCCATACTAAGTGAGTGGCGGCGGTCGTGTTCCGGTCGTGTGTTGACACTCACGTGTAGGCTGTGGACGATGGGCACGGGCGTCACGGGCGTCCGCACGGGGCCCATGCCCTCGTAGAAGGTGTACTCGGCCCGGTCCGTCGAGATGATGGTCCAGCACGCGCCGTCGTTGATCATCTCCTTGTTCATTTCCTTGGGACACGGCGTCGCCTGCGGGGGCGAGAATGACGTCAGAGGGCTAAAACTGAGTGCCTCCTACATGCTATGCCTCCGTGTCCTGAGGGAGATGAGAGGAATCTATCGATACTTGCCCCGCATTATCTCTGTCAAACAATTCGTTACGTTAAACTAGCACGTAACTTCCACAAGGATCGTTAATTCGTGAGCTGACGTCACTATATAATATCTGAAGCCTGAACATCCCACGGGCGCCGTCCTCACCTGGAACTGAATGATGCGCTCCTGGCTGAGGCACAGGTACATCCGCTCTGTGTCCTTCATGTAGAAGGCCACCTTGTGCAGCTGCGAGATGGGATCGTCGGCGTCCAGCAGGGCCATCTGCTTGTCCACCTTCCTGATGACGAGTCGCGGCAGCGCCATGCCGGTGACGGAGCAGACCAGCTTCACCGTGCTGCCGTAGTGGATGTAGCCGTCGCGGACGGTGAACTCCTCAGACTCCGACTCCGACTCGTCCACTGCGCAGAGAGGAGGAAATGGGCGGTCAGGGATGGAGCGAGTACGGAGAATATGAAGCCGCTGCCGCCGAAGTACGGCAACAAGATGATACAGGCACATAATAACTCCGACAGCCTGGAGGCTTGACAGAATCCAACCTTTCACTCATCATGCGGACTGGTGTTTTCGAGTTTTTTTTTCCTGTCTCGAGGCCCATTAACAAAACTTGAAAATGTGCAACCCATGAGCGTCTCATCGACATTAATAGCACACTCCCGTTTCAAATGCAAACCACGACCCACAGGCCCGCTAGACACCGGCCCTCGGCGGCCCCATCCCCTGTCCGACTGATGTCAGAGTGAACTCGTCACTTACGCAGGTGGATGGTGAAGGCGCCCCACTGCGTGGACGACGCGTGGAAGTTGCCGTTCTCCACGTGGAGGTAGCGCGTGCTGACCGTCTGCGAGCGCAGCCGGTTGAACAGCGCTACCTTGGTGCCGCTGGCGATACACACTGGCGAGAAAGAAAGGAGAACGGGGTTAGAGCACAGCTCAACGGTACATACTGGCGAGAGAGAAAGGCGGGGTTAGGACACAGCTCAACGTGAAACGAACAGCGAACGAAGAGACGGAGAAAAGGCACGTAGTAACGGCTTAAGTACCTAATGTTTTTTATGCAAATCATGGGAAAAAATGCCGACAGTAAAACGGCGATCGCACTAAGCATGCAGAATGTATCTCTACTTACGGTCCGCGTTTTTCAGCGACTGCTTCTTCTTGCTGGGCTTGGATATGACCTTGATGCGCTTGCTGTGGAACACGCCGATGTCCATGCCGTTTCCGTAGAACATCTTGGTGCTGAGCATGAAGTGTTTCCGCTTGTCCGAGTCGGAGATGAACAGGGTTTTGGCCGCGCAGTAGTGCTGTGAATGGTCGCACACGTCAGTAAGGTCAGACAAGTGCAGCTTTGTCCGCATACACAACACTTCAGGCCGTAACAGTCTTACGCTAATTGACAGGAAGACATTAATGAACAACGAAAACAGGCATTAAGCCGAAACCTACGCTGCACAGCCAATTACTGAGGAAGTCATTTCCGACAGCAGAACCACACTAGCCCGCAAAACGGCACCTTGGGTAAACATTTCCGCTGCATAATAGTCCATCATTAGCTAAAGGATGATTCACACTGCCACATCGTCACCCCTATCAACCCCGCTTCCTCCGCACCACACTACACGTACCTTTCCATTGAGGTCGAGCTGCTGCATGTCCTGGTCTGAGTTCCCGATGCCAATGAAGGCGCACAGCTGCGCGCCCTGCTCCGACTCTCCTTCCTTCAGCATCTGTTCCCGTTTGCGCCGCCAGCCGTCGCCGTATAAATAGATACAGGGCGGTGGGCAGAAGAAGCGTTTCTCGTTTCCGTACGACTTTTGCGCCACCTTGGCGTGCAGGATGACGATCACCTGGTCACCGTGCTCCTCCAGGTAGCGCTTCATGGCGTCCCGCGTCAGACGCTGGTCCTTCATACTGCCCAGAGGAGGAGACGGGGAGGTTAGGTTCATTCCCAGTGACAAGAACAGGGAGACCGCATCCTCTACCATGTAAGTTCTAGCATGTTCTAAGATAGCAGAATGAGGTGTGATTTTCGCTATGGAACGGCTGTGCCGCTTCGCTAGAAGTATACTGATATTTACTAATGCAACAGAAAATAAGCATAACACTGCTTAGCCCAGAGCACGTTAAAACTTATGTCCTAACCGTCAGGGACGTCTAGTACTTCAAAATTGTCATCCACTTCACCCAGCCACTCAACAACCGCCATTATCGCGCTGAGCTGACTGGGGCCGGCTCTGCGGCACGTGCCAGTAAGCCGGCCCTCCACCGACCCGCCGCCGGCGGTACGGGCCGCCGAGAGGACGTCCGAGCCGCGCAGAACCGGTCCCAACGGCGGCGGTGGCACCGGCCGAGCATGCAAAATGGCGCCGACAGCGCGCGCGTGGGCCCGTAATTGGTCGGTGGTGAAAGCATCCATCATTTTCCGAGCCGGCGCCCGCACGTCGACTTCGATACCAGCTCGAAAAGGAGCGAGAAACGCGGACATAAGAACCGGCCCGGGCAGCCGCCGGCCGAGCCCGGCCCGCCTACAGCAGCGTCACAGCCGTGTATCAACACGGCTCATTAACCGGCTCGCTAATTGTACAGGCCACTTTGGTCGACGTCCAACGAGCCGGTAATTTACAGTCATGTGTGCGGATCGCCCACAGCGCCGCAGCCTGTGCATGTTCCCGTCGGTGGGCCGGCTAATTCGCGGAGCGGCGCGGTCAGCCTGATGACACTGTGCATTAACCATACGATCGGCGCCAATTACCCCATCCTCAGCGGGCGCGGCCGGCGGCCGGCGGCCGGCGTCAACAATTCATGACGCCCGAGCAGCGGCGTGCGTGACGGGCCGGCGGCCGTGACGGGGACCGAGCGGCGACTCCGGTGGTCGGTAAACGGCGGGGGAAGAAATGTAGCGGGCGGGAGGGGTGCCAAGAAGCTACCTACACTCCTAAATTTTTATTAACACACAAGAACTTGCATTCTGGGATGTCACAATATCGTAATCAGGAATGATATGTAGCATGAAAAGGGTAAGAGCGAAAGGTTTAGGAAACAGTATGTAGGTATATGAGAAATCATTGAGATGACTGTGCATCTTAACCGAACAAGCGCACACATTTCCATGCTACCGCAAATAGAGTTGCATAAAGCACCTGCTGCGTTGAATGCAACACACCCATACAATAAACGACCCTCCGCTCGCTCGCGGTCAGAAGTGGGTACTCACGCCATCGGATAGGGCACTGGCGGGCTCGGTGTGGGCAGCGGACTGGGCGGTGCCTGCATGCTCGACAGGGTGTTGACGGATAGCGGCCCCGAGCCGGGCACACCCATCAAATGGGTGCCGGCGGCGGCGGCGGCGGCTGCGGCGGCAGCGAGCTGCGCCGGGTGCCCGCCCGGGTGGTGCGGGTGGTGTGGGTGGTGCGGCGACGGGTGCAGACCGAGCTCCGAGCCGAGCTTGTCGGGTGGCGTCAGAGAGCCGGGCAGCAGCGGGCCGCCGCTCAGATCTGTAACAGGGGGAGGGGAGGACCGTCAGCACCGGCCGGCGGCGCACAGCGGAGTGACGGCAGCTCTAGGACGGTACAGCGTGTTACGCTGACATACAAGTCAAGTTCAGTCTCACGTTGCCCCATGCCATATGAGATCGAACAGCCACAAGCAACATATTGAAGTATCGAAACATTTTTTAGGTTACTTTTCCTTAGCGAAATGCGCAAAGTTTTCACTAGTTGAAGAACAGGCGTGCTTGATTAGAGGTAATCGCTTAAAAATACCATTACGATCGAGATGCAATAGGGTTAATAACACCACCGGCAGCCCAAAGCAGCAGCAAGGTATCGAAGCCGTATCATCAGGCACATCCTTCCCCGCCAGCCACCAGCACTGAAGACACCAACAATTACGGTCCAACATGCTTTCGAGAACAGTCTCGGCCAGCCTTTGCACCCCTAGGGTGCAAGCTGACATGGGATGCAAAGCGACCGCTCGAAATCATGCATGAAGCCGAAACATCCGCAGAATCAACAGACACCAAGCCCCGGTCCATGGCCGCCGCCGACCCGCCACCATCGACTACCACAGAGACCCAGTGCTAACACAGATAAATAGGCGCTCACATCTGTTGTACGCGCCGTTGTATTTGACATCGTGGTTGGCCCAATCTGCGGAAGAGAGAGACAGAATACCTGTGATAGACGTCGGCACTGGGCGACACACGGGCAGGGCAAACGGCATTATCCCCCAGGACTGCTGGCATTGGATACACTGGGAAACGGGGGGCGGGATGCCTGCAAGCCACGGGAGGGTGTTAGTATGGGAGGGTGGGCGTATCAGTATGTGCAGCCAAGCAGCCCCTGCGCTGCCAGCGATGAAGAAAATCGAGAGCTGTACAAACTCCGCAGGGCAGGACAGAACAAGCACAAGAACAGCATGACCAATAAGCCCAAAAAGGCTACAAGTTGCAAAAAGACGCAAATACGTGAGACTGACAAAGATAATCCCGTATCTCGATACTTCAGCCGCGACAAAGGCACATGATGCGCACCACAGAACACTGCGGAACAAGTATGGAGCCCCAGCTGACCGGCTCTTTCACTCAGTCATCCGCCGGTCCAGCCGAGCGGCTGAGTCCGTTCGGCGGCCTCTCTGACCGCCGGCCGGGGATCGGCGACTTGTCGGCCCGCCGGCTCTCTCGCGGCGCGGCCGTGCCCGTCCGACGGGGCCGCCGCGGGCCGTCAGCTGCGGCGTTCACACCGGTCCGACGCCGAATCAATAGTTCTCTCTCTCTCCGGCTGTGGGCCGGACGGGCCGGCGGATCGGACGGGGCGCCGCAGCCACCGCTGGCTCATCTCGAGACTCACGCCCACAAACAGACACCGTAGGACGGTCACCATGGCTCAGCACGGGTCACCGCGTGCACGGGAACACGGGTGACACGTGCCGCGACATGAGCCGCACGTGTCGCCACCCGGCTCGGTAATCTGCTGCACGTGCCAACGCGGCGAAGACACGTGCACAGCTGGTGTCACCGACGCGTGGGCGGACACCACAGAATCGCGCTGCAAATGCCACCAGAGGATTTAACTCGAATAACGTCTGGAGGAGTCCAAGAATATCCAAGACCGCAAAAGTTGCACATACGAGTAAGCTATTGAATAAGTTTGATGCATCTCATCCAGAAAATCGCAGATAGTACCGATTTGTAGCTTTTCCAATTTCATTCGTTAGTAGACGTTCTTGTTGCACCACTTTTCACCAAGATCATTACATCTTTCGCGTTAAATCATTCACTGTTCATTCGATAACAATTTACCATACCAGTATAACGCCTTTTGGGGCGACTAACGGAGCGAGCGAGAGGGTGGGCCTTGCACGTGCGAAATTGCGAGGGGGTACCTCCAACTGACTTGTGCACGGCACCCTACTAACCGGTCTCTAGCGACGTGCCAAATTTGGGCACAATCGGCTCAGTCGTTCTCGAGATCTGGAAGCGGCACCCTGCACGTGCGCACGTGCAAAATGGGTCCCAACTGACTTGTGCACGGCACCCTACTAACCGGTCCCTAACTGTGTACCAAATTTGAGCGCAATCGCTCGAGCCGTTCTCGAGATCTGGAAACGACCCCTGCACGTGCGCACGTGCAGCAGCACCCCAACTCTGGCACATGGACATGCAGTGCCTAGTGGGTGCCTACTAGTGGTGTCAATTACGGAAAATCGGAATACCGATACCAAACCAAATACCAACCAAAACCGTGGAGAAATACCGAAACCAAACCAATTTGGGAATATGACGGAAATACCAACTTTTTACCGATTTCCTAACCTCTTATACATTAGTGAGGGTTCATGATACCAACAAAATACCAAGCACATTACGACTGAAATACCAAATACCAAGTTGGTATCGGTTTGGTATCGGTATACCAAAAAGTTGGTATCCGATTGACATCTCTAGTGCCTACCTACATGCCAACTTTCAGCGCAATCGGCCAAGTAGTTACCGAGATATTGCAACAATTACAAAACGGATACCTTTTCGTTTTGCACGTGGCACGTGCATAAGGGGTCACCCATATGCATCGGGAATAGTCCAATACTTGGTAGAAGGAATGAAGCTACCCTACAAAAATTACCGCATGTAAATCGGTCAAGTGGTTGCTGAGATATAAGCGTCGCAGAATCGTGACCACGGCCGGCCGGCCGGCCGGCCGGCCGCTCATACTCAGAAATTTCCGTTATTCTACGTACCAGTATAACGCCTTTTGGGGCGACTAACGGAGCGAGCGAGAGGGTGGGCCTTGCACGTGCGAAATTGCGAGGGAGTACCTCCAGCTGACTTGTGCACGGCACCCTACTAACTGGTCTCTAGCGATGTGCCAAATTTGGGCACAATCGGCCCAGCCGTTCTCGAGATCTGGAAGCGGCACCCTGCACGTGCGCACGTGCAAAATGGGTCCCAACTGACTTGTGCACGGCACCCTACTAACTGCTCCGTACCGTGTACCAAATTTGAGCGCAATCGGTCCAGCCGTTCTCGAGATCTGGAAACGACCCCTGCACGTGCGCACGTGCAGCAGCACCCCAACTCTGGCACATGGATATGCATTGCCTAGTGGGTGCCTACCTACATGCCAACTCTCAGCGCAATCGGCCCAGTAGTTACCGAGATATTGCAACAATTACAAAAGTGACACCTCTTGGTTTTGCACGTGGCACGTGCATAAGGGGTCACCCACATGCATCGGGAATAGTGCAATACTTGGTAGAAGGAATGAAGCTACCCTACAAAAATTACCGCGTGTAAATCGGTCAAGTGGTTGCTGAGATATAAGCCTCGCAAAAGCGTGACCACGGCCGGCCGGCCGGCCGCTCATACTCAGAAATTTCCGTTAATCTAAGGAAAGACTACGCTCGCTTCGCTCGCTCCGTAATTAATGTAGAAGTTGAGTTGAGACGTTTATGATTCGGCATGGTTGAATTCGGCAGCAATTCGACATGGCTGATTCGGCAGCCGTGATAAAAATCAACGCTTCCATTAGAGAAAGTCCTATCTTTTACGTTTTCCTTTGTAACAATTTTTCAACTGCAGACAACTGCAGGCTGCAAACATTGCAAGGTAGCCACGACTCTTTAGTGCCCTGGTAGCCACTTCCCGGAGAGGCCAGCTCCTGTGTTTCGCAGGAGGCGGTGCGCCAGCAGATACGTTAATCGGCCGACACGGGCTCGGTTCTCACGCTCGCGAACCCCGGCCACTGGCCGAGCTGCACGGCCGCTGAAAACAGACACCTGTCCTGCAATGTCGGCCAAGGGGATTACACACACGGCAGCAGCTGCTGATCATGTGCCCAGTGGGAAACGCCTCCATAAAACATTACAGTGGGAAAACAGGATTATGCAGTATGCACCTGACTTCATGAATAACTAGCCATGCAATAGCATTTACGATTTCACCGATCTAATGTTTAGAAGGAAAAGTGTGAGCAAGTTTGATTTTTTTTTTTGCCGACAAACCATAAGCAGCAACAAAATTGTTCGACACACTTGACCGAAATCATCCAACAGTGCGAAACAGACTATTGACAAGTTGGCCGCTTACCTGTCTATTACACCTCTCACGAAGCCAGATGTTGAGACGAAATTACTACTGTCGGTGAGACTATACCGGCGCCTAAACGACGAACTAATGTACACCGCCCGTTAGGGATCGGCTACCAGTTGTGAAAAATGAGCTGTTAATGACTCCAGCGGGCCGCGGACTCGGGTCCTAATCATCGTCATGAGTTATGGGAACGGAACGGAAGCTAGCCTACTGGCATTCCCAGCAATTAGCTCCGTCTTGCAACAGTCTCAAACCACGAGAATCTATTAACTACTACGCTAAATCAGTGAGAATGGATGGGTCAAACGGAACGAAATACGGTGAATCTCCTCCGTGGGTTCTCCTTGGTCGGCGGACTCGCAGTCTAGCCACAAGTGCCGGTCTTCCAGTCCCACCAGCATGTGTCAGACTCACCAACTGGTCTGCCAGTGCCTCCTGCCGGTCTCCACCCCTCCCCAGTCCCCACTCACCCGCCTGGCTGCCGGCTGGGCCGTAGTGCGCCGCCGGCACCGGGTAGAACGGCGACTCCCAGTAGGCGGCGCCCGGACCGTACTCGGCGCCGCCGGCCCCGGGACGCTCCATCGCGCGGCGGGCACGGGTCGTCAGCGGCGCGCGGCCCGAGCCAGGGCGCGTCCCGCCACCAACACCATCCCGAGAGCACGCACTAGAGCGCCGGTCAGCTCTGCGACTCGACTGGCTGCCATCGCTAGCGGTGGCGGCGGTCCGGCCGGCCGACCGACCGCCCCATCCAGCGCCATCTATTTGCCATGCCATTAATTACAGCGGGCACCTGGCGTTTTCCCACGCCGTCCCACGTCGGTGGTGACGACGGCGCCGACGCGGCCGCAGCGCCGATGACCGTCGCTGTAAGTGGTTCGGCAATGATTTTCGATGGCGGCCGCTGTGCTGGACGTCACGCCGAGCGGAGCCGTGACGCGGCGGCGGCCTCGTCACAATCCGTCACGGGTCACCACGGGTCAGCGGACAGTCACGGAGACGGGCAGCGTCTCTCGGCCGGCGGTGCCCGCGGCGGCGGCCGCCGAGGTCGGCAGAGCGAGGGGTGTGGCCAGCGCGGTCGGCGCCGCTCGCCGGCCAATGGCGGCCGGCCGCCGGCTGAGGGCGGACCACCGAGACGATCATTACAGCGCCGACCGGAGGCACGCGCCGACACCGCCGCCGCCCACCGGCTCCGTAGACACGGAGAGAAATGACTGCCAAATCGGCGCCGAACCGAAATCGCTGCCCAACTGACCGCGCCGCCACTGAGAGCCCTGGGAACTCGCAGACGTGCCAGAGTGGGAGACAGTGAAAATAAAGCTCCATCGTTAACTGAGCATTGGCTGGATTTTAACTCGTAGATATAAAGAAACGAATGTTGAAGACTTTAAGATTCATTTCTCATATATTATTAAAATAGAATGCTTGATCTTTTCACCCAACACTCTGGTATATCAAGCAGGTATCTTGCTGGCTAATCGAGCCAAACCAAAACCACCACCACAACGACAATTGACCTAAAGTCAGGTCATCAACTTTCAAATCACCCAGCTGCTTCCGACACACCGCATCATTCAGCGCCGGTCGCTGGCGAATATCTGCACTCGGACCAAGGGCTGGATGGCGAATAGTTTGTGGTCAGTGGTTGCCGATTGGTCGGTGGTAGACGACCATTGGTTGGTTGGCAGTCAGTGGTCGTCGGTCGGCTCGCAGCGGTAAGTCAGCCGGCGGCGCCCGTCACCGTTCCCGGCCGGTCAGGAGCTGCCGGGCCCGACTGGCCGTGGGACTGCCGGCGCCGCGCCCCGGGGCGGCCGCAGAGCGCCGTACCGTCACCGCCGGCCGGCCGGCGATTACACCTCGTTACAGCGCCGGGCGCCACTAAAAACGGCCGGCCCACGGGATAGCGCACTCGGAAGTGGTCACTACCCCGGGGCGCCGGCACAGCTCCGGTCCGAGACAGACTTTCCCAGCGCGTGGCGCGTGCGGTAGCCCTGCGTGCCGCCCAGTCTTCTGACGCGGGCACTGACGCAGCCAGCGACGACAATCTTCTGTCAACAGAGCCGCGCGGCCGCGGCGAGCTGACCAAACACACAGCCGAGACTGAGAGTGGGGGTGAGCGGGATCGGTAGCCACCGCTCTCAGGTAGCCACGAGTAAACAGAGGAGCCGTGGGAGGGAGATCCATTCCCGACACCATATAGGACGGGACGGGACAAGTTTGACGTGGTGACAGGCAGGGCTGGATAAGCCCAGGTGTTGGCAAGAGTCAACCTCGTACCGCCCGCGTGATGTGGAGTAAGCTTCCAAAGGCGACAGAGTGCGCCTATTGCGAGGGAGTGAGGCGAACACACTTTCCAACTTGAACCGGTACGAACCGACGGGGCCGACTGGTCTAACGACGCACACGGAGCTGGTAAAAGTTGGCCGGCCGCGGGGAGCGCGCACCGGCGCTGCCGGCTTCCGGCGATCGGTCAGCCAAGTTGGACGGCGGCCGGCCGGCGGGCGGGAGTGAATGGTGTAACCTCCGCGGCGGGCTGACGGCGGCGGCTCAGATGGGGAGATAGGAGAGACGGCCGCCCCCGACATCCGGTCCCAGAAGGTGAGAACCGACAGACGAGCCGGAGAAGACAAATGATGCCGATAGGAGATCGATAAACCCGGGCCGGAGATCACGGCAAGGGCGCCACGGTTTCGGATTAATCCGCAACGCAAAGAAATGAAAATAATCATAGACTTGGCTTGATACGTAAAGGACGGCGACTAGCGCTAATATTAGGCCGGAGCGGTTCAGATACCCCGATTTTCCTGACCAGCTCTCCGCGAGATCCAGCCGTCCCCTCCCCGACCCCCGTGCCGCCTCCCGAGCATGTCAGTGCGGCCTGTTAGCGGGACACTGATCGGTCTCGGCCGGCCGGCCTTCCGTGGAGGCTCCACCTCGCTCCGTCGCCCGCCGACCGATGGGTGTGAGCCGGTGCCGTGGAGCGGCTCCGCAGGGCGGGGCGCGCCTGTTACACGGCACTCGGACGCGCCCGGCCGCACCTTCACACCAGCCTCATCACCACGACGCGAGCAACGCGGCTTGGTGGGAAAGACGAGCGAAAGCACCGCGCGATATGGGCTCCAGCTCGCGTGAGATGCTGCCGTTGGGAGAGTATGCCGTGGCGGTCGGCAACCGAGGCAGGGGAAACCTGGTCACTGGACATGCCCCAGGGAGTGCGGCTCTGTACACGGAAGTAGGGACTGGGGGCGCCCACACTCTTGACACAGACACAGGACACTGAGCGGCTCTGCTGCGGCGATCCGAGTACTCACCGTCCTGGATGTTGAGACTGAGTCCGGTGGGCTTATACGGGTCGCGCCGGTAGTCGAGGTCGGGTCGCGGCGAGCTCAGGTCCACGGGGTGGTTGTCGGGGTAGCCGGGCGGCAGGTGGGAGCCCGGGGTGGGCGGCGGCGGCGCGAGGCCCGCGCCCAGCTCCGTCAGAATACCGTCCGTCTGCCGGAGAGCGCGGTATGGTCAGTTTGAGCGACGGCATACAGCATGGGAACACTGCGGTAAAATACTGGGATACCGTCATCTTATACTGGGTTTGAAGGACAGGCTACACTTTTCTATACGAATTTCACAGGTGTAGTTGGTCTAAATGTGATGGGTTTCGCTATTTTCTGCTCAGAGGACAGTTGTGATAACAAGTGAGTAAAACTAAGCACTAGATTACGGGCACAATAACTGCATTCAGAACAGAAAATCGGAGCATACGTTGTTCAAACAGAACTCGCGTTTCGGCTGGATCGGGGCCGTTATCATCCCACAGAAGCCTGACTCCTGTACCGTTATTCATCAGACAGTGGGCGTCACAGGCCAGCGCGAGGCGGAGCGCGTGTCAACACCGACCGACCCAGGCGGACACACAGCACCAGAGATAGAGCCGGCCGCACACAGGGACCCACTCTGAGGAGGCCTGATAGGCCGGCTACCGAGCTGACGGGCAAACAGCGGCCCAGATAAGCCGCCGTCTCCCGGCCGGACAGTAGCCGCCGTGTCACGGCGTGCTAGTATTCGTACTGGACAGAGAAACCGAGACATCGCGGGAGATAGCACGGTGGCTGACTCGGCGCGGACTAACGAACGGTATCGAGTCAGCCTGACACCGCACGGGACTGTTAGCAGTGATATCCTACTGAAAAAAAACACCCGGCGGCTCATGCTCAGTCGTCCGCTCTCCACCTGAGCGGCTGCTCGCTCCGCCACTCACCTGCGGGTAGTAGTTGTTGTTGGTGTGCGTCTGCTGCTGTTGCTGCTGCTGCTGCTGTTGTTGCTGGTCCTGATGCTGCTGTGCCAGGGACGTCGGTGTGCTGTAGCCGGCGTCCGGCGTCTGCGGCGGCCACACCTCAGCAGGACGCTCGTCGTACTGGCCGTAACTGTACGCGCCCTGCAATAAACAGAGGGGGAGACGGTCAGAGCGGGCGTGATCGCTCCCCGCCGGCCGCAGCCGACCGTGAGCGAGGGGAGCGGGTGCACCGGCGCAGCTGGGCACGTGCCCCGGCGGCGGTGAATGAGGCACCTGCTCCAGACAGGGGGGATGGGAGCTTTGCATATTGCTATCGTGATTAACAAACAATAATGTCGCAAAGTTAGCGAGAACAAGTTATGATGATGACTTTCGGGAACGAATTAAAACACACTGCAGTTTTCCCTGTGCGAGGTCGTAGTCTGTTCGCGTCTCCTCTCTTGTCTCCGTCCTACCCTCGTCTCGTGTCTCCCCGTGTCAGCTCCGTCACAGCCGGAGACAATCAGCCGTCCCGCCGAGTGTCAGCCGCGCAGCGTTCGCCGCATTCTTACCGCGCTGCGACCATTGTGGCGCGCGGGACAGCGCCGCCGGCCATTAAAATGCACTCAATGCTGAGCGGTTGTGAATGCGCGTCGAGCCGTCGATGCTTATTACCGACGGACAAAGGCGGCTGTAGCCGCCTCGGCGTCAGGAGGAGACAGCGCCCGGTCCCGGGTCCGGCACAGGGCGCCGTGACACGTCAATGTGGCGCACAGGTGACGACAGAATGGCGCACCGTGACAGCCGCCGAGCCAAGAGGCCGCCGCGCGACCAATTAACGCCACCCAGCCAGTGGCAATATGCGCCCGCTGACGCCAGTAATGGGGCAGAGGACAGGCTCTCAGATGGGTGGTCCTATATGCGGACAAAAGATCGGCAAAAACCTTGATGTGCAGTAAACAGACACTAACACGACTGTCCTTTCTCGGTCGAAGTAATTCGTGTGGTTCGGCGGTGAGTGTCAATGAAGCTAATTACACATCATGCACAGGAAGCGACTATACATAATGGGAAACCAATTAGAGAAACTAGAAGAATAATTGTTCATTTGTTGGTGCTGAAAGTCCATTTGCGTGTCTAGGAGAAAATATAAAACGGCCCAATTTGCCCGGCACTCGGTCCAGTGTGCGTATAACTACCGTTTGGCAGAATATCGGAACAAATCTGATCCTCGCGTGACACCTTCACGGCCGTGTCGCAGCGACACAAGCGGCGACATCACGCCAGTGCTCACATACATCAGCGACAGCCCGTTCCGCTATCATTTCACCAGCAAATCAACAATGCATGAGATGCGTACTGCGTAGTGCCGGTACCAAGGCGCAGTATTTGCATCCATAGCCGCGGCGGTGGCGGTGGCTGGGTGCGCGGCGGGGGCAGAGCGGGGACGGAGGGAGCGCGGGGGGGGGGGCAGTCAGGTGGCCCGCTCTCACGGTGATGATGGGCCACCAATCGATGGTCGGCCGGCCACCGGCCCACAATGCGCCGCGCCGCCGTCGCCGTCGACACGCAGCCGGCGGCAAATGGACGGCGCACCGTCCCCCCGTCGGTACCGGCGGCGGTTGACCGGCCGACACCGAACCGAACCCACTCTCCAGCGCGGCAGGGGGAGGGTAGATGAGAGCAGAGGAGAGGAAAGGAGGGAGATGGAATACAACAGAGGTATCATTATCGGCCGCAGCATGCGA